TCTGGTTCGAGAAACTGTACGACAGGTACATCCAGAAGAACTACGATCTGATTCCCACCCGGCTCATTGTCAACGTGCCCGAAAAGGTCAAGAAGGTGCTGGACGAGCGCTGGAAATACGTGCTAGTCGAGCAGGGGCGTGGCAAAGAGCTGACTAGCGCCGTTAAGCTATGCAAACGATGTTCGTCGTACTGCGCCAGGTACGTATTGTCGACACGACCCTACAGCCCGCTTCATCGGGCCTAGGGCGGGTTTTTTCCTTTCTTTTTTCCTCCTCGGTCCCTGTCCTTGTCTTCCATTTCGGTCTGCGTGTCTCTGCCTGAATCCTGTCCGTTGGTGTTTCCAGCTGCGGGACTCGCCAGTACCGGCCACCACCCGGTCTGCCGACCGGTACCTTTCTGCCCGGCCCCTTTTGGCCCGAGGACAAGTATCGACCAGGGTCAGACGCTCTGGCTGCTACGTACTTGATCCATCCCCAACACCCACCCCCCCCTTCCCTTAGCCCTGTCTAGGGAGAGCCCTTTTTTTTTTCTTCAGTGCCTCATAGGGCATCCCAATAACCGCAGCCGTTCGACACCCCCCTCCCATTCATTCCATGTCTCCGCCTTTGCCTTGCGTTTTCCCCCCTCCCTGTCTTTGCCGTGCGTGCATGTGCATGCAATTTGCTGGCCTTGGGTCGGACCACTGCCCGTCTCCTCACTCGCGCTGCCATGCCTGTGCCTGAGTTGTCAAGCAGCAGCCAGCAGAGCCGTGTTCCGGCTGCCGTTTAGGCACTGTCGGATGTCACCGCCCCAGCCATCGTGCATCACTGCATCGGCTCCAAAGCTACGAGGTACATGGGCAACCGCCGACTACACTTCAAGAGGACAAAAAAGAAAGATGAAGATTTATGGGCTGATTCTTTTACGTCTGCTTCATTTAACTTTCTGCTGTTTTTGCCTTTTGATTTCTCCTTATTTTTGAGAGGCTTTCTTTTTTCTCTCGCTCATGCACACATTGTTTTTTTTTTTGTCCGTTTTCTTTTTAATCGGGCTTGACTTGGATACACCCCCCCATGCTGACACAACCTCTCACATAGCAATGATTCGGTTGACTGTGCTGTGTGTCTGCACACATACCATATGAACTGCGTCAAGCCACCGTTGCTCAAAAAACCCTCACGTGGCTTTGCATGGTCCTGCGCTGCGTGCAGTCGTGCTCAGGAGCGCAAGTTGGAAGCCCGCCACACGCCAAATACCATAGACGCTGGAGATGCCGAAGATGACGAGCCTCTAGATGAGGATGAGGAAGATGTCCATGGCGTCGAGACCGAGAGGACCAGCCCCGGCGACGATGAAGCGCCTCATCAGGGAACCGCGGAGCAGATTTACCAGGCTAGCCTTTGGCCGTGGCGTTATCTCGGCATGCATTGCAAGCCGGAGGACGCGCTGGACTATGACGACCGTATCTACCCGCGTGCGGGCACCCGCATTGGCCCAAGGAACCAAGCCTCTGTTGGACCCTGGCCAGGCCAGCCTGTGCAGTATGTCAAGCCGTTGGAATTTAAGAAGGGCGGCAAGAAAGACCAGAAACTGCTCAAGGAACAGCAGGAGGCCGAAAGGGCTCGCCGGGGCCAGCGGCCGAAGTGGGTCCAGGATCAGCCACCTGGATACGTCGCTCGCGGCGAGGACCTGGACGAAGATGACCCCAATTGCACGGCGGTGCTACTGTGGAAGCCACCAGCTGGAGATGACCCGTCTACCGCCAAAATCAACAGCTTTGTTGATGATGCCATGTCCAAGGCCAAACAACTGGATCTTCCCGAGCGCTCTACAAACCTTCGTGATGCGGCGGTGGAAACCTTGTATCGCGAAGACTTTGATGAGTCCAAGGCCCTCACCGTGCTCTCTAAAAAGCCTAGGATCGAGTTCAAAGAGCCCAACTTGAGTCCTGCCGAGGTAAAGAGGTTCGAGGAAGGCGTCTCAAAATTTGGCTCCGAATTGCATCTTGTCATGAAGCATGTCAAGACCAAGTCGCCGGGAGAGATTGTTCGGCATTACTATGCCTGGAAGAAATCAGAGCGGGGGCAGCAAGTCTGGGGCAGTTTCCCGGGTCGGAAGGGGAAGAAGCAAGCGAAGCGTGAAGATGCCGCCGCTTCCAAACTCGCCGATGATGTGGCTAATGACGACGACGACTCTGCATTCGACGCGGACAAAGCGGTACAAAAGAAGCGGAGCTTTATCTGTCAATTTTGCAACAGAACGAACGACCGGCAGTGGAGAAGAGCGCCGAATCCGCTGCCTGGACTGGTCAACGACCAGGGCCTTAAGGGCTCTGGCAAGGACAAGGCTGGGAATCAATACGTTGTTGCCTTGTGCCGACGCTGCGCCGAGCTGTGGAGGCGTTATGCCATTCGTTATGAGGTTATCGAAGAGGTGGCGAAGAAGGTTGCACAGGCTGGTGGTCGTGCATGGAAACGCAAGCAGGACGAAGAGCTTCTCAAGGAGCTGCAGCTAGCACAAGAATTGGGCTACATGACTCCTGAACGAGCTCCGACTCCTTCCAAGGCTGCGTCTCAGCCTCTGGAGACACAGGAGCCTCCTAGGAAGAAGCTCAAGGCTGCCGCCGATAAAGAGGCTGATGCAACCCCATCCGACAGTGGTAGCACTACTAGCGCTGTTCCTGCTAAGAAGAAGGAAAAGGCAGTAGTGGAGCCGCCTGCTGCCCCTGAGATGCCGAAACCGCGGATTCTTCCCTGTGCTATCTGTGATCAGATGGAACCAATGGGAGATCAACACCTTTCATGTCGAGAGTGCCGCCTAACGGTTCATCGCAACTGCTACGGTGTTATCGATCACAAGGTGCAAGGTAAATGGGTTTGTGATATGTGTGCCAACGATAAGAGCCCGCAAGTATCCATCGTAAGTCAAGTCAACTCCCCTCACATCAATTCATATACTGACAACCATGATAGCAATACAAATGTGTTTTGTGCCCTGTTGAGCACACCGAGCATGACTTTGTAGAGCTACCCAAACTCACGCATCACAAGAAGAAGATGTCTGAGAAGGATCGGGAGCGAGAAAAAATGGAAGTCCAACAAGCCCGCAAAGCTGCCGAATTTTACCGCAAGAAGCAAGAAGACATGAACCGCCCTGTCAACCCTCGGGAGCCCCTCAAGCGTACCGCGGATAACAACTGGGTTCATGTCACTTGTGCCGTATGGACCCCTGAAGTCAAATTTGGTAACGCCAAGGCAATGGAACCATCCGAGGGCATCCCCTCCATCCCGAGGTCAAAGTATGACGAGATCTGCCAGGCCTGTAACCAACAGGGTGGAGCTTGTGTGCCCTGCCACCAGTGCCGTGCACCTTGTAAGTTTCCTTTTCCGCGTTCCAGCTCCCGCTTGAAGCGGGCTTGGCTATTATTCCATGGATCGCAGGCTAATGAAATAACAGATCACGTTGAGTGCGCACGACAGAAAGGCCATGTCCTTGGGTTCGATATAGCTCCCGTCAAAAGCTCCCGGCGAGACCAGTTCAATATTGTTACGATCAACGGCGAGAGCGGGACCATGTCAGCCGTTTTATGGTGCAAAGACCACATTCCCACCAAGACGATTGTCCATCGGATCCACGACGTGGCTAGCGAGTCTGGACTGAATGCCCTTCAGCTTTACGTCCAGAATTTTAAGCAGGCCGATCTTACCTTGACAGGAACCGTCCGCAAGGCCACTCTGATGGCAGCGGCAGCGAAGCTGTCTGGAGCTCCAATTCAGCCAGGGAACCGCAGAGCATCCACAACGACGACCCCTAACGGCAACACTTGGGCTCAACCGCGCAACGGTGAAGTTGTTGATCCTGGGTCTAATGCTCAGCATCCAGGAGAAAAAGTCTGCATTACTTGCGGCATAGATGTCACGCTGAGATGGTGGCCTATTGACAACTCTCAAGAGCGGAAGCTCACCAACGGACATCACGGAGTCATTGGCTCAGAAGCGCAAAAGTTTGTTGAGCAGCGGAAATTTCAATGCCACAAGTGCCATAAGTTGCGCAAGACTCCTCGCAGCCCACGCCTGACTTTGCTACCCGGACCGTCGCCTCCACCGCCCGAACTTGCGCGTCCCCAGCCAATGGAGACTTCCTTGATGACTCCGGTGCCTCCCATGACAGGCTCAACACCGCCGCCCCTGGTGGACTATCGTGACGGGCGCCATTCGAGCCACCCCCTTTCGTGGCCTCAACCGCCGCCTTCACATGCTATGCGGGCCGGATCGACTCCGCCGTCTATGCCAGCGCCAGTTCACGCACCGGCGCAAGTGGCAGGACACCGCCCAGCTCCGGTATATCCACCTGCACCGCTGCCGCCGACCAGACCACCTGCTTATGGCGAGTGGGCACCGCAACGTCCTGGCAGTCAGCATGGCTCCCCTCCTCGTCATCTAAACGGGGGTCCTCCGCCTCCTATCTTGCACAGCGCTCCCCCGCCGCCCCCAATATCGAATCTTTCCGCTCTCAGACCACCTGCCATGGCTCCAACCGGAATGCCTGGCAGCCACCCACATGGACACGCATATGGAAATGGGCTTCCGCCGTCGCCTCGACGTTTGAATGGGCCCACTCCTCCCGCGCCGTATGTTCCTCCCCCTTACCACGGGCATACCGGCCACGGAGGACCCGTCCATCCCCCGGCTCACCTTATGGGCAACGGGGCACCCCCACCGCCTCCTCCTCCGCGAGCGGACGCCTTCTCACATGGGCTACACCCTCAACGATCATCATATCCGCCAACTCCCCATGCGAGCGCTCCCATCTTGAGAAATGGGCCGCCGCCTCCACCACCGCAGTCTCATGAGCCGCCTCCACCACCCATGGGACCGCGACCTCCAGAGAACAGGCCTGCTACAGGCGCGAGTACGAATCCATCTCTTCGCAATTTACTTTCATGAGACATTGGTTAGGGATTCAAAGATTCAAAATTAGCCCGCGGCGCATAAGACTGAGATATAGGAGTTGAGAATTGTTCTTTTGCTTGACATGATTCTGTATTTTCTCCTTTTGTTTAACCTTGTTTTTCTTTTTAAAAAGAGCGTCACTGGATGAGGACCTTGAAGTGGTATTGTTATTATATGTTTAAAAGCCAGCTCTGCTTAGATGGCGTACTACGGAGTGGATTCTTTGTTAATGCCTTATAGTGGATGATGTCTGGATTCGTACAATAGACGATAATGCTTGATGCACGTCATGATTTAGGAAAAGTGAATAATAGCATAGTATTGGAAATGTTTGACTTGATTACCCGCATATGGAGCTGTGAGAAAATAATTCCTCAACTCAACTCCTTTCGTGTGATTTCCCGTGACTGCACGCCCTCTCCCATGATTCCTCTTCGTAATCCTTCTCTTCTCTCCTGTCTTTCCCTCCTTCTTCAGCAATTTATTTTCCCAGCCTTTCTTCCCCTTCTCATAGCATGTTCATTTGTCAGTTGTCCCCTTCCCCCCGCCAACGACTATGGATGCTTGAGTTCAAGATCTTCTTCGTTTCCTTCTCAGATAAAAGTTGAGACAGTGCTGTTCACGAGTATTAAGCCGAATAGACACTGGAGAGAGATGGTAGATATTTACTATGGTCAATATTGACCACATCAGGCTCTGGATATTTTAAATCATAAGCGTTTAGAACATTACTTGTTTTTTATGCTGGAGATACTGGAGATGCCCTCTTTTGAGAAGTCGTGGGAGAAGTCGACTATATTTGCTGTTGGAAGAATCCCTCGAAAGAGCATATATGTCGCAAGCATTATGTCGCAAGCATTATGTCGCAAGGATTACATGGCGAAAATTCATCTCAGCAAACGGGCTGGTCGATGTGCATTTTCACTTTCACTCTTCCCCCCACCCCCGATTCTTTATTTTAACCCAAATGTGCAGACGAAAAGAATCTGAGTGAATTCATTAAGAGACCTCAGGATTGGAAATGATTCTTTGGAACTCTCAGGGATTGAATGGCGATGATATTTCTCAAATGGCAATTTGGGATGATCTTCTGCGGACTCTGTACGGACGACTAAGCCACTCTTTTAAAGAGCTTCTGGGTGTTGCTAAATTTAGAAGCGTCCGGGTGCTGACGCTCTGCCTCATTATGTATTTTTAGTAAGATCTGGATCTTGTGTAAAATATACCCCAATTGAATCAATTTTTTAAATTAAAGAAAGACAAAAAGGATAAAGATTTAGGTATCTAGAAGAGCATATAGAAAGAATGCTTGCTATATCCATCATCCCGTGTCGTCAATGACATGACATGATCCGTGACGTTTTGGGGGGCCACAAGTGGGATGTTATTGTATTTGGCTGGATCTTGGGCATGTAGTGATAGCAGCAGATACTTTAGCCACCATACAGATGAGAGCACTTCACTTGCATCTTGGATTGTAGTCTCTGCTATGGGCGCTGATAAATAAATACCATTGAAATGAGTGAGTGCATGGGCAGCAGTTCGTCATCAACCGTCTCTTCTGAAACGCACAAGGCTGGGCAGTGCTGGGGTGGTGGGGCTGAGTCTTGGGGGAGGGAGCTTCTTACTTGTAGCTGACACGATTTACATGCTGTGTGTGCGTACTAACACTAACAATTGTGACAGCTGCCAAGTTACATTGTTTCTTCCTCTTCTTCCACTTCCTCCTCTTCCTCTTCTCATGTCCATTCAGCCCAAGCATCGCCCACCGTCACCATGGCGCAGATACTCGCAGATCTCTTTTACTCGTTTGGCAATTGCCTCAACTGCTTCCCGGGCTCCCCGACGCTCAAGATTAACAGCCGGAGCTTCAAGATTCAGCGTCTACTAGGCGAGGTGCGCAAACACAGATCCTCCTCCTCCTCTCTCCCTCTCCTCCTCGCTTGGTTTTCTCGCAGCTTCTCATCAGTAAACAAACAAAGGTAGTTAACCAATTCATTCATCAAAACAGGGCGGCTTCTCCTACGTCTACCTCGTCGAAGACACCTCCACGCACGAGCTCTTCGCCCTCAAAAAGATCCGATGCCCCTTCGGCGCCGAGTCCGTCCAGCAGGCCATGCGCGAGGTCGACGCCTACCGCCTCTTCGACCACGTTCCCACAATCATCTCGGCCTACGACCACTGCGTGGCGACGGACCGCGGCGGCGGCTCCGGCGACGACGCCAGCAAGACTGTCTATGTCCTGCTGCCCTACTACCGCCGGGGGAACCTGCAGGACATGATCAACGCAAACCTCGTCAACCACAACCACTTCCCCGAGAGACAGCTCATGATGCTGTTCCTCGGCGTCTGCAAGGCCCTGCGCGCAATGCACGAGTACCAGCCCGCCCCCGCCGAGCGCATGCAGATGGGCCGCGAGGAGGACCATGACGAGGCTGCTGAGGGGTCTGGGTCGAGAGGTGGTCGTAAGATGGGGACGAGGGGGAAGCGCACTGAAGAGGAGGAACAGGGTGAGCATGAGAGGCCGCTGATGGACTCGGAGAACCGCATTGAGGGCGAGTCTGGCGGCAAGATCAAGTCGTATGCGCACCGAGACATTAAGCCAGGTAAGTTCCAAGCAAGAAACAGAAACAAACAACAAACAACCACTCTGTTTTTCAATAATTGACATTGTAAATTTCTCCTCCAAAGGCAACATCATGATTGACGACTCGGGCTCCATCCCCATCCTCATGGACCTCGGCTCCGTCGCCGCCTCGCCCACCCCCGTCACCTCCCAGTCCCTCGCCCTGCAAATCCAGGACACCGCCGCCGAGCACTCCACCATGCCCTACCGCGCCCCGGAGCTCTTCGACGTCCGCACGGGAACCGTCGTCGACACCAAGACGGACATTTGGTCCCTCGGCTGCACCCTCTACGCCTGCCTCGTCGGCAAGTCCCCCTTTGAGATGCGCTCCGACGAGACCGGCGGCACCCTCAGCCTCTGCGTCCTCGGCGGCGACTGGCGCTTCCCCGACGAGAAGCCCGGCGGCGGACCGAAGCGCACAAACACCATCCAGGCCGCAAAGGCCAAAGCGAGCGGCGAGGCCGGTGCCGGCGCCGGTGGCTCTTCTGGAGATGTCGTCATTAGTGAGCCTATTCGAAATCTTGTTCGGGCCTGTCTCAAGGTCGAGCCTGCGGAGCGGCCCAACATAGATGAGCTCATCACCATGGTTGAGCAAGTCATTGACGAGCTGCCCGAGGGTGACTTTACATCATGACGCTGATAAATGGATTCCATTCTGTTTTATTGCTTGTTTATTTGTTTGGGAATATGGATGCAAATGCGAGCCTGCACATACCATTCGAGTTTGATGGAGCTGTCTGTCTACTATTCATGACATATCACTAGGGGGACTTTGGCGTTATGACGGACTGAATTATTCATTTAGAGAAACGGAGACGAATGCTCGTAGAAAGAATTACTATTTCCTAACAGAGACTCGTGATACCGCTGTTCCTCACTGTCACACATCACAATTGAAACGTAGCACCTGGTCAAATCGCCTCGTATCCCAACATTATGCGAATGGAAGACCCAGGGCATATACAAGTGTCCTCGCTTCCCTATAGCTGCAGCTTGTACGTTGCCACCTCAAACGGCCGAAGAACAATGTTAAACTTGCCATCCGCCAAGGAAATCTCTTCAATCTCATCCTCCAGAATGTTGACCTTGGTGACCCGCTTCACGTTGAACTCGGTCTGGATGGTACCCCGGCTGCGCCCGCCCAAGGATTCGTACAGGCGGACAATAATGCTCTGTCCACTGTTGATGCGATGACCCTCGCGGCGGCTGACGTCCTCGTCGTCGTGGCCTCGCTTGATGGTGTCCAGAATGATGGAGGCAGACTCATCCGAGTTGATGAGCTGGATGGGGACGCTGGTCAAGCTCTCAACCGTAGCCTTCGGTGCGGACAAGACCTTGAGAGGGTTGTTAAAGGCATAGCCCGCTCGGACCGTTGTTGCCGAGAGAGCTCCCTTGTGAGGAAGAATGGCCCATCGGATCGAGTGGCGGCCCATATCCGCGTGCTCATCGGGGGCCTTGGGAGATCGAAGCAGGGATAGGCGCATGAGCTTGCCAGCCGTAGCAAAACCGTACTTGCTGTCGTTGAGGATGGAGACTCCATAGTTGTTCTCCGACAAATCGGCGAACCTGTGACAGCAAACCTCAAACTTGGCCATGTCCCAGCTCGTGTTGTAGTGCGTTGGCCTCTTGGTGATGCTGTATGCGGTCTCATACGAGGCCTCCGTGTTGACAATGTCTACGGGGAACTCTACCTTGAGGAACTTGGAGTTTTCGTGCCAGTCTACCTCAGCCTTGCATTCCACCCAGGACTGCTGGCCCTTGAGGGCCGCCGACAGAGTAATGTAAGACTTTATGGAGCTGTGCTTGCTGATCTGGATCTCAGTGGCAAGAGTGACGCGGTGGGGTTTCACCTCGTGGAGGCTTGTGCTGCCGTAGCTGAGCTCTCGGCGGGTCTCGAGATGGTAAACCTCGACATCCCAGGCTTCCCAGAATAGAGGAATGTCATCAAAAATGACAAACTTGTTTGCCTTGCCACCCTTTTCGATAGTTTCGCGGTCATTGACACGGTCGTACAGTGAAGTGATGCAGCCGTCCTCAACAACAACGCGGAGGTCGTCATTTTCCAAGATGAACTGGCTGCCCACCTGCTGTACTGAAACAGCCGGCTTGTCCTCCTGGATCTTGAAGTTGCGGAGAGCAAGGAGCGGGCCTTGTCCACAGGCAACGCTAACCTGTGTATCAGACACCTCAACAAGCTCCTTACGATGCCAAGGCAGCGTGTTGAGGACTACCGACTCGTAGCCATCGGCTTTTGAATCACTGGCACCCAGGGCCTTGTAAATTTCAGCAAGCAGCTTGTGGCCAGTCTCAAAAATGTCCTTGTAAATCTAACGACTAGTCAGCATAAAATATCCAGGAAGGAGTAAACAAGTCTCTCACCTTGTCAGAGTCATCATAGCACATTTCGATAGAGCTACCGGGAAGACAGTCGTGGAATTGGCATAGGAGGACGCCCTCCCACATGCTATCAATCTTCTCAGTAGGGTACTTGTATGACTTGTTCTTGATCGAGGCCAGTGTGGCGAGCTGCTCAAGGTCTCGCAACAAGACTTCGGACTTGCGGTTGTAGTACTTGTTGTTGGCCTGCGTGGTGTAGGTGCCTCGATGGAGCTCAAAGTATAGCTCACCATACCATGTAGGAAGGTCGTTGGCCTTTGGAGCAAGGCGATCAAAAAAGCCATCGACACTGAGGCCGAGCTTCAGCTTCGGAATGCCTCCAATGGTGTTGCTGATTCCCGCAATTCGTCGAAGTTTCTCCAGGTGCTGCCAAGTCGGGCCACCGCCACCATCGCCCTTGCCGAACACCAACAGCGAGGAATTGTCGACACGAAGAGTCTTGTGTTGGGTGACGCTGCGTCTCAAATCACCAAAGTCGGCTTCAGCAGTGTATGTCTCGGACGGAGGCATGTGACAAATGACTTGGCTTCCGTCGGGGCTCACCCACATAAAGGTAGTGTGAGGGAAGTTGTTGATATTGTTCCAGCTTAGCTTCTGAGTCATGAAGCGGTCCATGCCTGCCAAACGACAGAGTTGGGGTAGCTGACTGGAGTAGCCAAATGTGTCGGGAAGCCAAAAAGTACGGCAACGTGACCCGAATTCTGCCTCGAAAAACCGCTGGCCGTAGAAGAATTGACGCACCAGAGACTCGCCACCGGGCATATTGGTATCGTGTTCGACCCAGCTGCCGCCGATGGGATGGAACTGACCCTCGCTCACCTTGCGTCTTACACGATCAAAGGCCTTGGGATAGAGTTGTTTCAGCCATTTGAACTGCTGGGCCTGCGAACAAGCAAAATGAGCCTCCGGATACCGGTCCATCAAATCACACTGGCTTGACCACGACCGAGCGACTTTGCGCCTTGTCTCTGCAAAGGGCCATAGCCAGCACGAATCGATGTGGCAGTGACCAATGCCAAAAACGGTGGGCTCTGGGCCAACTTCGTACACTCGATGAGAGTCAGCATCGGGCCCAATGATTTGCTGCGCGAGTTTTCGACACTCGAGAATGGACTCTTGGTTATTCACTTCGAAGGTGTCGATAATCTTCATGGCGACAGATAGCGCTCGCCCTTGTTCCGCCGAGTTCTCGGGCAGCTCTCGAGCAGCGTCACCAAGCTCCCACATGTCAAAGTACAGACCGCGCGCAGGAACGTTGACGGCAACGATGTCGGCCTTTGAAAGACCAAAGTATCGGTTGGGGTCCGGCGGCATAATGCTGGATTTACCGTTTGGCGCGTTTCCAAACATTCCGTTACAAGCCATCTCGATGTAAATGGTATGCGGTTTGCCGTCGCGGAACGAGCGAGGAATCACCCATTCGATCCTCTCGCCTCCACCAGTTAAGCCTTGGAGCGGCATACCATCCTCGGTCCACACAAGGCCTTCATTGTTTGCGTCCCACTGGAGCTCGAGCAGCTCTTCGTCAGCGATTGCCGCAGGGACAGTCAAGGTCACCCTGAACCAATGGGTGGACCATGAAGGTCCAAAGGAGGCGCCAATATGTGTCTCCTTAAATTGCTGAGAAACTGCATGCTCAAAGGTTGGTCGTTCTTGTCCAGGAGCGCTCCAAACAGAGAGCTGGACGTGTGGCGCGCCCGAGTATCTGGCATTGTAGAGACTCCTACACGCATGATGTCAATAGGTTGACATGAGGAGTACAAAAGAGCTTCAGGAAGACGTACGCTAGCAAGTTCACCTTGTCATACTGTCCTGATTTATAGAATGGTTCGATACGGCCCTTGAGAATGCTAGTCTTAGGGACGCCGACAGGTCGTTGCGCAAAGACAGGGTAGGAGACGTTGCTCCTAACTTCGCCGCCGCCACCCATGGTGAGAACGTCGTGTCCTGGAGCTGGCGGTGCTGATCGATTGGACAGTCGCCGAAGCTTGGCCGGCAGAGGCTGGAGGTTGTCGGTGAATGCTGGGGGCAATCGGAGGAGACGGGGAGGAGCTGGTCAATCAAGCCGTCGTTGTAACTGCAGAGTCCAATCAGCGAGTTGAAACAAGCAGCAGCCCAGACGCCCAAGAGTGAAGTCCTGGCGGTCGATTCTTAAGGGGTGCGATTGAATGAAGGAAGAAAAGGTGTGCCAGCAAGTGTGAATTCGGGATTATATAATAAAATAGTGCAGAGCTCTAGCACCCTGCGATGCGCGGAACCTGCGTCGGGGAAGCTCTTGGTTGTCACCGCTGTGGGGAGGTGGGGTGACCGCTTCAAAGATTCCCGTTTCCCAGGCGATGTAACAATTCATGGGGCGCTAATGACGGAGACCTGGCGCTGCGTGCGGGGGAGTTTTGCCCCGATCCGCCTCCTCTCAGGGGTCATGCCATGGGCTGGAATGATGCTTTGCTTCAGGTGCCAAAGCACGGAGTACGAGTACGCACCTCATGATTGCGATATTGCTTTAGCAAGGAATAAGTAACCAACGATGCCAAGATGGAGCTCAAAGTAATCAAGGATGACAGAAAGTATTCAGGATAGAACAGAGTAGGGGCAATTCTCAAGTAGACAGGGATGATGGCGATTAGGTGAGAAGCGGCGCCGCAGACGTAACCCAGGGTCGAATCGATCGAGCGTCAATGTTCTCAACGTACTCTGTATAGACCAAGTATGGCCAGACTCTGGGCAACACGAGGATTAACCAAAGCGAGAATTGCGACAGAGTCAAGGCCGATCGAAATTCAGCATCAGCGTAGAGCTGCTCTGAGACGTATTCTGTAAGAGGCCGGCGGCTATAACGGATACGAGGCGAGGGTCCGAAGCTGTAGATACAATCAAAATATTATGGAGAGAAGGAGGATGAAAGAGATGAAAAAAGTTCCCCAATTCTGCAGCATATCTTAGTACTAGGTAGGTATGGGTATACAATTGGCAGGTTGGTAATAAGCCGAGCTCGAGAAAGAGAGTGTCCTGCAGCTGCCCAGCCAGCTCCTTCCACTCACGCAGTATTATGTACATGTACCAATGCACTCAAGCGGAAGACAGAAAAACCGAGACTGAGAAGATTTCGAACACCCACGCGTTGAATTATACGCCTGTTCTATAAGTATCTGCTACTATAGCTATATTTTCTCTAATATTTACTACTATATTTACAATTCTTTAATATCTACTACTATGTCTATATTTCTTTAGTAACTGTTGATATAATTATATATCTTTAGGATTTACTGCTATAACCATATTTATCTAGTATTTACGGAGCAGCATTAAGCTGATGAGGTGCTTCTATTGCTGAATGTATGCACTTAATCATTTTGCGGTCTCGGTTTTTTTGACCTTTGACACTCTACCAAGTTTCCTTCTATCTTCTTGCACATAATCACATCCACTATCCTGACCAACATCATCTTTCATACAATTGCCTTACCCAATCCACAGCTCTATGGACACGCAGCTGCTGGCAATTGGCGCCGCCGTTCTCCAAATTCCGCAGTGGCGCTTCGACGGCGTTTCAGGCACCGGCATCCGCCTGTTGGTGGGGCCGGGCCTCTATCACGGCCTCGACACCCAAAAATAAAAATAAAACAAACTGAACCAACCCACTCGATGGAAATTCATGCTCACGAGCTCAATGTCGAGGGTTTCACAACTTCCAAAGGGTTCGACAAAGGGGCAGGTGATCTTGTCAAGTGAGCTGTAATGCTTCGTCAACGCACCGTCCATGGCTTCTGGCCTCGGCCCCTCTATGCTCGCCGCTCATCGGCACCGGCTCTAAGAGCTGCGTTTGCCTTGCCTTTCACCACTGCTGCTCATCTCCAGGCTGCCGCAAAGGCAAAGCGAACGAGGACGACTGTCAAGCTTTCTGACTTGCCCCAGGGGAAAATTGCTGCGAGTCCCCTCGCACTTGAGGAGCAAAATGGGCCGGCCTACCCAACCGTCATACTCCAAGCGCGCCGTCATATGGACAAGTTTGAGAAGTGTGTTCTCCTCACAAGAGTGGGAGGCTTCTATGAGCTCTATTTCGAGCATGCCGAGGAGTATGCAACGCATTTCGGCATAAAGCTGGCGTTTAAGAAGACAACTGCTGGACCTGTGCCTATGGTAAGGTCCTACCCCCCTCTTTTGCTGTGCATAGGTCCTATTATTTTGCATACATAAAAACTTGAGCCATGCTAATCAGCGTATACAGGCTGGATTTCGTTATATGCAACTAGACAAATATCTGAAAATCCTGGTTCAAGACTTGAATCGCCACGTCGCCATAGCCGAAGAATTTCCCAATGATGCCTCTGAGAAAATCAAGTCGGGTGGCCTCATGCATAATCGTCGGGTTACCCGAATCATCACTCCAGGAACTCTCATCGACGAGAATTTTATTGATCCTTACGCCAATAATTACATCATGGCAATTCACGTTCCTCAAAATGATCTTGATAAAAGTATGCAGCCAGACACTTCCTCGTCTCACCAAGCTTCAGATGTCATGGGCGTAGATTCTACACCTATAGGTCTAGCATGGCTTGACCTTTCCACCGGCCAGTTTTTCACCCAGTCCGCAACCTTGTCGTCTCTTCCGTCCATCTTGTCCCGAATAGCCCCACGAGAAGTTGTTCTTGAGCAATCATTCGAATCCAGAAAAGATCACGATGTTTTTTCAATATTGACAGATGATCGGCATCTCGTCACATTTTCATCTGATGGGGGTCTAGTGAAGCTTGATGACTGGGCACCATATCTGGAATCAGAAATCTCTCAAAATTTACAAACATCCTTTACAGATGATGAAATCATCGCGGGTGGCTTGGCGCTGAACTATGTAAGGAATCGGTTACAGGAGACGAGTATGAAGCTTCAGCCACCTCTGCGCTATGGGAACATGCAGACGATGACAATCGACAAGAACAGCTTGAGGGCACTGGAAATCAAACAAACCATCCGCGATGGTTTCTTCCGTGGCAGTCTTCTTCATGCGATACGCCGCACGGTTACAAAGAGCGGCGCTAGGTTGCTCAATGAATGGCTTGGCTCTCCGTCCACATCTCTAGAGGTTATCAAAGCTCGACAAGACCTTGTCGCTCGTTTCATGGAGTTAGGCGATCTTAGGGATTCTTTGGTCGTCATGTTACGGCTAAGCGATGATTGCCAAAGACTTGTTCAAAGATTTGCCTTGGGAAGAGGTGAGGCCGATGACTTACTTGGAATAGCCAACACGATTCGCGCAGCTGAAGAAATCACTACTTTATTGAAAGAAGCATCGGGAAGAGAGAGTACTTCTCCTTCAACAGACTGTATTGATACGCTAGCGTCTCGAATTGAGCTTGAAGAGCCGCTTAAACTCGCCCATAGGATTCAAGAGTCAATAGACGAGGAGGGCATTGCCCAGCAACAGGCAGCAGAAGATTCCGAGGCAGAAGAAGCCATGTCTCAAGCCCAAAACATTGCTTCTGCCGAAGGCTTCTCGGAGGATGTTGCTGTTTTGACCAAAGGAAAGAGAAAAAAGCGAAGCACCATCAAAGAGGAGCAATACGGAGAAGATAATCGGCCGTGGATTATGAAGCCAACTGCGAGCAAAGAGCTTCAGAGTCTTCACGACGATCTCGCATCGCTTCTAAAGGACAAGACTACTCTCGGAGAAGAATTTTGCGAACGGTTTAAAGCACCAAGCTTGACCCTTAAATGGGCACCGACCGTCGGCCATATTGCCCATATTAAGGGGAAAGACGCCAAAAATCTTGCCGAGATAAAGATGGTCTCTTCAAACCGTAGCACGAGATCGTTCCAGCTTGATGAATGGACATCCCTTGGCCAGCGTTTAGAAAAGGTAACGTCTCGAATTCGCCACGAGGAGCAGCGTGTGTTTCAAGCTCTACGCGAACAAGTTGTTAAGAACTTTATTAAGCTGCGACACATTGCAGCCGTGCTGGACGAAATCGACATTGCAACGTCGTTTGCGAAAATAGCCCTTGATCAGAATCTTGTCCGTCCCACCTTGACGGATTCAAGAACTCACACAATCATGGGTGGCCGGCATCCTACGGTGGAAGGGGGTCTGTTGGAGCAGGGCCGCCGATTTACTCGCAACGACTGTATAGTCGGGCCGTCCCCAAACGGGCTCATTTGGTTCATCACTGGACCGAACATGGCCGGCAAGAGCACGTTTCTTCGCCAAAACGCCTTGATTACAATAATGGCTCAGATTGGATGCTATGTCCCTGCCTCGCTGGCCGAAATTGGCATTGTTGATGCAATCTTCAGTCGCGTGGGTTCCGCTGACAGCCTATACCACGACCAGAGCACCTTTATGGTTGAGATGCTTGAGACGGCTCAGATTCTAAGACAAGCCACACCACGGTCTTTTGTCATAATGGATGAAATAGGTCGAGGAACCACACCAGAGGACGGCACGGCAATCGCATTTGCCTGCCTGCACCACCTCGTGACTGTCAACCAATGCAGGACTCTTTTTGCGACACATTTCCATGATGTAGCCGACATGGCAGCTGCTGAGGGATTCTGTCACCCAAAATATGGCCCCGTCCGGACCTACTGCACTGATGTCAAAGAGAATGAAGATGGAAGCTTCGTCTACGTGCACAAACTACGGCCAGGGATCAATCGCCAGAGCCATGCTCTTAAAGTGGCACATCTGGCGGGAATACCGCAGCGCGCAATTGACATTGCCCGGAGTGTGTTGGATGCTAGAGAGGCAAAGGAGAACAAGTCTCGTGGCATTGCATAAATCATGGGCAAATCACATTTACGATAACAAGTTCGTGTGAGAGTCCTATAAAATCTTTTGCTAATTAGCCTTGGTTCGCCTTGAAAGCATTGCGATAGAATATTGGTAAAACGTAAGGATTAGAGTCATAAGGTGTTGTTGAATATTTGTTTTCATCAGGAGATTTCAGGGTTAAAAAGCTCATGAATAAATTTATAATCATCCAAAGCCAGAAGGAGTGTGCTCACTCAAGAAAAAAAGAAAAGAGACTAACCTTTTGTTAATGAGTGGTTTCCAGCCATGACCATCACGATTCGACATATGCACAAGTTGGCCCAGTTCATTCATTTGTTCAATAGTTGACTTGCAACTTTCATTGATTTTTCGTGTCTCATGTAATCATTGCTTTGGTCCTAATTTGACCAACCAATGACCTATGCACCATATTCAGATCCATATACCGTGAAACAAGCCGAACAAGCCCTGAAAGCCGACCCAGTACCGTTATTGATTGTTTAGTCGCTATTAAGCATGTTAGTTCTGATTTCAAAAGGAATTTCAAGGGAGTCACATACAAGAGACCGCCGAAGCCCTCCTCATCTTCCTCCTCGGACTCGTCCTTCTTCTCCTCAGCAGCGGGAGCGGCCTCAGCAGCGGCACCACCGGCGGCGGCAGCGGGAGCAGCGGCAGCGTAGGCATCGGGGTTGGCGATGCGGTCCTTGAGCTGCTCAATCTCGGGCCAGGTGATCTCGGTCTCAACAGCAACAGCCAGGACCTTCTTGTAAGAGTTGACAAGAGAGTGCATGACGGAAGGCAGGGTGGGGAAGTTGATGGCCAGGGAGATGGTGGCAACGGTGGTAATGGCAGTGCTCAGGGCCTTGAGGAGCTGCTCCTCGCCGATGTCGAGGATGGAAGGAGGGAAGGTCTGGCCCTGGTCGTAGACCTGAGCGATACCCATACCGTAGGTGAAGGGAGAGATGTTGAGCAAGTTGAGCAGCGAGGCCTCGGAGGGGCCGACCTTGTTGCCAGCATCAATGAGCTTCAGATCGGTGGTAATTTCAATGGTACCACGAGCGATCTTGGTGGGGACACCGAGAGCCTGGAAGAAAGAGGTCTTGCCAGGCTCCATACCGGTGTTTCCAGCAGGAACCCACACATCGACGGGAGCGACGGCACCAGCACGAGCGGGAGCAGCGACACGGTTTTCGAGAAGCTGGTCACGGACCTCCTTGAGGTCGCCGTTGGTGAAGACGAAACCGACGTTGCCCTTGACGAAAGGCAGGATGCGCTCGTACTCGGGAGTATCGAGGACAAAGGTCCTGAGAGCTCGGCGAACCTGTAAAGCAAAATCCATCCGTTAGTCTTACTTTCTTGAAATTCTAGTTGTTCCAGAAATTGCGCAATTGACATACCATGGTGTTCTTGCCCATCAGGACAACTCCCTTACCACGAAGGGAGTGTCGGATCTCGTGCATCTGCTGCGAGGAGACATTGTCAATCTCGACGATGAAGATGGACTTGTACTCCTGGAGCAAGCCCTTGAGCTTGTCGAAGTAGCCGGCCTTGTTTGCTGTTTTGCCCCCCATATCTTCTTTTTTATGAAGGCAGGTTATTTAAGGGCAAAAGGGTATCTTGGTATATGGGAATTTGGTTGACGTGATGTCTATCGGGAGAAAAGAAGAGACGAGCCAAATTTCCGGATTTTGCAGCCAGTGAGAAAATGTGTGTCGAATGGCTAGGGCATGGCTTTGCTAGCCTGATTTGGGTAAGCGGTGAGAGCTGGATTTCTTTGTCAGCGGTTTGGGTGGGGCCAGTACGTACCGTTTTGCATGTGGCAGGCAGCTGAAGCAAAGGTACAAGCAGGAAGTATCTTTTTTTTCAGAGCTTGTCGAAAAAAAGTTGATGATACGCCAGAGGATCTCAATACGTGATTCCTTCAAGCTTCAATTGGATGTCACTCATTCAACTTTCACATTCAAAGCACTCATAGAAAATGAAGATTCCTTATAACAAAGTACATGTCCACGGGCAAATCCTCTTTGCTGCTCGTGGAGGCGCAATCCATACCTTCAATCTCACAGACGGCAGCTACGTCTCATCATGGAAGTATCCTGACGCAGACAAAGTCGCACAATCTATCAAAGCCATAAACGAGGCCAAGGCCGAAGCTGCACTCACGATAGAGGCGGACACCCCAGCAACTGAAAGCGATGGTCCGCCAGCCAAACGGCAAAAGCTGGAGGGTGATAATGAGAGCACTTCAGTAAATGCAGAAGAAGCTTCTGCTCCTACGACAGCTCAGGATGAAAAGCCCCAGGCCGGCCATTTCGACGGCAGAGGGAAGAAGGGCAAAGGAAAGGCTGCAAAGGATTTTGATAACGGCAAAACTCGTTTCGCTCGTGTGCCTGACCGGCCCGTGATCACTCATCTGACAAGTACTGCCGATGGGAGCCATGTGGTGGCCATAACAGGACATGACAAGATCATTTGGGTGTTTGAGCATGATGGAAATGGACATCTGAAGCAACTCAGCCAAAGGTATGGATATCTCTCATCACGATTACCCTTCAAAGTGACCCATATTAAGACATATCATATAGGACTATGCCCAAGCGACCAAGCGCAGTTGCCATTGGACCAGACTCTCAAATCATCAGCGCCGACAAGTTCGGAGACGTCTACGCTATACCTCTCATTATCCCAGCTGATGGATCAAAATCTCTGGCATCACAATCATCTTTACCCCTACCCTCCAAAAAGTCCTTCAAACCCACTGCCACCACACTCACCGTCCACTCCAAAGGCAACCGTCTCGCTCTCCTCAACCAAATCAAACAAGCTGAACTCGCCAACGAATCCAAGGACGGCAGCGCAGGCGGCCCCGGTTTCGAACTCAACTTGCTGCTGGGACACGTCTCCATGCTGACTGCCCTTGTTCTCGGCGAGCAGCAGGGACGCAGGTACATCATCACAGCGGACAGAGATGAGCATATTCGGTTGTCACGCTACATCCCCCAAGCACACGTCATTGAGAAATTTTGCTTTGGCCACAAGGAGTTCATCAGTGACATGGTTATCCCTGCGGCGAAACCAGAGATCCTCGTCTCCGGAGGCGGTGATGAAGATATTTTCGTTTGGGACTGGCTCGCTGGCAAGCAGCTCTTCAAGACAAGCATCCTGTCTCTCGCACAGGAGATTGCTCCCGAAACTGCAACGATTGCCGTTTCGGGTCTTTACACTCTGCTTTACCCCTCCGAAGAGGGCCCCATGACATACATATTGGCCATCTGCGAAGAGTAAGTTTTCCACTTCATCAACAGTCCAATCACAGCAACTCATGCACTAACAACAATTCACAGCATCAAAGCAATTTTCTCATGGAAGCTCAACGAAAACAACGAGCTCCACTGCCCAGGCATCATCCAACTCCCCGGCAAGCCCCTGTCCCTCACAATCTCCCCAAGCGACGATGCCCCTCCCACCGTCATCGCCGCCATCGAACCCGATGCGGAAACCAAGGCCCAAAGCCTCCACGCATTCCGTTTGACCATGACCAACGGCAGACTAGCCATGGATGTCGAATCCTGCTTCAAGGACAAGGAAGTGGAGGCAAACGAGCCCGAAATCAGCGAAGAGGACGTCCGAGGGCTTTTGTACACGGTCGAGAGTCTGCGAAAGGTGGTCACTGGCGGACTGGACGAAGAAGGGGGCTCGGAAACACCGCAAGGCAATGTTGATAGTGATGTGGCTGTAGATACAGGTGATGGCGAGGAGTAATCTCGTCTTATTAATAGTACTCGATTCCGCTGCAATTGCAGGATTCTATGGAAGATGTAGATAAAGATGCCTAGGTTATTTCTTCATACGAGAGTTCACTATGTACCTGTCACTAGGATACTGCATGGGGGAAAAAGAAAAGCATGCTTGATATCGTCGTATTCATAGTCTAAGTCTGCAACAACTTAAAAAGCTCGTCAAATCGTCTATGCCCCCTAAACGCCCTCCAACCTAGTCATGCAGTCCAAAAAGCACCAAGTCCATAATAATGGTCGGCAAAATGGACATGCCCGTGATCGTCCCTCTGCGCATCCCTCGCCTTCCCAAGTGCAGATGGTATCAATGAGAATGCGAGAAAAAAACCCATGTGCTGCGGTAGAGAATGAAATGACGTCAAGTAGTCAATTTCCCAATGAAACCAAACAGTATCCTCCGCCTGCTTCACACGCTTGCTGCCTCTGGAAAGAGGGGCGTCCAATGCCTCATGGCGTCAGCGTGCATCCATGGTCCGCTCTCCTTTTCTATTTTTAGCCCCAAGTTATATATAGGTATATATCGGCTCTGCTTTACTGCGACGCGCACTGGACGCGCTCGCCGCCAGGGTGGCCATCCTCGTCCTCGTCCTCTCCCATGGAGTTAGGGTCTCCGAAGACCTTGGTCTGAGCCTTGGTATCCAAGTCTTCCAAATCAGCAGGCTCCGTCATGGCCTCAGCAGGGGCAGCAGGCTGTGATGTAGGGGGTGGCAGGATCTTGCGGAGAGTCTCGAAAGCCTCGGCATCGTCGGTCCAGTTCTTTTCGGGGAACTTGACATCGAAGCGGATGTAGAGGTTACCATAGTCGTGGTGTCTGTATGAGGGCATACCCTGACCGCGGACCATCTTGACAGAGTCTAGAAAATGTGTTAGTTTTACCGTTAGATTGAATAGAACGCGGAGTAAGAGAGATACATACCAGGTGCAATAGCCTCTCCGGGCAGGATGTCAATGCTGAGCCATCGGTCATCTAGGTGCTCGACGTAGATGGTACCACCAGCAAGGGCAGTGACCAGCTCAATTTCGCATCGGTAGAGAAGATCGTCCTCCTTGCGAGTGAAGCGTGCGTGGGGCTTCTGCTCAATCTCGAAAACAACGTCACCGGCCTGGACGCCGGGAGCCTGGTCACCTTCGCCGCGGAACTCGACCTTGGTGCCGCTTCTGACACCCCTGTCGACGTGGACGTGGAGGACCTTTCGGTCAACTGTGGTCTTCTTGCCGTTGCACTGCTTGCAGCGGTCCTTATCCTTGATGATTTCTCCTTCACCATTGCAGTCGGGGCAAACGGTCTGGAAGCGCTGGATCATGGGACCCATCTGGCGCATCATGGTCTTCATACCGGCTCCGTTACAGCCTGTACACTTGCGGACGGCACCATCCTTTCCTCCGAGACCGTCGCACTTGGGGCAGATGATGGATCGCTGCAGGGCCAGCTTGGAAATCTTGCCTCGGTAGATGTCCTCGAGGGAGACCTTGTGGGTGTGGTGAATGGTGCGAGCCTTGGGAGGACCACGGTTCTGCATACCACCGAACATGCCTCCCATGCCGCCGAAGCCGCCACCGCCAAAGAACTGAGCAAACAGATCCTCAGCAGCCATGCCACCCGCGCCACCTGCACCGCCCTCTAGACCAGCCTCACCATATTGATCGTAGATCTGTCGCTTCTGAGGATCGGAAAGGATCTCATAGGCGTGCGAGATCTCCTTGAACTTTTCTTCCGCAGCGGGGTTGTGTGCATTCTTGTCTGAAGAAAGTGCATGTTAGAAATCATGTTGTTTGTAGTTGACAGTTATCAAGGTAATAGCGTACCAGGGTGGTGCTTCAAGGCACCAATCTTGTAAGCCTTCTTCAACTCCTGCTCCGTAGCTGTGGGAGCGACCTAGTATAAACCGTGTTAGTCTCTCCGTCCAGATCCAAGCCGTGGGGGCGTATTAGGTCCAATACATACACCAAGGGTGTCATAAAGTCCTGTCTCCTTCACCATGATGTCGGATTATAGAATATCAAAGAAATTGATTTTTGTTTGCGCCAAAAAGAAAAGAAACCGACGGCAAGCGTTCGACGATAAAAAAGAGGCTCTGTGGAAGAGTGATTAGTCAGAGCTAATAGAAGAGTCCGCAGCAACCGAGCGCCCGTGGAAACTTCTAGGCAGCGAAGAGAAAAGAAGAAGAAAAATAGCAAACTTGTGCTATCGTGCCCAGTTTGGAGAAACGAGGTTGAAGGGATTACGTTGCGAAACGCTGGTGGTGACGGTGGAAGAAGGTGGAAGCGTGGCCAGCGATTGCGCCGAGGGGCAAATGCTGATAAAAAAACGGCCCTGTGGTTTTTATCGTACCTGAGAAAATAGCCCAGCAGAAAAAAAAGATAGCGTGCCTGGAAAGCCGCTGAGGGAACGGTGGGGCGTTGGAGAAATTTGCGGGATGAAGAGGTTGAAGTTTGATTCTTTTTCTTGCTCGAGGAGGAGGAGGATTCGAGAGAAGCCGAGTTAAGCGGCGATAGAAGCAGCAAAGGTGAAGTTGTGCCGGTCTGGTGGTTTATTTGAAAGAAACGAAGAGAAGAATGTTCCGGTCAAGGGAAGCGGCCTTTGGTCAGTAGCCAAGGGCAGATCAAGCGCCGCCTTGGAGGATTAAAAGGGCGGTTGCAGGGGTCCCAAGGCTGGTGCGCCTCATGGAATTGTATCGAAGAAAGTCGATGGTGTGGCGGTGCCCGATAACGCAAAAAGCTGGCAACCTTTGTGCTGCCATGCGGGCTAGCAGCGGGTACCGCCGAGTATTTGTTTGTCACTGTACAGAGGCGAGACAAGAGGCCGAGCTTCGCATTGGTTCGGAGTCCGGAGTAGGGAGGACAATATGGTAGCACGATTGTGATTGTGATTGCTTTGTTTATTAGTACCTAGTATTTCCTTTGTTACTCGTCACTCAGATTCCTGCTCCTTGGATCTCACATCTTTCCCATTCGATTCGATGCCCTTTCAGAACTGTGGCCGCGTACCGCTCTAGTACTAGGACGGTAAGTCAGGCACTTGTCGCAGCCAAAAGCGGTGCTAGCAGAAGGCACATGGCAGCAGACTTGGAACCCAATCGAAAATGAGGCTGTATCGCTACGTGGCCGGTACTTGAGCCCAGCTGCCTCGTACTGGTTCTTGCATTAAACTTTCCGATGCTGCTCTTTCTCCATCTTCACGCACTCCGCACTTGTACCTGTACCACCTCCGCTCCTCACCAAACAACCTTGGTAAAGTCAATCTCGGCCATCAGCCGTCGGGCTTCTTCAAGATTTTTCTTTCTTGTCTGCTGGTATCCGTATCCGTCCCGTCTTTCCACCAACAGAATCCCTGTCCTGTCAAACAAACGGTAGGGTAGCAGTACACGTACTTGTACATGCTTCGTACAGCAAAAAGGTGAAGAACAGCTGGCCGACCAGGTGCCAGGATGGATCCCGCTGCACCTCCACGAAAACGTCGGCCGTCGATTTTGCCTGATCAAATCATCGATCTCGCTCAGCGGACCCCGTTGTTGGCCGCGTGGAAACGGACTAGCCTCAATGCACGCCCGCGAGCTTCTTCCAACAAAAGGGATGGATGGAAAGCAACGGGCTGGCTGACACCGCCACACGTCCAGCCGGGATGTGGTCGAGGCAGCTGGCAGACTACCGTAGATGCACAGACTGACAAAGCCGTGCTGTACTGATGGGCTCCCCTGGTTTTGAAAAGGCATCCATCCACATCAATCCTTTGTGTGACCCGGCTAGGCCATTATACAGTAATTTGCCCATGCATTCTGTGGAACCCGGGTACTAACAATATAGGATACAATAAAGTCCATAGCCTCGTATTACTCCATACACGGTACTCTGCTAATTGTAATCATTGTCTAAGCCAAAGTCCGTCCACCAGGAGCCGAAGCAAAAGGTACATGTAGGGATTTGCTTTTGCCCATCACACCAGTTGGATATCTAGTATCTCGTGTCCCAAAGGTAATAAGCAGCCAGGCGCTAGAATAAGGTTGAGGCACCTAGTAGAGATTTGGCATCAGATAACAAGTCCGCGGTGTGTGTAATATGAGGCTGCATAAAATTCAATGGTATTCTTGCAAAAAAAGAAAGACGCATACCTGGGTAGTATCTAAGGCTCTCTAATAAATAAAGTCATACTGTACAACTCTGCACCGGTAAACAAAAAGGTGGCAAAGAGGATGTGGAGGTATCATGCGAAAGGGCGCCCAAGCCAAGAAAGAATGAATGCCATGTCCCGAATACAAAATGCAGCCATACCACACAAAAAACGTCAAACTCGTTAATGCCGTTTGCGTGCCATATGCCCGCCGTCTATCGTCTGCTCTCATTTTCTGTCCGTCCGCTCAACCGTCTTAGAACGCATCTTCAAAGGGGCAATCCACGCTGTCATGACCATCTCGCTCGCATATAGCGCACCACTTCTCGAGGTCCAGGACACCGCTCTCCTTGCCAGCCACGGGCCCTGATTCCATAGGGTTGGGGGTGATCCTGACTGCCGGAACTGATGCGGGCTCCTCCTTGGGAATACCGGGGGTTAAAACAGCTGGGTGGTGAATCTCGTCACCCGTGGGTGTAAGAGGCTTGAGGTCCTCTTGGGCATTTTCTCTTCGCGCCTTCTCTTCAGCTTCCTCATCATCTTCGTCCTCCTCTTTAATGGGGTTGGCATTAGGCTTGGAATTCTTGGCGCTATCGGTGCCAAACATGTTTGTGCATGTCAGGATGTCATGGCCACCAGTCTCGCAAATCTCGCACCAAAGAGTGCTACTCTCGGTGGCGGTCGAATAGGTGTCGCTCTCGTGCATCGTATCGAGGGTGCTTATCCGCTTGTGAGACAGCTCCGGCGATCGTGCTTCGTGGGATCGAGTAGACAGGATGGTGTCCCGTGAGTCTCTTACAGATGATCGCCGAATGGGAACAGAATCACGGTTCGACTCGCGGTTCGACTCACGGTTCGGTTTGACACTGCTTGAGCGCAAGAATTCAATCTCGTGCTGCAGCTCCTCCTCTCGGTGGCTCTTCTCCTTCAATACCTGCTGAAGCTCAGCAACTTGTCTCTCCAGGTTGTCTCGAGCAATCTTATTTTCGATGGCATCCTTTTCGCCGATTAATGAACCGGGGCGCGGCCTGGGAGTATGGCCCTCGGCGCCAGGGATTGAATCCCGGCTAAGGGAATGGATAATGGCCTTGAGTCCTCGAATTTCATCTTCCTTCTGCTCCAAGCTCTTAGCTAGTGCAGCACTATCGCCGCTCAAGGCCGCTGCATTATGAGGGATAACGCGTTCCTTTTCTCGTCGAAGCTCCGAACGGGTCCTCTCCACCTCTCCTCGCAAGAACTCGGCCTCTCCACGGGCCTCAGCCTCGCCACGACGAGCATCCTCTAGACCCTCTTCGAGCTCCTGCACTAGCTCCTCGAGTTGCTTTAGTTGGGTCGCTACGGAGTCCACATCCAAGTTTCTCGATTCGAGCTCGCGAATATCCGCTATGAGTTCCTCTATCCGCTTCTCATACACCCGCTCAGTCTCTGTGCTGGCCATTTCGAGTGTGTCAATAGTACTCCGGAAATCCGCTCGATGGGCATCGAATTCTATGGTGAGCATGGCGATTTTGTCATTCTTTTCCCGCAGCATGTGTCGAAGCTGAGATGCATCTTTATCGTCTATGCTGCTCCGTCTCAAGCCCATTCCATCTGGGTTCTCTATCAGAGTTTGAAGTTCTGTGAGACTACTCTCCATTTCGGCCAATGTTGCGGCTTGCTCCTTCAGCTGTCGGTCTCGGTCTTCTAACTGGGTGCGTAGCCGCTCAATTTCCTCATCGTTGATAGAGGTCGCCCGGGACGGTGGACGCAAGGAGAGCGACCCCAGGCTTGTGTTGATCTTTGCTGGAGGTGTAGGCATTGCTATAGGTGCCGGTTCTTCGTCAAAAAGAGGTTCAGGGCCAAGAGACGAAGTGCTACGGGGGCCCCCAAAGCTGGGCCGCCGCTCCATGCCTGGGCCTTTCTTGTTGGGATCGCTCAAGTGCCCGGCAGTCCCGCGCACACTTTGCGAAAATTTACCCGTCGGACTGCCAAATCTTGAGGGAGCTCTGACTGCTGGTGCCCCAATGGACGGGCGTGGACCTGGCGACATGGCCATTTTCCGTTGTGGTGACTCAGTCTGCAGTGAAGGCCGTGGCTTCTTGCCTTGCGGGCTCTGAGCTCGAGACGGGCCTGCCGAGGCGCCCAATTTTGAAAGGCCTGATGTCGGAGGCGTCAAGCTGACCGAGTTGTTCATGCTCAGCTTCAGACCGCTCGAACCGGGCGTAGGCGTCATAGGGGATGGGCCGGAAGACCTTCGGAGGGCCTTGGCAACCGGGACGAAGATGCCAGCACCAGCGGCGTTGGTGGTGAAATAGGAGACGCTGCAAATCCAGACAGACAGAACATGTTAGCGATCGACTCTTGATGTAATGCGGTGGCGATGCGCCAGACAGCGCTGTGGTGCGGCTGGTTCTCTCCTTACCCATCAACGTCGCCGTTATTCTTGCCCCTTGCGGCGAATTCTGAATCCAGCTCGACGCCGACAAATGTGCCCTTCTTGCCCTGGACGGTGCCGACAAAACGGACAGTGCCGACCATGCCTCCAGGCACATTGACAGAGTCGCCGACGGACAGCTCCATGGCGGGTGGCGTCTCGGGTTCCTCGTGAATGGTGTTTTCGGGCGCTTGGTTCAGAACTGAGTCGATGGCGTAGCTCTCGCTGACATCGGGGATGCTGGCCAGGGAGCTCGGAGTCAGGGCCGCGACTGACGTCTTGCGCAGTAGCTTGGACTGCGAATAGGCGGAGGCCAAGTCCGGTGTCGAGGCTGTCTTGGAGTTGGAGAGAGAAGGTCGTCTCAGGCGCGAGAACGATTTAACGGGGGAGGAGATTGAAATCGACATTATTCGATATTCGGTGCGGTTAAGACCAGACAGAACCCCACTGGCTTTGCGGTAGTGGCGCCCCGTTCCGGTCGGGAGCTGCTGGGCCAGGAACAAAAGTCAAAAAAAGGGGACACTGACACCCCGGTCGCCAATACAGCTCCCTTCTTATTGAAAGAAAATCCGATCGTATTCGATCAACTGCTTGTCACTGGTATTCTGGGCGGCTTTCGCTGAGCTGGGCGACAAGGGGACGGAAACGAGATGAGCAAGGTAGGATGCTTAGGTTAGGAGGTACCCGACCTCTTTAATTAAACAGAACCTGGGATGCGCCAATCAATACCCAGATGGATGACAATAAACATGTAGCGGGAAAAAGAAGGCACGGCAGAAGCAGATTTTGGAAGCGCCAGACTTTGTGAAGAATATCGCAAGAGAAAGAAATAAAACAAAGCGAAAATAGACGAGCAGAGATAAAAAAAAAAAAAGATGTGACAGGAGGTGGTCGCAACAGGGCAGCGGGCATTGTTTGTTTATTCTCGCAATGAGCTGGAGGCCACCACGTTATTGGCTGTCAACACCCAAGACGTCTTGACGTCCAATCTCCTGCCGCCATCTCGTAGCCAATGACACTAAGAACCGGCAACATCATCAAGGTAATAGGGCATGGGACTAACAGTCATAAAACCTAGGCTACTTAGACTCGCCCCTTGTCCTGTCAGAGTTGATCACATAAATCAATCACCGCGTCAGCAGGTCAAGCGCGAGACCTCGAGAAAAATGCGCACTGTAGAATTCCATCCAAGCAGGTGATATGTTCTATTGTGTGTTATTTTACTTGAATGAAAAGAAACTTAAAAAAGAAAAAAGAAATAAATAGCGTAACATACATGTACCTTATTCTGTAAGAGAAGTATAAGTAGATCGGTCCAGCAGATGTAAATAGAGAGATCTACAGGTACCTAGATAGGGGTAGTTCTAGAAGATATGGATAATTCTAGTGGATGTAGGCAGATCTATCAGAAACGTGTATGGATATCAGGTAGTCAATGTGAACCTTGTTGCATATCTCCAGCATCATGTGAACATGAATGGAGCACGCTGTCAGCTGAATTCTTATTCAACCTACCCACCCCTCTATTTATACAGGACATGCTACTGGTAAAGACCATAAATTAGGGCATGTGATAGCGTTATGAATCATCCGGCCACCGAACAAAGAATGCCCTTCCAGAAGTTTCCTTGTTCTGCTTGCGTAAAGAAGAATGCGCAATGAACGAGTGCAAGCTGGTGTCCCTTTGCTACTGCATTCGCGTCAGATGGGTTGATATCTCTCCAAGACGAGGGGCGACGGACCTCATAGTTATTATATATACATCTCTCATCACCAATATCATCCCGCTGTGCATAGCTCTCGTCTGCAGAGTACCAGTAAGTATCATCTCGCGTGTTTGAATATGTGCTCCCTGACTACACGCATCACAACGTCATGCTGGAGGAGATGCGTCTCGCTCAATAATGTCTTCCCGGCCCAGGGGTCGTGTTCCGTCATTGAGAACCATTGCCTCGCGATGTTGGCGCCGAAGCCTTTGTTCTTCTGCCGAATGCTCCCTAGTCCGCCGGCTTTGTTGCTCTCCCGAATGTTCTCCCGCTGCAATCTCCTCTTCCACTTCCATGAGCAGATCGGGAAGCTCTCTCATTCTACGTCGAGAGCTTTCTTTATCAATCAGCCCTGCTTTTTCCAAAGCCCGTAAACCACGCCGCGAATGCTTGATGCGGTTCACAATGTCGGTTATCCGGTTATTTCGAAACTCCATGTAGTCTTTAAAGTTGTGGCGTCTTTCCTCAGCAGTATTCCCCCAAGCTTGCTTCGCAAGCCACTTCTCAACAAACTTGGCCTTGACGAGCATAGTGGCCCCGTATTTGTTAATCAGCTCTGTGATAAACATGAGGCAGAATCTTTCGCCCATATCGCGGAGAAAGTATTCGTCCCAGTGAATATCAGTGACGTCTGGGAGATCGGCGCTCTCCATGCACAACTCCATGCATCGCACCAAGGCGGAATAGGCTCTCTCGTCATGCAGTCTCGCCAGCCCTTCATTGCCTGTCTGGCTGGTGAGCACAGCAAGCGTCCTCAGGGAGTCCATTCGCTCTTCATAATCTGGTCGAGTGATCCCGAACCATATATATGTTATTACTTCAGGGTCATTAGCAGCTCTGTCGCAAAGAATCTTGACGGCAATTTCTTTGATTGAGAAGTTTGGATGGTCCAGAAGCTTTTCCAATGTGTCTGACTGAAGCGAGTCCTCGGTGTCCTGCGTGATGTACTGCGTCTTGGGCTCCGACGGAGGAATCTCATTGTCGTCTCGGATCAACGTGAGAGCTGTGATGATCGTACTAACCACACCAAACGTAGCCAGCCCGATACTAACTAAAATTACTCGCTCATCGCGTGCAAATAATAAGAACCGGCTTGTCCAGCCCATGTCGTCCCACGAGTGCCTCTTTTCCGGCGGGATCACATGGGGAAAGTCGATAAATACATAAGATACGGTTGCTGGTGATGTTGTTATAGGTGGAAAGCTTCTTGACGCAGCTCAGTTTAAGTCACGTCCCACTAAGCAAGGCACGTACCCACCTTCTTGTTTGTCCCCACCAACGACATTTACGCTAGGCACTGCTATCGATAAGCCGCCGTCAAAAAATTTAGCAAGTTCAATTCGCTGTAGCAAGCCATGTTTCTGTGAGCAGGCAACTTTTCGTGATCAAAGATTTGGTCGTGGAAACAAGCAATCATCGACCATGGCCGGCTCCCAGCTCAAGCGCCTAAAGGCGTCGCTGAGAGAACAAGGAATCACAGGTCCTCAAAAGTCCAAGAAGCAGCGGCGGAAGCAGGCTCAGGATGATCCGTCTCGGAATGACAAGCGTCTGCAGAGAGGCGTTGTTCTCGAGGGCATTCGAGAGCAATTCAACCCGTTTGACCTCAAACATGCTGCGCGTGGGCCTAAGTTTGAGGTGACCACCAATCGGCCAAAGCCTGGAAATGCTGCCATCAAGGGACGACCTGGTCTGGCCAAAGCTGCCGCCGAGGAAAAGGTATGAAAGCGCCTCTCCCTCTTACCCGCCAACTATTTCTCTGACACTCTATACAATAGCGCAAGCAAACCCTCCTCGTGGATATGCAGCGTCGTAACAAAGTCGGTGGTATTCTGGATCGACGATTCGGCGAGAACGACCCAACGATGGCCCCTGAAGAAAAAATGCTGGAACGATTTGCTAGAGAAAAGCTGAAATCGCACAAAAAGAATTCTCTTTTCGATCTGGAGGATGACGAACCAATGGATGGTTTGACACATATGGGGCGAACCTTGGCTTTTGACGACCAGGAAGATCCGGTGGACGACTTTAACGAAGACGATCTCGAGGAGGATGGCGAAGATAGCGATGGGTCAAGCCGCGAGAAGCGACTTAAGCGCCTGCGCGCCATAATCGCAGCAGGTGAAGAGGAGGCCGAAGAGGGCGAACCCGAGCGCAAAAAGACAAAGAAAGAGGTCATGGAAGAAGTCATTGCAAAGTCAAAGCTTCACAGATACGAGCGACAAGCGGCCAAAGATGACGACGAAGACCTTCGGACGCAGCTCGACAAAGAGCTTCCCAACATTAAACAACTTCTCTCATTTGGTATCAATGGCGCGAGGCGTCAAGACAATGCTGCGCCGTTGTCTGCTATTGCGGGCGTCGAACGAGACGCCTTTGACAAGAATTTCGATATTGAAGTCAAACGACTGGCTCAAGATAAGAGGGCAGCACCGTCCAATCGCACCAAAACAGACGAGGAGAAGGCAGAAGAAGAGTCTGCCAAACTCAAGAAGCTTGAAGAAAAACGCCAGAAGCGAATGATGGGCGAAGAGGTATCAGACAGCGACGAAGACGAAGCGGATAAGAAACGCGACCAAGTTTCTGGTGATATGGAAGAGGAGGAAGATGATGACGATGAGTTCAGCCTCGGACAGGGTATCAAGGCTAGACCGACAGCGACGGAGCTGGGCTTCGATGATGAGGATGATTTCATCATTGAAGACGACTTGGTGGCTAGTGGATCTGACCTGGACCTTGCAGACAGTGACAACGAGTTTGACAATGAAGGCGAAGAAGATGACGACAGCTCCGCAAGCCAAGCCGAGGATAATGAAGATGACGATGACGAATTCACAAAGGGTCTATTGAACGAATCAGAAACTAAAAACCCCATATTCCAAGCAAACTTCTCTTCCAACGACAAGAACGATGAGAACGGATTACCATTCACCTTCCCTTGCCCTCAGTCATGTTCCGAGTTTGTGTCCATCACCAAAGACTACGACCATGCAAATTTGCCAAAAATCGTCCAGCGCATTCGAGCGCTGCACCATCCCAAACTTGACAGCAAGAACAAGGAAAGACTAGCGAATTTCGCTGTGGCCTTGGTGGATTTTGTGGCCCTTCCTTGGAATGCAGAGACATCACCATCCTTCTCCGTCTTGGAAAGCCTTGTGCGTCACATTCACTCTCTCTCCAAGATGTTTCCCATCGAAATTGCCAGGCAGTTCCGGCATCATCTTGGAGAGATCAGCCAGAATCGGCCCATTGCGCTGCAGCCGTCAGACCTGACGCTTCTTACAGCGATTGGGACCATCTTCCCAACGTCTGATCACTTCCATCAGGTTGTGACCCCTGCAATGCTCACAATTGGCCGGTACATTGGCCAAAAGGTGCCTCGAGAGATGTCGGATTATGCCATTGGTACATACTTGTCCATTCTGTCCCTGCAGTATCAACAATTGGCCAAGCGCTATGTTCCCGAGGTGATTAACTTCTCCCTCAACACACTCTGCTCCCTTTCACCAACAGCCCCCTCACATCTCTTGGGCAACTTCCCGATCCATGAACCACCGGCTGGAAGCCGCATTCAAAAAGCCAAGGCTGTTGGGCTAAGGCGTCTTAACTTCTCCGACTGCTTGCCTGAAGCTTCACAGGGGGGCAGCAATGCTCTCAAGATTGCTCTACTCTCCACAACTATTCAATTGCTCGATGCCGCTGCAGACTTGTGGACTGGAAAGTCTGGGTTTTTGGAGACTTTCAGCCAAGCCATTGAAGTTTTGGGTCACATCAACAGCAAGTCATCACGAGAGCACCTCCCGGCGGCTGTAAGTGATAAAGCAGAGAGGCTAGAGGAGAAGTTGAAGCGGATGTCGCGAGTCTCACAGCTAGCACGCCGGCCTCTGGAGCTTCACCACCACAAACCCCTCGCGATCAAGACATATATACCCAAGTTTGAGGAGACGTTTGATCCTGATAAGCACTATGATCCTGATCGCGAGAGGGCCGAGATGGCCAAACTCCAGAAGGAGCACAAGAAGGAACGCAAGGGCGCCATGCGGGAACTGCGGAAGGACGCCAACTTTATGGCAAGAGAGAACCTCCGGGTCAAGAAGGCAAAGGACGAAGCCTACGAGAAGAAGTACAAGAGACTCATTGCCGAGATTCAGAACGAGGAGGGACGAGAAGCAAATGCTTACGAGAGGGAGGCCAAGGCACGCAAGCGAGCGAACCGCAAGTAGATGTAGATGCAGATGTATATACCTTGTGCAAAAGCTGTTTAATGGAAGTATATTCCTACCATGTTATCGCAACATTATGAGTCAATTCATAGACACATCATGATAAATGCTATGGATTCCCCGGTGAAGAGTCATAGGGGAGAAGTATAAGTGATTTTAGGTGGTGGCAAGGCTAACATGTGGCTGCCCCGCCAGGCAGCTAAAGTGCTGCTTATCGGCTCTATCGCATAAAAAAAGTTCATCGTGGGGTTGCACCTGGAGCTGTAAATGTAGACCGCAAAGCCTCTCTCCTCCTTGTCCTTTCCTTTTCCTTTCCTCCTCTCCCGCTGATGGAACCATGTGTATCCAGGCGCCTCGTCTACTCCATATCATTTCCGCTTCGACATCTCTCCTCTCCCGCCTGTAGACGGACGCGACAGCTTAGCATTCCCAGCCTTTCCATCGCCAGATACTCTACCTCTCTCTCCAACAATCCCACGAGACCGCGGCAATCGCGATTAGACAGCTCGATTCACACCTCACATCTGCCGTTGCAGCATCATCATCTACGATTCTACTCTAGGATCTTCAAAAAGGCTCACGCCGATTCCACCACCATGACGACCACAGTTGAGCTTGCTGCCGTCCCCTCGGTCGACACTCCGGGCACATGTATATACATGCATCACGACAAACGCTCGTATGTGTTTGGTCGCGTCACAGAGGGAACGCAGCGAGCATTTGGCAGCCGCAAAATACACATGGGAGGGACAGAACATGTCTTTCTTAGCGGCAGCGTCAACTGGGAGCAGTTGGGCGGCCTCTGTGGCTATCTGCTGAGTGTTGGCGGAGCTATTGAGTCAGCCAAAGAGTTCACAACGCAGGAGAACGCCAAGAGGGTGCAGAAAGGCCAGAAGCTTCTTAACAAGACACTTCATGCCGGAATTGCGGTGCACGGCGCGGACAACCTGTGCCACACGCTGGCAGCATGCCGACCCGTCATCTTTCGACAACCCATTTGCGTGCGGACCTACGAGCACAGGACAGACCCGCGAGCTACAGACGCGGCAAACCTCGAGCCAGATTGGTCAGATGATGCCATCAAGGTCTGGAAGATCCCCGTTCGGCGAGCACGATCGAGTAGTCCCCGTAAGAGGCGGCACAGCGATCCTACCATGGCCGTGGATGAGGATGCGTCTCCAGAGGATGCCATATTTCAACCGCGACCAACTGTTTCGGATCCAGAAGTTGCGAGTGCTATAGTGGAGAGGATCATGTTCAATGGCAGTTTGAAGAACCGATCCGTCCTGATACCCAAGAAGATCCGAGATCTCAAATCCACAGATAAAGCTGCCATTGTAGAAAATGGCACAATCAGGCTGTACAAGGGGCCTTACATGGCTGACGGCGTAGAGGTTCCAAACCCGGATGATACCGTGTGGCATTTCCCGGACATTGGAGAGATTGGGGTAGATGATAGGAGCAATAACGTTCTCGCAATCAACCACTTCCCACTTCCCAGGACCACATACGGCGAGACATCTATGAGTTACATCATCAAGACTCATGACCGCAGAGGGAAATTCAATGCTCCTGTGGCGAAATCTCTGGGAGTCGAGCCTCGGGACTTTAAACTCCTTACTGCAGGCCAAAGCGTCCAAGGAAAGGATGGCCTGGTGACACCCGAAATGGTTCTCGGAGAGACCCAACGGGGGAGAGGTATCATTGTAGCGGATATTAGCAGCCAAGATTTCGTCGAGTCCTTCATGGAGCGACCTGAGTGGAAGAGCAAAGAGTTAATGGAAAACGTCGCCGTCATGTACTGGATCTTGGGGCCAAACATGACCAACGACGCACGAATCCAGCAATTCATCCAACAGCATGCCAGCATTAAGCACATTTTCTGCGCAGATGAGGCATGCCCAAACATGATTACACACCCCGGTGCCGCTACTATTCAGACCAAGTTGCGCCGAATCGACCCCGAAAGATTTCCTCTCCTCAAATTCGAAAACACTGTCCGATACCCGGCCCCTTCAGAAGGCTCTCCGATTGAGTTGGGCCGTGCTGGACAAAAATTCCAGCTCATGCCGCGTCTTGTATTCGACGACCAAGCCATTGCTCCATTCCCCGATTTGGTCGAGGCCTACGACTCTGTAGACGATGAGGTCCTCAAGATGGCCGAAGAGGCTCGCGCTGAAGCCACAAACCCCGAATTTCTGGAGCGGGTTGAGAAGCAAGAGTTTGACATCCCGAACCGTGACGCAGAAATTATCCCTCTCGGCACAGGTTCATCTGTTCCCAGCAAATACAGGAATGTTTCTGCCACGCTGATTCGAGTTCCAGGAATTGGAAACTATCTGCTGGACTGTGGTGAGGGAACACTGGGCCAGATTCGACGCCTTTTTGGCGCTGAAGAAGCGGCAGATGTTCTGCGTAACCTGCGGTGCATCGTTATCAGCCACGTCCATGCCGACCATCACATGGGTACCCCTTCGCTCATCAAGGCATGGTATGAACAGACCTTGAGAGACAACAGCAACGCTACACTCGCAATATCCTGCATCGGACGTTACCGAATCCTGCTGGAGGAGCTGTCCCAAATCGAGGATATCGGCTACCACCGACTACGCTTCCCCAGCTGCCCCTGGCCAAAGGAGAAAGACCGAGACCTGACGACCCGCGAGGACCTCGGCGAAGAGAACTTTGGCCTTGCCTCCATCAAGCGAGTTCCCGTCCCCCACTGCTGGCGCTCGTTTGGCACGCAGCTGGAGCTTACATCCGGCCTCAAAATCGCCTACTCTGGCGACTGTCGGCCGTCGAAGCTGTTTGCGCAGGAATGCAAGGGCGCGCACCTCCTGGTCCACGAATGCACCTTTGGCGACGACAAGCAGGACCACGCAAAGGCCAAGAAGCACAGCACCATGGGCGAGGCTCTCGGGGTGGCGCGCGAGATGGGCGCTCGGCGGACTCTGCTGACGCACTTTTCACAGCGGTATTCCAAATCGGACTCGCTGAGGAGGGAGCGTGTCGAGGGCGTCGAACATGATGTGCTGCTGGCGTTTGACTTTATGGCGGTGAAGTTGGGAGATTTCCAGAAGGCGGCATGCTACTTGCCGTCGGTGGAGAGGTTTATGGAGAAGCTGGCGGATTGAGTTGCCTGTGTATGTATATATAGCGATCCCGAGGATGATGATCCAACCCGAAGCATTGTTTAGATAGATGGAGAAAATACTCGATATAGAATCTCCTGTCACTTCTCCAGGTTTGCTGCTTGTTCTATCGAGCTGAGCTCACCTCCCCTGAAAAAAAAAAAAAAAAAAAGACTATAGATATCCTCACTTGGCCTTTCTTCTCTCTGTGTATATATCACTCCTACATCTCCATGTCATATATAGCACAGCCAATATACCAGAGCGGATACGTCATCCTTCAACGATACAAGCAAGCATAGCATCCATCACCTGCTAGGTCCTCCCCACCCCATCGTCTCATAGCACGACGCAGCATCTTCATCCTGTTCTCTCCCTTCCAACATCGCCAACGCCGCCTTGTGATTTTCACTCTTCTCCCTCTCTGTCTCCCTCTCTCTGTTGGCACAATACTTATTCTCATTATTCAGCCGCAACGACGCTATGGCGGCTGATTCACGCATAAACTCAGAAAACACCGAAAGCGCTTCTTCAAACATCGTCGTCGTCTTCGTTGTGGTTTTGACACGCTCGTCGCAAGAGTACACGCTCGATGCTGTGTCCTCACGAGTCAAGATGTCTTCGCTGCGGGGCAGTTGAACGATGTGCGGCGAATCTTCGTCGATTTTGCTTGTCCAACTTGAGGTTGTTTTTGTGTCGAAGCTGAGCTTGCCTTGTATGCTGATGCTTTTACAAGATGTGTCATCGTCAGGGGTTAGCTGGCGGTGGCCTTGCACCAAAAATTCTTCTTCGACGACTTCCTTTTCACATGTATCTTTGTCTAATGACGTGTCTTTCCCAAAGTCGTGTTGTTGCTTTACCCCATTAGATTTGGAGTCCTTCATCTTCTCGGTAGTGCCATTGTCCTTCTGAGAAGAGTAAATTGAAGATGTAATTCTCGTGCAATCACAATCCTTGTCCACAACAAGACGGGGAAAAAATCCCGGCTCCTGTTCCTGCTGCTCAACCACCGTCTCCTGAAGTGACAACAGCGTCTCCATCTTCTCAGTCTTCTTAGCAAGCCTCTCCTTATCACGCCTTCGAAGTCTCGGCTGTCGTGGAATCGGTAGCCCTTCTTTCGTCAACCTCACTCTCACATTGCTACGCCCTCTAGGTGGCTTCCCCCTTCTTCTCCGTCTCTCATCTCGTTTATCTCTCTTCTTCCTCGCCAAAGTGCGCATTTCGACAATCTCACTCGCCATGGCTTTGCTACATTCGCAAATCTCTTTCTGGGAGTCCTCCTGAAAAAAGGATATCCACGAGTCAATCACCCTTAGCAATCGTGGCCTCCTATATTCCCGCCCCATAAGCTCCGTATTATACGTCTGTCTCGCCAACACACTGGCCCGAAGATCCGTAAGACATATCGAAGAGCCACCAATCACAGCAAGCATACATGCCTCGCACTTGGTCCTGGTGCAATCTGGCATCCTATCCTTGAGATGACACCCAAAGACACGCCGAAACTTGTCTTCGCCCAGCCAAAGCGCCGTTATAGAATCGACTCTCTTCATCCAATCCTCCAGTGAAGGTTTCAGCATCTTTTTGAGTCGTAGGCTGCGATACCGATTCGTCTGTATCGTACACTCGTCCACAACCAACTGCAGTATACATCGGATGATTCTCGAGTCTAGAGCTTTATGTGCCGTGCATAGCCTCGGTTCCTCTGGGTAAAGTGGTAATCTGTGCCCACACAAGCCGAGAGTGAGGCGCGCTAATAGGTTTCTTGGACGCAGCAGCTTAACGTCGAGCTCCTCGATTTGTTGCTCTTGTTTAGCGAGCCAGTCTGTAGCTCGGTGACCAAAATAGTCGGCGGTATCCATGTAAAGCAGCTTCGTGAGCTGCCGAAGGGCTTCATCGGAGACGTCTGCAAGAGCTGGGTCTCGCCGCTTAATGAACCACAGCATGGTTCCGCATCTGTCTCCTTTTCCAGTAGTGGTGGATAGTAATGGTGAGTATGATCAAAACATAGTCAAGGCAGTAATGATAATGATAACAGTAAAGAATGAAAGAGGGTTGATCAACGACGCATTAATCTCAGTGAGATGATGCAAATATTGCAAAGATAAAAAACTTGGCCCTCCTTTCTCCTTCATGGCTTCATTTCTCTCTTTTGCCAGTCATCCAGCCGAGTAACTCCTTCACATAGGTAGCAGTCATAGAAGATTATACGTAGTCGAGCAACCTCGTATAACTTTAATAAGCGTGAAGGAGTGAACATACCATCTCTTTATAAAAAAAAAAACTCAACCCCTTAAAGACAGTTCCCTCGGCAGCATGCATGACATAGCCCAAGCTGATGAAGCAACCTCCTCATGGCTCGCTTCGAATAGGTCTTTCAACTTTGGTTGCTGTGAATATCATCTGAAAACGAGCATATTCAAGTTGTAGCAGGTCAAGACTTTCAACACATTTTGATAATCGCAATTGTGGAGGGTATATTAGATTTTTCGAGAAAGACCTTTGCACACTTCGTCCACCAACAACGAGGCGCGCCCTGCCCTGCTCCGTCGTGTTATAAACCATCCCCAGTTCTCTCACCCCTAATCCGTGAATGTGGACGCCGACCCTCCCAAGACGATGAAACCTCTGAGATCAAATCCTACGCTAGAAAAAAGAAATGAAGAACAAATGAAACTAAAAAAAAAAAGAAAAAGAAAAAGAAGAGAAAAGGAGAGAAAAGAAGGTTGGAACTGCAAACAGCTCAAAGCGCTAAAGTACAATGGCAAATCTACCGGAGGGTCATGTTGGCACCCCTCCAGCGGGAAATGGACTTTCCCTCCCTATACACATCCAGTGTGTGTGCGCTACCACGGAATCTGATCATGCTTATGTAGTCATTATAAAACGAAATATGTCGGCTCGTCCTTTGGTAATACTTCATCCAACATAGTGGGCGTGCTGTCTCGCCTTGTCCACCTCTAGTCGTCTCCGTTCGAAGCGAATCTTGGCGGCCTCGGTTCCGTCGTCAGGCTGGGCCATTTCTTTAAACCACGGGTGGTTAAGGGCCTGCTTGGCCGTGATGCGGTGCGCAGGGTCGTAGACGAAAATCTTCCTCAGCAAATCAAGGAAGTTCTTGAAAAAGGTTGAGTTTGAAGGGATTATGTCCTAAGTCGCCCTATTAATTCGCTGCCAAGTTTTAATAGCTGGAGAGGTACAAAAGCTTACGCTCAGGTGCTTCATGGCCTTAACAAAGCGTCTGGAACCCCTGGTTGTGTCGGGGGTTGGATAATCGAGCCTAAGTCTCTTGAAGTACCTGCGAGACATCTGGTCAGTATGGAAATTGTTGTTGATTCAGGGCGGCCAGTGCTCACTTGGAAGCAGGATTTCCTCCACTCCTAGTAGACATCTTGTTGACCGCTTGAACAAGATGGGTATCTATCCTAGAGCCAACGACGGCTTCCATCATGGCTAGGTGTTCGAGATTGTCGTGTGTCTGGAACAAGGCATCGCCGGTAAAAAATTCGACCAGGATGCATCCTATGCTCCAAATGTCGCAGGGGAAAGACCAGCCCAAGCCAAGGATGATCTCGGGAGCACGATAATGGCGAGTACTGACAACCGATGAGTGATATTCGTCTTGGAACGTAGCTGATCCAAAATCGATCAAACGAATCTCGGTGTCAAGAAGCACCCGTCGCTGAGATGCCTGCCTATTAATCGTGGTAGACGACGAAGGGATCTTCCTGTTATACGTAAATGTTTGATAAGAGTTATCACACAAGAGAATATTCTCCGGTTTGAGGTCGGTATGAATCAAGTTCAAGTCGTGAAGAACTAGAAAATGCCCAGTCAGTTTTTGACCCCCAGAATTCCTTTGCTTAGGATTTTGGTTCTTCGTGTACTTACATGCTACGCTGGTGAACAGCTGTCTGGCAAAGTTCTGAATTTGGCTGTTGGGAAAAGGTACAAAGCCGTTGCCTTTGAGAAAGTCGAAAACGCTTTGGCCCAGAAGATCCATGACGATGCAAATGTGGCCGCGGTAGTCGAAACAGTCTCGCAGGTGAATGCACCGATTCCTGTTCTCTTCGTCGTTGGCCTTGAGCGTAGCCAACACGCGAAGCTCGATCCGGGAAGCGTCGCGATATTTCTGGACGGATCGGATGATCTTGACAGCCACAGGCTTGTTTCTCTTGACATCCCTGGCTTCGACCACTTTACCAAAGGTACCCTGACCAAGGAGACGGACAATCTGGTCTAGAAACAATGGTGTTAGCTGTCAATGGCCGAATGGGAGAAGAGCTTGTCCTGTTTATACGTACACTTTTCAGTAAGTTCAGCATCTGGGACGACGATGTAGTGGCCATCATCATCATCAACCTTGGCATTTTTGCTGTAGTGACGCTGTGATGGGGGGAGAAGGAGTTAGCAGGTGGCGATTCTTCATCGAACCATTTTTTCGCTCTTCTTAAGCGTAAACAAAAAAAAAAAAAAAAAAAGGCCGTACAGGTTCAGACTTACATCATGAATGACTCTAACGGGAACCTCAGCAGACTTCTTGGGCGGGTAAGGGGGAGGCTTGTAAGCCATGTAGGCGCCTCCCAGGCCGTCAACATCCCTTCGCTTGGCCTCGTTGGCAGCCTGCTGGCGGGTGGTGCGCTTGCGCTTTAATGGCGCGGCCAGCTCATCATACTGGCTATTTGACGACAGAGACGTGGGCGCGGTGGTGTTCAATGCCGAGTTTGTTCGGTCGCTGGAGAGGGTAGAGCCAGCAGGCGTGGCGGCGTTGGGCAAGGGCGTGTTTGTGTGCGAGCCTGTGTGCGAACCGCCCAAATACTGGACGTGGTAGCCCAGCGGCGGGTCGTCTCGTCTTCGCTTTTTCGCGGCCTGCTGAGCAGCGGCGGCGGCGGCCGAGTCGGGCACGATGGTATTACCATTTGTGATCTTGCGGCCCGTGTTGGCCTCAGGCTCAGGCGTGTCGTCAATGACAATGATTTCCTTGGGGAGGCCGTTCCGGTAGAAATTGTTCCAATCGGGCTCCCGAGAGCGCCGACGCTTCCTGGACGGCTGGTCCTCAGCGACAAGGCGACCAGCGGCAGGGACGACGCCAGAACTTGTTGTCGTCGTGTTTGGCATGGTGGAGGTGTAGCTGTCGTCAAAGCGAGCAGTCGCGGACGAGTTGGAGTCTTGATGGCTGTAGTGGCCGTGAGGGGGTCGAGGCACGGGTTGTGAACTCTGGGCTACGCCATCCGTCAGACTGTAGCCCGCGTTGGCGGCAGGCTGGTGATGGTAGTAGTAAGACTGAGGACGAGCCGGACTCTGCAACGCCGGCTGGTGGTCCACGACTGCCGTTGTGGGCAGCAGTGAATTCGCGGTTGTTGTTGTGCGATAGTTGGAAGAGTATGGAGGGTGGAGGCGGTAGTGTGTCGGCGGGAGAAGGGCCGTTGCGGTTGTAGGTGTCGACATTTCAAATCCTCAGCAACAGTCCCCCAGGACCAAAACACGCGCTGGCTTGCGGTCTGGCAGTGGTGAGAGGGAGCAATACGTCGTGCGAGAGGACCGAGTGTCTCTGCCTGCTTGCTTCTCAATGTCCAAGTTGAAGTTGAAAAGAACCAAGAGGCGATTCTCCGAGTTCGACCAGATGACCGTGCAGGGAAGAGCGCTGTCTTTAGGCGTTTTAGCAGCCCACAGCGTCCATAAAAAACACACAGCGGTTGCGTGTAGCGGGAGAGAGAGCGAAAAGGTGAAAAGGCAAAAAAAGTATCCGGTGCCAGATTAGATTTCAGACGGAGGCCGTTGCTCGTTTCGTTTCCAGGCCAGAAGCTAGAGGACTGCAGCGCTCGTCTGGGGCAATCATGAGCGTTTGGAAGTAGCCGCAGGAAGATGAATTGGGCTGGAATTGAGTCTGGACGACGGCCGTGAGTAAATGGCGTGAGGACATGCACATGGCTGCTGAGAGGAAATCGAGTGAGGCTCACTGTGCGTGCTGTGGTTCCCGCCAGGCGCTCAGCAGTGCCCTGCCAACCTTAGAACCCCAACCTTTGGACTCCAGGCGCTAGACAGCGCTAAGTCGGGACTCATGGCGCCCTGCAGGGGCCCTGGAGGCGAGCTGCAAACCACCTGGGCAATTGAATTTTAGTTGTGCCGGTTCCCTTTCTCGCGATTTCGTCTTTGGTGTCGTTGAAATTACAGAGATTTGAAAAAAGAAGTATAACGAGGCTCTATCGAATCACTGGGATTTCTCCCTATTGAAGAGCTCGCAGTGAATTTGCTGCTTTTGATCTGCCACCTGCCACAGTCACGATTGATGGAATCCAACCTGCGCCCGTATACTCCGTACTGTACATCCATAGTTTACCGAGAGCCTCCTCAAATCCACTAAGCTGAAAGTTGGGCGGGTTTTGGCGGGTTCCCCGTAATACTAGCCACCACGACACTCTTTGCCACAAAGCAACCTGATTAATTGATGATACGCAAACGACGCAAGTCCAAAGTTTGATGCTACATGAAGGGGGAAGGGGAGATAAAGGGGCAAGAATCATCAAAAAGAAGCTCAGCAAACAAGTCTACAAGTCATGGCTCAAGTGCAAGTGTGAAGAAGAATTCAAAACTGAACTGAATCAAACATCCATATCCAATGGATCAAATGTCATCAATTATGATCCATTAGGTACCTCTTACAGGTCATCCATACGTTCCATGGCGCAGGGACCACCCTTAGTCCACTACTACCTCCTACTAATAAAGTAGTTCCGGTTACGGTCACAAAGAAAAGGCAAAAATGAAACACAGGAAGCTTCCACTCCGTTATGTGCTTCTCAGATCTCTCTACAATGCCAGACAACCAACAGGGCCGCTGTCGATAATCAAGTTTCAGCTGTTGGGGCAAAAAAAAAAAAAAAGAACAAAAAAACAGAGGGATGGGTGGAGCGAGAGAAAACAGAGTCCAAGCCCGTGGGTGCGGCCCGTAGCCAGAGACAGATGGATGGGCGGCGTGTGATACGGCACGGCATGATACTGGTAGTTTACTCTCGCATACGAGACCAGCAGAAACAGGAGCAGCTTCAGCCCAACCGCGTCTCTCGGATTGATCAGGGCGGCCAGCCGAAGGATGAGGGTCCGTCTCTGCCTGGAGCCCATCTATCTATCACGGACGGTCATGCGTCAATATTTTTTCTCTGGAATCAAAATCAACCCCCGGCAGATAACAACATGAAGGTAGGTATTTGTAAGAAGGGGGAAAAGGACGAGAGAAGGAGAAAAGAAGAGAAAAGAAAAACAAGATCCCGGTTTGCCGCTCTCCGGACTGCCCTTTTCGACCGTCGTACAAAAATGACCGAGTCCTGAAAAAAAGGTTCCAGTTACAGGCATCGTCGCCAACCCTTGCACAGGAAGAAATGGCCAAAAAAAAAAAGGAAAAAGCAAAGCCTCCAGCCCGCAAGAGATATAATAAGCGCGGCCCATCCTGTCATCTCCGCTGCCGCGGGACCCTCGTGCACTGTCCAGAGGCCCAGAAGGTTTCACTGCTCGCTGCTCGCATTCATTGCTCGAGCTTCAGGAAAAGGGAAAACAACGAGAGGGCCCCCTTCTCGGCGAATCAAACTCCTCAACTTTGCTCCCTTTAATCCCAAAATTCCCCCATACATAGTGCAGGCATCTCGCTCGCACGTCACACGCAAAAAAAAAAAAAACACCCTCCCAGCCAGCGACTTGCATTAACTCGCAAGTCACGCATACCGCGGTCCGCGCCTTTCCTAATCCAACTTCAGCTTTTCCAACGAGAGGCCGGAGCGTGGCTCTTGATATTAAGCCCAGAGAAATCCAATTTATCCTCCATGCAGCGTCCGTGCCGATGGAACCTCCACTAGACCCGGTCCGACCAGATTCTAGTTCGCAAAGAGGCCATTCACGCAAGCAAGTTTCGAAGGGGGCCCGTTTGTGTTCGGTTTCGCCACCCAAACTCTGCTGTCGACGCTTCGCTTTTCCCAAGCCAAGGTTACAGTATGGAGTCTTTGGAGTACACGTTATCTCGGCCGGGCTGCCTTTAGTTTCGCGTCGGGTCTGTATCCCTTTCTTCTCCCTCTCTCCTCTCAGTGTCCACAAGGCATTATGTCACCCTCACTCGCCTTCTGGACGGCACATGTCTGTAACTGGATTCTTCTTCGTCTTGGGCTTCCCACCCGCCCAAGCAACATGCAATCCCATAGCCGCGTTGCTCTAATTCGCCCGTCCGCATGAACAGAGGCTAAATGGCAAATCTATGCCCTCTCGATGCAACAAACCATCATTCCCCCCTCTCTCCTCCCTCCTCTATCATGCACGAAGGCAAACGCGAGAAACTTGGTGCCAAGTCGCGGTGCCCGTTAATTAACACCCGTCGAACCGCGCCGCTGCACTCGGCCTTGCGCCTTGTCGACAAGCCACCGATACGCCATCTCTTCCCATCCCATCCACCCCCTCCTTTGCATTACTCGACTCGGGAATCGCCATACAAGTCGTTCGATTCGACGCTGGGTTAACAATGTTCCTGTTCCTGTTCTCGCCGTTTTCACAGGCAACAGGCACCTAATGCTGTGAAGTTGCGTCACTCACGCACATTTAAGCCCTGCATATACTTGCGTGTCTCCAGTTTACAAAGCCCGCTCACCTGGCCCTCTTTCTCTCCACCTGCTTGCCCAGCCTCTGATAGGCAAATCACGTCGACGTCTTACGCGAGAGAGGGCCAGCCCAATTCTTCTAGATCCATTTCCCAGCCAGCTAGCAGCGATGCGGCAGGGCTGCTCCGGCACAACGACAGTTATCACCATGTGCTTCGGACACAGTCCACAGTACGCTGATCATGTGGCAATGAGCTGACGGGGCTCTGTGCCTTTTATAGGTGTCTTTTATGATTTCGAATATTGTGAAATCCCTTAAAATGCTGAACCGAAGACAGCTGGGCTCGTACAGCGATTACATACTAATGATGTACCTGCATTTACACAGTAATCCTGCTGATGCCTAGGTCCCCATTGTCTGCATGCCGTCCCTCCGATCCATCCATCGACATTCCTCTTCTGACCGCTCGGCAATTGTGCCCAGAGTACATGTATACGAAGTGGGAAGATATATGCATTGTCAGCAAGCGAATTTCTAATAATGTTTCGCATGGGCAGAATACAAGCATTTTTGCTAGCAGAATTATTCCTGGAGCGGAAGGCATTGTAACTTAGTCGTGCTCATAAGCCCAAGCCCTGACATAAGCCCTCCAACCGAGATCCTACAACTCAGAACGCAGGCTCCATCTGCGTTGACACGTGGATGCAAGGAATTGAGCAGCATACACGTATTCCAAAATGGGCTTTGTCATTCACATCCAATGTTTCAGTGTCGTAAGTATACGAGCAGGTAGGGAGTGGCTATGCCGCACCTAAATGACTCGTTCAAGCATGGAGTATTATACCGAGATTCAGAGAATACTTCGTTTACCAATAGAGAGGGCCATTCGTCAACCCACCTCCTACCTAGTAAATTATGCAGTATATAGGATGGATTAAATACTAGGTAGTAGATAGATGCCCGGTTCCTTGAGCATCTGCCACTATCACTACTCTCTTCTATATCCCTCTGGTATCTGCTACTATAACTATATCCCTCTGGTATGGATATGATATCATCACTCGCAGGTAGCTTCAAATCGAAGATGCGGAGTGCTAGATGGCACACTTGGGGTGCTGAATAGCCACACCCTATAATACCTATAATAGGAGGCATTGCTTTTGCGGTCTCCCATTGCACTTCTCCCTTTAATGACCCATGCAATGTTGATTTGGCTTGCTCCATGATATTGACTCGCTGTGATCTCTTATCTACTGTCTAAATAGGAACACACGCATAAAAAAAAAATAAAAATAAAAAAAAATAAAATAAAATAAAAGGCTCGCATAAAGTCTACTATATGCAATAATTCCAGGCGCCCAACTCTGCGCCATCTACCAACAACCAACACTGCCTTCTTCAAGTTGGCCATTATAATGCGAGTGGCTGGATATCTATCGTTTGGCGAAGCCCAAGGAATACCCAGCCTACTTCTCCACTGGATGCTTTCGGGCAAAGCACCCATCTATGTCTTAATGTGTAATTCTCGGCGGCCATGTGTAGTTTATGAGGGTATGGTTGACAAGGCCCGTCAAGGAGTTGACGAGCCTGATCTAAACGCTCGAAAAGTTCCATCAAAACTCAACAATGTCGTCTCGTTAATGTGCATCGTCCATCACAGACCGCGGTTGAACCAGACCTTGCCATCGTTGCCGCCCTTACCATGGAACTCGGGCTCCAGGCTGCTGGCGCTAATCGCCTGCTTCTGAGGGAAAACCGCCAGTGCCAGGGGAAGTGCCACAAACCCAACAGCAGCAATCAGACCCAGGTTGATGCCAATGGGAATGGTCGAGGCGATCCGCGGTCGGGCCTTGAGCCACTCCTTCTCCATCAAGCTCTTGTACCATGCCTGCTTGAACTGAATGTGGTAGAGGGTCATGGCGGGGATAATCATGATAGGGGTGTTGTTGATGACACGGCTGGCCGCAGTTTCGTAGACGGCAATCTTGGCTGCCTTCTGACTCTTGCCCAGAGATGGGACGTCCGCCTCTGATTTGCCCTCCTCCGTCAGCTTCTTCTTCTCGGCATCGGAGAGAACAGGGCGGACGTCGATGCCGGTAACAATCTCTCCTCGTCGCATCAGATATGCGTTAAGAGCTCCGGCAGTTGCCACGGCTGCAAATGGTACCAATCGGCTCAGGACGTTCCTTGTGCTGGGGGACACTTTCAATCTCGGCACCAATGCGTTGAGTCCGAGGGCCACAGAGCACGAGGCCGTGACGGCGATACCGTACGACTTGGCAAGATCCGCAGTGGTCAATGGGGACGACTTGTTCGCATTCGAGCTGTTGATGGCAACGTTGAGCGACTGGTTGGCAACTTGCCATGCCACGGTGCCTGCTGTTCCAAGACCAGGCTGCAGCATACCGGCCGTGACGATCAGGTTCGAAAGGACGAAGCATGACATTCGGAAGGGCAGAAACACTGGTTCTCCGGTGTCTATCCACAAGTGTCAGTTTTTATTCTTTTGTAGCATATGCTTGAGTTCCCATCTGCCAATGCCATACCTGGATGAAGAGTTGAGTCGACAATCTTCTTGGCGTGCCATAGCTCGGGTGTCATATGCGGCAGCTTTCCCGTCTTATACTCTGTGACAAGTCTTTTGGCATTTTCGAGTCCATGCGAACCAGCGAGCAGGGTGCTAGAGCAGATACACATCAGCAATCCTACATTAACAACAGGCTCGCGATTCCATTGTTGTCGAGACTCACCTTGGATCCGTGATGCTTATCGTGTGCCTCACCCGTCCATAGTATGTGGACAAATCATACTGCGACGAGGGCAAGTCTCGCGAACCCGGCAGAGAGGCAGACATGGTGGAAGAAAACCCGAATTGGCGTCGAAACAATGTAACAAACCCGACTCGGTCGCCTCTGTTTATAACGTCCAGACGAGGCTGGTTGGTTGAACGGCCCGAGTTGCAATTTCCAAAGGGTCGCTGGCCTGGGCCTGCGGGGTGCGGAAACTTTTGGCCCAAAGGGTCGAGCCAGACAAACCTGTGCCGAATCTCCAAGACGACGATAAGCGCAACCGCTGGGTTTTGTTTGCGATCCGATCTCGGCTGGTCCGCTCGTCTTTTTTCCCTAGTGGTCAGAAAGCGCCCAGAGCCCCCACAATCATGACACATCAAGACAAAGAATGGCCGGCACAGACATTATCGTAGTAGTAATAGCGATAGACTCATTTGGGGATGGTTGGGCAAGTTGGGGTATCCGAGTCGTTTTGGAGGGTCGCGGATGCCGTCAGAAAGCGTGGCTGACTTACGGCATCCATCAAAATAAAACAAGTAGACGTAGAGTACGAAGAACAAGCCGTCACATTATTATAAGCCGTGCTCGTCTTACTGTTTGTAGTAAATCCATCAGTGATCTTCCCCACAGCCAATTGCGAACAAGGATTCGATCTCTTTGCACGTGGTTGCAGTGAGTCTAGTTGCATTAATCACCATCTCAATATCCCACCAGTCACCCACCAGTCAAAGTCAATTCCTTGGAGGAGGAAAAAAGATGTAGTATATAAACGTATCAACAGCCCCATGCAAAAAAAGAAATGATGGGAATTAAACATTTCCAACCGACCACGCCAGGAGTCGAACCTGGAATCTCTAGAGGAGGTGATCTCAACCGAAATCTAGCGCCTTAGCCATTAGGCCACGCGGCCCATTTGATGTTCCCAAGCATTGTAATTTCGGTATACTGAGGTTCAGAAGACAAAAGTCTCCTTCACGCACTGTCCAGCTCCTTTGAGATTAGCTGGGGAGTTGCCGTACTGATAATTGTAGACGCACATTGCAGAACAATATACAGCGTTCGTGATATCGTCAAATACATTGAGGTAGAATTAGGAACCATCTAGTATATGGGAGATTCATTCCGTCGTCAAACATCATTTCATAAGGCTTTCTTACCCATACAATACGGTTTTTAGTGATAAAATATGTCGTCTGTCTATTAGTGATCAATGGTTTGAGGAGTCTCTATATCCAATAGAAGTCTCTACATCTCCGATACTATAGTTCCAAGTTTGCAATGGAAGACAAAGGGGTGGCTATCCAACACCCGAGAGACCGCTCTTAGTTCAACTGCTGAGACAGAAGAAACACTTTGTACTTGCTACCTTGCAAATGCCCTGTTTCTCGAGTATCCGCTAGCATCAACCAATAGACACTTAATAGTAGATATAATATCCGCTATCATGAATCAGTAGACATCGGATGGTAGATTTCTCTTACTAGTAAAAGCTCGTCCCGTCTGAGAATTGGATGAACCTCTTAAACAAGAGCATGATAACAACGTAACTCACCGACCTCGAGGGAAAATGAAATTCACTCGGGAAAACCACTCTCGAATATATGTAGAAATTCGAATAGACAAAACAGACTCAAGCATGATTAGAAAGTTGAGGCTTTGGTCCACCGTTACCGCCGTAATAGTCGTAGGTACAGCGCGAGTGAATTTGCTTGATGACGCAGATGGTTTGCTTCTCTACCTTTTTAACCAGTGTCATCATTCTATTTATGATCTTTCATTAGCAAGCATAAAAAGCTAATCTCTTGTTCAATAAATATTAACTCAGTTAAATACCTTCAAACTACTTACCTTAGTAAGGTCATATTGCCGTTGCAGCTTCAGATTGCTCGTAGCATTACGGCACGTGAGAGGCATCTCTGCTCCTATTCTTCGGTTGCCAGCTGGCAAGCGCTCCCGGCAGCTGTTGCACACAGCTGTTTGCATATTTCTCTACGCCTATTTAATCCTCTTCTCTCTCTCTCTCTCTCTCTCTCTCTCTTCTCTCTTCTCTCGAAACCTTCCTCTCTCAAAGTCTGGCTCCCTTCAACATCGCTCTCAGCACAGCCAAGGGTAAATTGCCTTCAATCCATTCCATATCTCGTGAATACCTTACTGATCGCATAGATAGCTAGCGAGATGGACCTGACACCTGCATCTGAAAAGTCCAACCTCACCCCGGCTGGTGATGGAAAGACCAAGAGATTCCTTGGTCTCAGAGAGTGGTTAAATAGCGGCCCTGCCACGCCGAAAACCCCCTCTCCCCTGATTATCAGTGTGAAACAGGCAGTCCATGAGGCCGCCGTCGCAATCACCGAGCAACCGAGCTCATATCAGACCAAAACGTCCAGCAATGCGTCGGCTCGAACGACCGAGGACCCTACGCATCCAAGCGTCACCGGTATATCGGAAGTCAGCCAGCATGATCACAAAGAAGCCACCAGTACCAAACCACGAAATTTGATTTTTGAGAGCCTCAACCGAGTCCTCGAACCAGAATCCAAGACCAGAGGATTGATGATCAAGCCTGAGGCCATTCCCACTGACTCTCCGCAAATTACGGAGGGATTGACTGGCTTTGAAGTCCAGTCTCAGGGAAGCAGGGCCTCGTGGAACATAAGTGAAGGTCTCTCGGATGGTGACGGCCAGGATGAGCCAAAACAGGAGGATATGCCCGAGGGCGCCCAAATATCGCGAACAATGGCGTGGCTGCTCCAAACCTCCAAACCACCTGTAGCCATACATTCATTGGCATCTCAGAGTGCGGTCGATCATTACAAGAAGGACATTGACACCGAGACGGGAGACTTCTTGCCCGAAATCCGCTACCCCGATACTTTCAAAAGCCTTCACGAAGGTCCCTCGCGTGATCATAGAGATATCGCTTGGCGACAGGCCAACCTGACGGTCGAGCTGCAAATAGCCAGAGAGATAAGAAGTCGAGAGCTGCTCGCAACCAAGATCCGGTCCAAGATCAAACCTCAAGTGCAGGCTGTACCTATTGAACAGGAGACTGGACCAAATGCCGAATGCATTGTACGACCCGCTACGCCTGAAGACTTTGAAGCCATCGCGGCCATCATTAACATGGAAAGTCGGGCGACGGGCAGCCCTCAAATCATAGAATGGAGGGATGTCACCGCTGCTAATGTCCAAAAGATCTACGAGAGTTGCCGAGATAATCTGCAGCCCTTTATTGTCGCCACGACGACCGAGGACCCTTTGCTTGACCGTTCCAACTGGCCTAAGAATGCCACAAAAGCGTATCAAGGCTACCTCGCATTCCGCTCAACTCAGGCAAAGGTTTCCCAGGAGGTTTTGGGCTTCGCCTTTGTGGTTGAAGCCAGACTTGGCCTGCTCGGGGGTCCATGCCCTGGATCTAGACATACCGGTCAAGTGAAAGTCGTCGTTCATCCTTCCCACCGAGGCAAGCTGTATGGATCCGCCTTGCTTGATCGAATTCTGCTTTGCACAGCACCTTTCCACCGAAGAGCGGTAGATTACGAGTGGCAATGCCAAGATTCTTCCAAGGTGTACGAATCGATTGCTTGTCAGAACCGTCGAAAATACGCCTGGATCTATGTCGAGACATTCTGCGCTGGCAGAGATGACCCGGCTCTCAAACTGGCGACCAATTTCTTACAAAAATTCGAATTTCAAGAAGTGTGCCATTTGCGCAGTGCCGTCAAGACCGACCGATACTATGAGAGCAAGTGGCTTGACATCGTGCTGTGGGCACGCGAGACGCAACCTCTATCCAACATTGAGGACCTTTTCCCAGGTGCCTACAACTTGTGAATCAGGGGTGGCAGGCATTGCTACCGGGTCACAGCAGTGATTTGGGTGATGAGTGAGATGATTTACCTCTCAGGTTTGTCCACGCGAACCAAGTCTTGAGGAGCCATTCCAGCTGACATATCTACAGCAAAAATTTGCGTATCAATTGTTCTATTAAAACGAGCTATATAGTTCAATCATGGATTTGGGAGCTCATTTAGCAGTGTCAGAAGTTGAACAGGACCTCGGGAACCAAAAAACTATGGGGAATGCTCTGCATCACGTGTGCAACGCCGTGCTTCTGACAGCGCATTACAAGATTAGAGTACTTTAGTAGCTACCTAGCAGGCAGGCAATAAATGAAACATTGGGTCTATCAACACCGTGCCTAAGGGTGATATTTCTTCTATAAATACACAGCTACTCATCTCATCTGGAGGCCATAGAAAAGGTCCTCATCAACCCAAGCTCTTTTGCCGAAAGGAAGAACAACGAAGTCTCGGCTCTTAATCTTTGGGCAGCCAGCAACATGTTATCCATATTACGCAAAGCCCGCCTAAAGGATAAAGAGATGCGAGTACTCATGTTGTATGTGCCAGTTAATTTACCAAGCCGGGTAGTTTGAGAGACTGATGTATCAAAAGAGGTCTTGACAATGCCGGAAAGACGACAATTGTCAAACAGATTATGGGTGAAGATGTGAACACTGTTAGCCCAACGCTTGGGTTTATTATCAAGACGATTGACTACGAAGGGTGATTGCTTCTGTCCCAACCCAAAATTTGGCCCAAAACTAACAATGCGGTGACAGATACAAGCTCAACATCTGTAAGGCAGCCATTGAAGATCTTTGCAAGGCAAGATTGGTATCATCTAACTTCTATAGGGGACGTGGGTGGCCAGAAGACGCTGCGGTCATACTGGCGGAATTATTTCGAAAAGACAGACGCCTTGATCTGGGTCGTGGACACAACAGATCGGTTACGAATAGACGACTGCAGAGAGGAACTCCATGGCCTGCTGGAAGAAGAGGTTTGTGATGGGGTATGCTGCAGTTTCGGTGGATGAGAGCTAACGTCTAGGGTAGCGCTTGGCGGGAGCCTGCTTGTTGATATTTGCAAACAAGACGGATGTGGATGGGTGCATGACCGAAGAGGAGGTTGTTACGGTGAGCTATCTTTTGAGGCCTATTTGAAGGATTGAATGGGTGTCTAATAAGGTTTTTGACTAGTTGTTGCGGTTGAACGATATACGGACGCATCAATGGCACGTTTTGCCGTCGTCGGCCATGACGGGGAAGAATCTCAACCAGGGCATGTCGTGGGTGGTGGAGGACGCGAAGAAGCGGCTTTTCTTGTATTAGGATGACTGTGATTGAAAGAACCGAGGGGAGGTTGCTGACGGAGCGTGAAGCCCTGCTCCATGTACTCGTATTTACTTGATTGAAGCATCGCATTTTACGTACGGATATAGAACTGGGCCGCGGGACAGGTCCCAGGGAGTCGGGTAGTAATATTACATAGCCAGCAACCCAGTGACTGATGGTAAACCACTTCATCAGTGTTGTACTACCACCATTCACTTCTTGTCCCTGATGTTATGTACGAGCACTAGCACCGCCTCTAATTCCATGGTCGGCGATCGGTGATACGGAACACGGAGTAGCACAAAGCATAGCACAAGACTCATGTGGACCAGTTGTCAAGGGAGATGGCAAGATGGTGTGGAAATTGTGTGGATAGGCTCATCGGACCAACTCGCCTGACGGCCGTCTCGCCGACTTGATTGGTTCGCAGCAGAAAGGCCTCGATCAGATTTGGGTTCCCAGGCACGCAGGCGAGACAGATGGAATCAGAGCAGAAAGAGCGAGGTCACTTTGCAACCTCTACGGCCGTTGGAGGGGGTTGTGGACGAGATTTTGGGTTTGTTGACGACGGGCACTAACAGGTAGTAGCACATCTCGTGTTTGTGTGTTTACTGTTATTGGCGATCAATAGTAAACAATCGAAGGGCCCCCTCGGTGTAGACGGTGCTCGAGCCTTGCCCACCGTTCAGGAGAGGCCGGGATGGCGCGCGCAAATAATACGGGTAGTATGGAGGTGATTTCTAAAAAGGAGATGCATGCTCTGTGCTCTGTGAGATGCAATTTCATGACGTTGGGATTTAATACCGGAAACCCCTTGAGCGTACCCTGCATGAGCGCTGCGGTTTCTCCTGGGGGGCTAGGTTACAGGGGCGCCAATGCTATGGGGCTGCCGTGGATCGCCTAGACACGCCCCAAGACAGCCCCGCGGGCCGCAACCCACGGCAACGGCAACACGCTATTGACCCCCAATAAAAAGGGCGTCGAGTGAACTGGAACTGTAGCGGGTGTCAGGTTCTCTTAAAGATTGAAGCCGCCAATCTGCTACCGAATGTATCAACGTCCCATCAATATCCGTTTGAGGACAATCAACCCCCACCACCAGACCTCAAACTCGACCTCGACCTCGACCTCGACCTCGACCTCGAGAGCGGAACAAGCACAGGCAGCCTCTTTTCTCCGTGCCATGCCATTGTCAGCTGCTTTTACGCACCGGTAGAGTCGCCAATCCCACCATGTCGGACGAAGTATCCCAGTTTCTCGAGCAGGTCGAGCGCCTGCGGGGGCAGCAGATTGAGGACGACGAGATGCGAGCCCGAGAGCGCGAGGAGTTTCTTGCTGCCAAACGGGAGCGCCAGGCCAGAAGAGAGGGTGAGTGCCTTGTTCTTTTTTGCCTTGATTCTCGCCATTTCTTCTCGGAATCGAATCGGGGACGGTAGTACCTGTTGCTAGGTAGCTACCCGATGGTGTGAGGCTTTGGCTTTTTTGGCGTTGCCTTGTTGCCATGGTGTTCGTTTGTCAGAGCTATCTGAGGGTTGCCACCAGGCACAAGGTTTATTTACTTTTTGTCTAAATGTTTTCTTACGGCTGTCCTCACACCCCTTAGATCTGCTATGGGGGGGGGGCCCTAAATAGCGAGCATATATGAATTTCGGGACCTGACCTACTGATGAAACAACGCTGACCCGCCTTATTCAAAAGAACGCGCCCGATCCATCTCACCGCAGAAATCATCGCCAGCCAACACGCCGTCACCACGCACGCTCCGGCGAACTGTCAACCTTTCCGAATCGCTGAGACTCGATTCCCCAGCCGGCGAGTCCTTGGATAAGCTGCGCGAGCGATCGTCGACTGAGACAGAGCAACCCCTAGAGGCGGATCAATCTGATGCTATGCTGCACTCCACCTCACAGGCGAGAGAGAACGATGCCCCTGAGGATCTCGACGCAAAGCGGGGCGATGATGCTGCAGCTTCTCGAAGAGATTCGCAACTCTCGTGGCAGCGGCGTACGACCCGATCCAACAGCCGCCCGCTGAGTGTCGTCGCTGCTCGAAATGCGGCCGCCACGCACGAGACGGCTGCAGAGGAGCCTCCATCTCCTACCCAGCCTCTTTCCAAGGACCAGATCGCCAAGAGCCTCGGATCCAAGGATGCGTCGTGGTTTCGTCAAACTGCCGACAGAGGCGCTGACTCTGCGGCGTACCGACGGAACCAGGTGGAAGACGATGATCGACTCGACATGTCGTCTCTCAGCGCCCAGCTGCCTGGCATGAGCAGCGAAAACTCCGGAGAACGCCCTGGCTCCCGAGGCGAGAGTGCTCTCGGCAAGCTTGCTTCTCCGTTCTCTCTGAACCCTCCCAGCTTCGACAATCCAGCCGCTGAGAGGCCTCAGGCAGAACCGATTGCCCCAACAGCGACTGGCCGGACATCTCCTGTGCGTACATCGTCTCCGACCAAGGGCATGGGCGGTTTTGTGCAGAGCGCAATGATGAAGAGGAGCGATAGCGTGAAGCGATGGTCTGTTGCCAGCCCGCCTGCGTTGACACGTCCTGAGAACGTGACGGCGAGCCATCGTGGCTCAATCGACAGGGGGGCGGCTCCGCCAAGGCCACAGAGCATGTTTGTTCGTGACCCAACAGCGGCTACGGCGACTACAACGTCAGGGACAAGTAGATCTCGTCCATCCTCTCGGCCAACGTCTCGACATGGAGAAGCGTCCGAAAGGCGTCCCAAAACACCAACTTCCACGAGCCCACCTCAGCCCCAAAGGCATGAGCTTCTCGATGATGCATCCCTTCCACTCTCCCCAACCAAGACAATGGAGCCTCGACGTTGGAGCCCGACGAAATCAAGCTGGCTCGAGAGCGCCCTTAACAAACCAGACTCGCCAAAGCTACCCCCGAAGCCAGCATCCTCACAACAACCAGCATGGATGGTCGAGCTCAACAAGAACAAGCGTGGTGGTAATGCTACTCCCGAGCCAAGCAAACCCGCTGCTCCCTCTCACAAGCACCAAGTTAGTATCGATGGGCTTATGAGGTCCACGCCAATGGGTTCAAGGCTGAACCTCAACACTACTGGTCTGGGTGGGATCTATTCACCCCCTGGAACACAATCTGTAACGAATCGTGCGTCGTTTCAAAATTTCCCAACATCGAGTACGCCCATGACTGCCGGACCGGAAAGACCAAGATCAAAGTCGAGGGGCGCTCTCGATCAAGTGAGGGAGAGGCGGTCCGAATCTCTCAGCGCCTCTATCAGCCCTACCCCTCTGCCTGCCAAGGTTAAACCTGAGGCTCCGCCAAAGAAGGATCTGGATTTCCGCGGAAACTTGAAGCCACGAGCTGCCGAAGCCCCGACTCCCAAGACCCAGGAGCCCGAGTTCAAGGCTGTATTTGGCACTCTTCGCAGAACCAAGACTCAAAACTTTAAAGCTCCAGACGAGCTAAAGGACAACATTCTCCGTGGCAAGGCGGCTCTCAACGCGACTGACGGGCCACAGAAGTCAGTAATTAGGGACGAATTCAAGGATTCCATACAGAAGAAGAGAGAAGATTTCAAAAGGGCCCAAGCCGAGGGAACAGGAATTGCCAATACGATAACGCGTGACAAGCCTAAGCCTCTTCTTCCCGAAGCACTCGCTATAAGGAGTGAGCTGGGTAAGTCAACGGCCGTGCTCCAGCAAGACGTACCTCCAGAGAGTCGAACCCCATCCGGTCAGTCGAAGAATTCCGATTACTCAAAACCAGATCCTCCACAGAGAAAGTCAAGTCAAGTGAACTTGGCCAAACAGTCCAGCCCATCCTTGACTCCCACGAAGACCACCTTGACTGAGAATACCAGACTAGAGAATAAGGAACCCGATACGCCAGCCCGGACCGAAGAATCTCTGCCCAGCCTTTTGAAGAAGAAGAGTGCTCCATCAAAGCTTGGCGGCCTGGCCGGACGATTTAACCCTGCCCTTGCCGGGATGCTGGCACGAGGACCACCGCCGGCAGCTTCCAACGGCGGGAGTCGAGGTGAAGAATCAGGACGAGGCGATGGAGATGCTCAAGTTTCACAACCAGGCCCTCAGCTGACACACATGACTAAGAGTCGAGCGCGTGGCCCGAGGAGAAAGGCGCCGACCAATGTAGGCAATACTTCCACCAATTCCACAAATGGCTCTGCAGAGTCGTCCTCAGTAAGCCGGCAACCTGCCGCCTTTGGAAAGCAGCGTCTTCCCGCGCCCGTTGAAGACAGGAAGCCAATTACGCACCCAATTCAAGATCGAGCGGCCACAAAGCCTGATGTGCCATTTAAACCAAAGCCTATCGAGGCCAGAAAGGTAGAGGCTGACAGCCGACCTCTGGAGCAGCCTGTTGCCCCCTTGAATCTTCGTAGTAGACGACAAACAGAGTCTGCTATCCAGGTCGGCCAATTATTATCATCACGACCTGAGTCACCTCAGAAGCTGGAGGTAGAAGCACCGAAGAAACTGAACTTGAAGCGCATGTCAAAATTCTTCGAGCAACCCAAGGATAACACCACTACAGCGGCATCTGAGACTCCCAGGACACCCGGCAAGCTCTCACCTCAAAAGACTGGCACATGGGAACCGGTCAAGACCGGAGAGTCTGCCAAAGAGGCTGCGAAGCTGATACAACAAAAGACTGGTTCATGGTCCCCGGTGAAGAAAACCGAGCGCTCGCTACCTGACACCCGGTCATCCGCCATCAACATGCTAGGTGAATCGAAGCCATCGACAGTAAACGCTGCACCAGAGCGTGCCCCAGCTGCCATGAAAGCCCCATTGCCAGGACCCAAGCCGTCTTCTTTCAACGGGTTACCAAAGGGAGGCAACACACGACCAGCGTCACCGCCACCTGCGGCGACACCTTTTCCCCAGCGGCTACCACAGCCGCGGGTTGAGGCACCCCTCGCATCGCCTTCGCGGCCGCAAACAAGCCATGGTAGCGATGTATCAGCCATACTTCACGACTTCTTTGGTCCCCCGTATGAGAGCGTCCCCTGCGACATGGACTACGCGGATATCTTGACAAACTACCCAAAGACTGGCGCAAAGGGCAAGACATTGTCCTTCCACATGTTCCAGATTGACGGAGAGGGCAAGCAGATGATAGTTCCGGCTTACCGCGAGCGTATCCTCTTTGAACAAGAAATGTACGTTGCTGGGCATAATTTTACCAACGAAGCCGGATGGAAAGTGCGCGAGGTCTACTTCTGGATCGGCGATGAAGTTGCAGACGCAGATGAGGATGCAGCAGAGGCTGTGGCACAGCAAGAGGCCAGGCAGCTGGGCGGCAAACTCATCAAAATCAGGCAAGGCAAGGAAACACCAGAGTTCCTACAGGCCCTTGGCGGCATTGTCATTGTTCGAAGAGGTGCAAGCACCAGATACGACTCGCTTGCGCCGTCCATGCTTTGCGGCAGACGGTATCAGGGCCAGGTAGCATTTGACGAGGTTGACTTTACGACGGGCAGCCTCTGTGCTGGATTTGCCTATCTGATCACCCACTCTGGCAACTGCTACTTGTGGAAGGGCAAGGGCAGTGATGTGGAGGAGCTCAGCTGCGCACGCCTCATTGGTATGGACTTGACGGTGACTGGACAGCTGATTGAGTATGACGAGGGCAGCGAGCCTGCTTCCTTCTGGGACATGATGGGTGGCGAGTCGAAGCCTCACTCGGCGGATCACTGGCGACTGAAGCCCAGTTATGGGAAATACAACGGCAGACTCTTTTGTGCCGATGTAGAGTCTAGGCAAAAGGTGAGCAAAACACATACATGACAATGGACATTTGGGTATTCTTTTATTGCGGCTTACTGACCATATATTTCCTAGATCTTTGAGATTTGCCCGTTCAACCAGGCCGACATGTCAACATTCAACATTTACATTCTCGATGCCTTCTTTGAGATGTACATTATTGTTGGCTCACAGGCCCAGTCCCAGTACGCATCCTTCCGCACCGCCCTCGACTTTGCTCAGGAATACGCCGTCCTGGCTGCCAGCATGGAGGACCGGCCCTTTATCCCCATCTCGACGGTTGTTCTCGAAGGTGCGCCGCGGGACCTGAAGCGAGTATTTCGCAAGTGGACCGATGAACGGTGCCCGACGCTCTTGAACAATCCTTCGAGCGAAGCCGGATTGAAGCGAGGCCGCAGTCTTAGAGTTGTGCCTCTTACGCAGGCCATCTTGGCGTTGAGGGAGTAAATATAGTTAGTTGTCTGCCCGTTTTTGAGCGCAGTGTTTACTTCGTGTACATTTGGTCGTGGTTATGAGAAAAAAGAGGAACTGAGGAATGATGGAATCTCCTGGCAATGTGTGGTATCGGAAGAAAAAAAGAAAGAAGAAAAAGGGGCAAAAGAGGCGGCGGTATCTGGAGTTTGGCAGCTTCGTGTTTTAAGAGGCGTATGGGGGAAGCGCATGTAGAGCGTTTAGACACATACCTTTATTTCTTTGGCCAGTTGGAAGTTGAAAATGTAGATGGAGAGAGCTAGCTGTACAGACGAATTGCTATCTGTTTTAACAAGGATAGTGAAAAACAATATAAAAGTTTATCATATAATAATACGAGAAAAAGTTCACCATATAATAACACAAAGAAATGCCATAAGAGGGTTTTTATTTTTTCTTGTTTTTTAATTCTAATGGGTATCAATTTGAAATTGACCTCGCGCACATGTCAAAACCCGCTCTTTAAACCCTTCCACCCACCGTCCGTCCTATTTCGCCATTTGAATCCGCCAGCCTGCCGTGTCTAATCTAACTTTGAGGGCATACCATTCTCTTTGTTTCTTTTTTTAGAGGGGTTTTCAAACATGGTTGATTTCTCTATCGCTAAAAGGGGGCGTTCTCTCGTTGACTTCATAATCTATGAGCGCATACGCTGTGGTGTAGCCGCGGCCAACTTCTAGTTGATGGCGGTGCTCTTTGCTGTGGAGTTGCCGTTGAGGGAGGTGGGGACGGCGATTGGGCGGCCGCGAGCCTTTTCGGTGAGACTGATGAGCTCCTTGAGCATGAGTTCGCGGGTGGACTGGGTGAGCTCGTCGACATCGGCCGAGGTGAGGTTTGTGGTGGGGATGGGGCGCAAGACTAAAGGGTTAGGCATATTGGCATTACGGTTGATAATTCCGGATCTAAATAGGTTTGAATACACGTACCCTTGATGGGAATCTTGCCAGAGTTAAAGACCAGGCCCTTGATGTAGAGGATGTGGCTGTAGTTGGCCACGACGACGGGGACAATGGGGACGCCGGACTGCACGGCCAGGTGGAAGGCGCCCTTCTTGTAGGGCAGCAGCGCGGGCTCCTTGGTGTAGCTGCGCGTGCCCTCGGGGAACATGTAGACGCTCTGGCGCTTGGTCTTGATCTCGGTGGCGGCGCCGTCCATGGCGGAGCGGGCGTCCTTGCTGTTCTTGCGGTCGATGAAGATTGTGCCGCTGAGGCTCATGAACCAGCCGAGGAAGGGCACCTTCTTGAGCTGGGCCTTGGCGGTCACGCTGCAGTACTTGGGGAAGATGGCGCCCAGCATGAGCACGTCAAGCTCGGTCTGGTGGTTGCCGATGAAGACGGCGGGCCGGGTGGTGTTGAGGACGTTGTCCGGGTCGTCAATGACAAACTCGACGCCCGTGGTCAGCTGCATGGAGTAGTGGAAGGCCCGCGCGACGGTCCACTGCGCAATCTGCTGCTTGCCCAGGATGGTCAGGACGATGGAGGCGATGACGCCGTAGAGCGCGCAGGCGATGAGCGTCATGTAGGCGGCCAGGACGCGGGCCACGAAGGCCGCCTTGGGGACGACGTAGGACAGCATGTAGAAGGAGATTGTCAGCGCTGTGTAGCCGACGAGGAACTTGGCGATAGCGCCAAGGAAGAGGACCATGGTTTGAGCTGCCGTTGTTTTGTAGGGGCTTTTTGTCTTGTGTGTTGTCGTACGGAGAGAGAAGCCGAGGCGAGAGAGAGTGGGATAACGAGGATACCGAGGAGGGCGGGGAGAAGGTTTCGAGGCTGGTGCTGTTACAGTTCCATGCTCTTGCGCTGAGCCGAGACTGACTGCGGGATGGAGGATAGAGAATGTGACCAGATCAAAAGGGAAGAAGAGAGGAAAAGAAAAAGAAGAGGAAAAATGGATGGCCCAGGGGACGCAATCACAAGCGCACACAAGGCACGGGAACTAAAGTTGGTGGCCAGGAGATTTTGTTGGAGAAGAACGGGTGTACTTGCAAATCTGCATGGTGTACCTGTAGCGGCTGAAGTATCGGCTACCTGCAGCTCGCGGCGCCTGTGGGTGTGTTCAGCAGGTACACGGGTACATCCTCGGGTTTTGGTAGGTTAATGACGTTGGGGACAGGCTTTTAGAGGGGTCGAGCGCAGTGCTGATGCCGTGATTGGCTGGGATGTTGTGTGGTTTTTTGACATGTGGGGGAGGGCGAGATACCTGGTGGTAATTTTCAACACGTTTTCTCGACTTCTTATCAATCGTGGCCGATGGTCGATTTTATGGGCTATACTATTTCAGTTATCAGTACTTGATACAGGTACTAAAGTATGCGGTGTGCTCGGGCACCAAGCGGGCCAATCAATATATTGTATTCTGTTTCAAGCTGAAGTATCATCTCTCCAATTGGATCTTGTACTTCGGCACATGCTTCTCCGGTAACCGGGCAATCAAGCCGAGGACGTCCGTGTAAGATACACAGAGGGATGGAAATGCGAGCATGCTAGGTGCCTAGTATATTCCTCTAGTATCTGCTACTATAGGTAGTTATATTTTTATTATTATTTACTACTATAACTGTACTCGTCTTGTGTTCAGTATGACTTGCGATACGGGTGCTGAATAGCGAAATCGGACTGCTGAATAGGCGTTGCCTTCAAATAATCCTCACCCAACAGACGACAGAGCTCCATATCAGACTAATAAATATTGATATACTGACAACATTGCAATTTCATGTCTCCTTTTTACTGAAGCTACCCTGACTACCGGTTCCTTGCCCTCCCATGCCGGGATATGGTTTCGCAGCCCACGCTTTTGCCATCATCTCCCTTGTAATTGCGTCTTGTTTGTAGCCGCTGGGAATACTTGTCCTGCGCTCGGCAGCTTTCCGAAGATAGTCGTCGGGTCCTGCCCCAAACGAGCTTGTATTGAGAGCTTTGTTACCGGCGGTTGCGAATGCTTCTAGGGCCGACTTCATGTCTTCCGAGCTTATGGAGGACGTCCGTCGCCATGCTTGAGAACCCTCTGAAGGCTGTTGATACGTGTTTTGCATTTCGGTTGTTGCACGGAGTTGAAGTGTTATTTCACGGCAATATGCTTCTCTTTCTGTTGGACACAGAGTACCACGAGATGGGTCAGTCTCGAGGAAGAGGAGGAAAAGGAAATGAAATCACAAGCACGGCAAGTTTGGTGGTCACGGGAACGTCTGCATATAGTAGTCAATTTGCTACTAAACCATAGTATCGACAGACACATAAAACACTGGGCAGCTCAAGACCGAAGCTTGTTGAATAACGTCTAAGTGGTGTGTACCTACTGAAGCCGTTGCTGTTGGCGTCTGCACCAGGTACCGATGGAGTAGCGGAAAGCCTCAACCAGCGAGTGACATTGGTCTAAAAGAAGAGGGGCACAAGGGCGTCCTGATTCTGTGATTGGTTAGAAATAGCCGACCATGATGTGGGGACTGATGGTCTAATGTTTCCACCACGTTTCTTTCGGCGTCAAAAAGTATCAACGCTTTAATAGGTGACATTTCAGCTGCTCCGTGTATCAAGACAACTACTTGGAACAGTCAGCCGGAGAAAATATATATTCTTTCTGAGCCATCATTTCAATATTATAAGTCTCTCTCTTTCTTTCATCTCATCTTTCGAATGTGCAACTTGCTCCTCAAACAAAGAAACAAGGCACCATCACGTGATCTGCATCTTCCCATTCTGGAGCCTTGCTGATCCACCCTCGGCTCAAGCAAAGTTGCAAAAGACACGCCATGCAAGCTGCATCCCTGTCAGGACCGCAATGGCGACGCTCTGCTTTTAACTCCAATTGCCTGCCTGTTCGCGGAGCTTCGACGGCTGCGTCTTGAGTGAATCGCTGCCGCGGAACTGCTCTACATATTGCGCCGCATAAGATATCGCTGCTACTGCTGTTCTTATATCATACCCCCAAAACAAAGCCTTGGGCATCAAGAGAAGAGCAGCGTCTCCATCCAGCAAATCCACTTTGCTTTGCTTTGCTTCGATACTCCGTTCTGCCGCATTGCATGAGCTATCGATTGTGTGCCGACGCATCTCTGCTCCATCCGCCCATCCCTACTTGGTCTCTCGTCGGCCATTACCAGCCTCTCGCATGAGCTCCGTACCTCGAATCAGTCCAATCCATATCATGCTCTGATCCATTCAGAAGCCATATCCAAGTCGCCATGGCCCCAGCTCGCCGAGCCCAGCCGTCCTCCATCTCCGTTCCTCCTCCCGCCCCTGCTCCCTCCCTCGTCGATCTCCCGCCCATTGCCGCCCTGTTTCTCATCGACTTCGACGTCAAGGCCGGCTACACAATTGTCTGGAAACAGTCCACGCCGGGACTTGAACTCGAGGGTCTCGTCGAGTACAAATCGCTGCCGTCTGGCCTTCATACCGTCTCTGACGATCTCATCTACTTTGTCCACGATGGCGCACATGCTGGCTTGAGCGCATTTGTCAATGAGCCGTGTGAAGAGGAAGAGGCCCGTCATGCTCGCATGATTGCCGTGGGCATTCTGGTCCCCCTCAGCTATGGAAGGCTAGGACGGGCATGGAGACATGCCGAAAACCTGAAGAAAATGGCAGCGTAAGTAATCTTTGTCCCGTTTTACATTCCAAGAGCTTCAGCTAAGAAACATGGCGGCAAAAAGGAACCTCGCCAAGAATCGCAACCAGACCGAAATATTAGAAAAGTACTGGGACTCCAACAAGGCCAAAGAAGGAGAGACCTTTTCCACCGTCAATACGCCCATTTCTCCAGTGCCAGACCAGTTACGCAGGACCCATGGTAGACACTCGTCCCTCACTGATGGCGTCTCTCTGTTCCAGCCTGAGCACAAACTATCTCCTTACCACCCTGCCTGGAGCCTGGCCGAGCTGCTGGACAGCTTCGGCCCCTTGATATTCCCCATCCACCGCGCCGCCCTGCTTCGACAGCGCATATTGATTTCTTGTCACGCTCCGGTACATGAGATTTGCAACTTTGGTAAGTCAAGTGCTGGCCTGAAGCAATAGATGGCACAGGGACTAACATGTGTCCCAAGTATATAACATCTCCATCTTATCCAATATCCCTCTCTCCATCACAGACTCCCTGCCTACGCCTGCTCCGCCCCAGCGTCTTCGACCTCTGTTCAGCATCGGCGTGCATGATATTTCGTTTCTCATGGATGACCTCAAGGCATCCAAGCGTGACCGCAGCGATGAAAGTGCCGTCGATGATGCCGATGAATCAGGGTCTGGGTGGATTGCCTGCACCACGGACAGCATCCTCGCCACTAAAGACACCCTTTGGGACATGCTCATCACCATGCCGCCAGACTACTCGGCAAACGCCAAAGACAAAGCTTGGCCGGTGGTAGAGTATGCCGGCGGCAAAATCGTCAAGGCCACCCAGCGTGACCTTCGTCGCTTCAACGCACTGCGTACTGGCCTCGCACGCCTGGCTGCAATCGCGCCAACCGTCCCCACAGGCCAAGATCCTCGATCCCCCGAATCCGAGACCTCAGCAGTGAGACTGTCGACTGGCCACTCCGCTCGGGTGGTCAAAGACGAGCCCTATGGCGCCGCCGACAAGCTCATCGAGCCTGTCACCTGGGCAGCCTTTGCCTACAACGGCTTCATGTGGTGGGCCAGCGCGGGCGAGCAGATCCGCTCAGAAGAGCAAGAAGAGTCGACGCGCGATGCCGCCCTTCTCGCGGACATGCTATTCCCAGCCAGCCCCCGCGCCTCCATGTCACTTCCGCTGTCCACTACACCTTTGCAATTAGAGCCCCTGAGCAACTCCATCGCCTCCCTTGCTGGCCGCCGCGGCAGCGTCGATGGCGAAGCCAACATTGAGCTGGCCATCATCACCTACTTCCACCGCCTCACCACGCAGATGCTTTCCGTCATGGTGGACATTGTCGATTCTGCGGATGAGACATACCGCGATAACGACGAGGGCGACGACGAAAACGACGAGAACGAAGACTTGATTCCCAACGGCGGCGATGACTCTGATCTCTCCGCCATCACCATAGACAGCCGGTCCATAGAGACTATGGGCCTAGACGTATGGAGCGCCAGCGACGCCCTCTTTGTGCAGGAGCTCGCTGCCGTGTACTTTGGCAGACAGGCCGTTATTGAGGGCAAGGGCGTCGAGGTTTGCGGCGTGCGAGTATGTTGAGCGCGCTGCTCTCTTTTCTCTATACGCCCCCACCTTTTCATCATTTTTCGTCCTTTTTTTTTTATTACTTCTCCTCGTGCTGTTTATTTTCTTTATTTGGCGAGATGGCTTGGTTGAACTCATCATGATTATCACATGGCAATGAACGGGAATGCTGGAGAGAATAATAATTCATAACGTAGTACATAGATGTAGTACAAACGAGTGTTCACACACAACCTCACACACGAACACACACAATCAAAAGCACCAATATATTATCAACCTTTCTCTCTTCTATGTCCTCCCCTAACTACCTATGTGGATGCCTGGCGCTAAGAGAAATGTTGTGATATTACCATATGAAGCCGTGCAGTCTAATTGCATGAAAGCACCAAAATTCAGCCAGCTTCGCAATTCTTAGAAGACCATATAACACTTGTAAGCATGCTTCAGCATCACACCGTCCTGTATTTGTTCCAATAACATGACATGATTCTAGGTAAAACTAGGTAATACAAGTTAAACTAACAAACCCAACATAATTAAATTCCTTATGCCGCTTGAAAAAAAAAGAGATGAAAAAAAGAACTCCACGCCGTCAGATACGGCTACCCAACCCAGTCTCTGATAGTTCCCTTGCCTCAAGTATAGCTCAGATGCAAAATCAACTCGCGCTTCACTGCGGAAGTACATGTGCTTGAGCCAGTTTTTTTTCTCTTTCTCTCTCTTTTTTTTAGTCACCAGTTAGCTGGGTTTCTTTTTTGGTTGTGTTTTTCTTCTTTTATTTTTCCAGTCTAATGAAACATGCTCCGTGACAACCCATCATTGTCAGGGAGGACCTCAGCTCTCATCTTCTGTGTCAGTATTCGTGTCACTTGTGTCATCCTCTTCCTCATCGGTGCCTGACTCTTCATCAGAGCTGTCCTTGTTCCGCCTAGGCTTGGGTTCTCCGCCAACAGGCTGGCCGGTCTTGAGAGCTCGCATTTGTCCAGCAATGGAATCTATATCACACATGTTAGCAAACTGATCTTTTGGTATTCTTTGCGGCGAGTAGGCAGGCGGCTTACCTTCTTCCGGCTCACTGATCTCATCCTCAGCCTCCATCTGGGCGGCCTTGCTGGCGTCCTCTACAACGAGAGTAACCTCCATCTTGGTATCAAATCCAACATAGGAATCGCAAACGACGTGCATGCAGAAAGTGTAGTGGCCGGGTTGAGGGGGAGCAGCGAATTGAGCCTTGAGAGTCTGCATGTTGAACGTGGGCTTGCCCTCCTCATCAAAGAGGGGCTGATCAAACTTGTCAAAGGTGAAAGGGGGAACCGCCATCTTGTCCTGCTTGGAATCGCTGAGGAAAGCGTACCATTTGGGAGAGTGGTCTCGAGCATAGTGAGGGGCAAAAGTCAGAGGCGGCAGGACAGAGTTATCTTCGACGGTGACGGGCTTTCCATCGGGGCCCTTGATCGTCTTCTTCTTGCGTCCCATGAGAGCATCCAAATCGTCTTCAGCGGGGTCAATGTCCTCTAGAGACAGCTCATCAATGGCGGGAACCGACTCGGTGCCAGGGGGGATGAATCGGCCCTTGATGACTAGCGTAACTAGAGATGAAGGAATGATGACCTTTTCGCCGGTAACCTTGAAAAAAGCCTTGGCAACACGGAAGTAGGGAAGCTGCTTGCCAACGCTGATGGCCTCCTTGTACTGGCCTTCGCTGAGGAGATCCTTGCCAATGGCGAGTCGTCTTCGTTCGGCGTCCGGGAGATCCATGAATTGCTGCACAGTCAGGTGGGATTTTGAGTCGCCTTCGATGGCGGCAGCAACCTTGTCGTTAATGTGTGGGAGCTGGAGGAGAGGAGAAGACTTGGGGGATAAGGCTTGAATGAGATGCTGGTTGGCTTTGAAAGATCCTGCGATGGGGCCAATGCTGCCAAATGCCATCGCAATCGCAGCAAAAGACTGGTTCAATGTCCTGGCAATCGCACCGACCTCAAACTTGGCCTTGGTCAGCGCAGGGTCGTCAAGCTCGACACGGCCAAGGTAAGCCCACAGCAAGGCAAGCACCTTGCGTCGCACGCCGCTGTCCAGGTCTTCAAGCTTCTCCTTGTCCTTAACAGAGAATCCACAGGCAAATGGTGCGGATTCGCCTTCGGCTGTGATCCGGGATTCGACCTTGGACAGGCCAGATTCAGCCTGGTCTCCCTTGAGGACGGCTTCGAACTCCTTGCCAGTGCTAAGGGCCGTAATGATGCCACCCTCATCAATCTCTTCGTTGTAGTGTCTGAACAGGCGGTTGGCGCTCTCCATCAAGACGCCTTCCTTTGACATTCGCTTGGTTCCATACCACCATGAGCCGACCATATAAGGCAGCAAAATACCCATGAGACCAGTGTAGAGCAGAATCAGGTATTTGCCGTTGCCCTCTGCGATGATGAACTGAGGCAGCGCAATGCCGATGCTAAAGCTCTGCTTGCCATCGGGATGGCCGTATTGGATGTAGTTGTTTCGGACCTCCTCGTCCGTCAGGGCTTGGTAGGCTTTTGTGAGTTCCACGTATCGGTCGTTGAGCATCTCCAGCGTCTCGTTCTTGGAGGGATCCGGCCGAACCTTGTCCGGGTGGAATTTGACGGATAGCCTCTTGTAGTGAGACTTGATTTGCTTTTCGGTAGATGACTGTAATTCAGATTAGGTGTTAGCTCTGATGCGCCTGATTTCCTGTCAGATGTGGTGCTGTCGTCTCCCTTACCTCTGAGATGCCCAGTATGTCATAAGGGTTCCAAATCTTGGGAACGATCGTCTGGGTCACAATGATGAGATACACCATGCCCGCCATGAGAGCCCAGCCCAACACAACGAAGATGGCCCGCTTGATCTTCCTCTGCTTCCTCTTCTGCGCCGCACGCAGCGACGTTACAACATCGCCATGCTTGGATGTGTAATCCGACTTGATGCGCGGCGCAAGCGCATCGTTGTCGGTGCTTTTACGGAAAAGACTGTACGTCAAGGGAAAGGTGACCAGGCCGGTAACGGTCAGGATAAAGAAAGGGAAGAACTGGCCCTGTAGACAAGACGCCCGGTTAGCAAACAACAGTCCAACCTGTAGAGCTCAAGCCCACCTCGACAAGGCGAATCCTGGGGCGAGCGGAACGCTGCAGAGGCTGGGGAAAACTGCACATACCTGTTCGTCGTACGAGTAGTCTGAGCTCATCTTGACGGCCTTGGGGAGCTCAGCCGGCTCGAGAAAAGTGCAAAGACTGAGAAAAAGATGCTCGAACTGTGTCGAGTTTGCCCTTCAAAAGTGTCCTCTGTAATGATGGTAGGCGCAAGAATGGCAAGGCTCGGGCGCTGGATAATCCGGTCCCCCACAGTCGGTTCCGCCACCGTGTTCAAAAGAAACGCCACCAAGAGCGTCAATAGCACAAGCACAGCACAGTACAGGGGACAGGGATAAGTAAGACAGGCACCTCGCAGCGCTAACAGCTGGCCCTGTGCCTTGTTTAGGTAGCTGCAAACCTTCTTCTCTGCTTACGTTAAATTTCTCCGGGAATGTCTGTGATCCAAATAGGCATCTCACATGAAAGATGCCGGAAATAGCATCTGATGGAATCTCATAGATGTAGCATACGTTTCATGATTTTTTTCTTCTTTACATTCAACTTTGTGCACAACATGCGATAATGAATCACTGCTTGTGTTAAATTTCAATTTTTCAAATCTGACAATGCTACTCGTCTAATACTGCGCTGTACAGCTGAAAAGTAATACCCAAGCTAATTCTAAATAATGATGCTCCAAGCCGCTTATTTTATGTCTCTTCAAGTGTCAATCTCGTCCTTGTCCCCACCATCTTGAGACGGCGTTATTTCGCTGTTGATCTCCCCATCCTGCTCCGAATCGTCTTCCGTTGTCGAAGACGTCACTGCCATCTCTTCCAGCAGAATGCTTCTCAAATCATCGTCGCTGTAAATTCTCTGCATGCTTCCTCTTCTCGCCCATGGCCTGGTTTCTCTCCTCCCCTGCTCTATCATTCTCTCTATCTTGAGGCGGTTTGACATGAACTTGAGCTTCGGAAATGTACTCTGCTGTCCTTCATGTATCATCCGGGCCAGTCGCTCGGCGTCGGGATCCGTCAAAATGTGCCAGTAATCTGAAGGGATCGATTTTGGCCAGATGGTAATGGTGCCGCCAAACTCCTGCAGCCAGAGCTGGCTCCAATCCTGTCCCAGAGGGCGAGGTAGCAGCTCCGCGTGTCGAATAAATTTGAGCCACTTATTCATGTCGAGTTTGAGATAATGTTCTATTGCCGACATGAGGTAGCCACCACGCCAGCCACGCCCTTTGCGATGCGTGACGGGGTGGCCAACTGTGCCTCTTGAAGAGAAGAAGAAGAGGTTTATGTGTGGGTTGACTTGGCTCACAACGGTAAAGTTGACGTTGAAGTGTGTGTTCAACGCCTTGATGGGAATATCAGTTCTCAAGCTGCCGTCTTTCCACTTGTGGCCGAACGAGTAAGGTGCTAGAGTTCCATCTCGCATTTTCATCATGAGGACGACCGGGTTGAGAATTCCTGGAACAGCCGCTGATGCCAGCACAGCAGACCAAATGACACAGTCAGGGCTGGTTAGATAGTTGCAAAGAATGGCTGGAGAATGAGGGTCAGCCGGGACACAGCTGACGTTGAGGATTCGGCCGGTTCGCTCGTAGGCCTCCCTAAAAGTCATTGAGCCCCTTGTGAACCAAGAGCACCGCTCGGCCCAGTCCACTGAGTCAAAGCGCGCCCCAGTCTTCCACCACCTGGGAAACCAAGTCTTCATGGATTCACCGCAGGCAGTAATTCGATGCGCAAGCGCCGGTATCAGAAGCTCTTTCAGTTCATCGTTGGTATGGGTAGCAACGAGACCGGCTATCAGTGCGCCACCGCTGGTTCCAGTGATAACGTCAGGCAGCAAGTCGGCATCAAGCATCGCCTTCACAACTCCAATATGGTAATAGGCAAATGTAGCCCCACCGGATAGACAGAGGGCCGTTCGTCCGTAATTGGCGTGTACGTGCTTGAACAGTATTCGTTTTTCATCGGCGTCGAGGTGTTCCGTATTAAGGAGAAATCGGAGACTCTTTTCGACTAAGCACAAGTTAGCATCCTATTAGAATCGAGTTTCATCAAGGCGCAGATAGGCCGCTTACCATCATCGACAAAATTCTGGACCAGGTTCTTGGTTCCATAGTATGTTTGGCTGTACAGTCTTGGATTTTCCACACCAACAAAGTTATTCTTGACGCAGGCCTCCAGTAGTGCCCTCAGATCATCAACAGCCTTCTTCAATTCCTGTTGGTCGCCGTCAATCTCAAGCGCCTCTGCCTTGGCTCGCGTCTTGCGAATTTGACTCCAAACTCGTTTTACAGTTTTGGAGTCGTAGTAGGCAAAGTCGTCAACTTCTCTCCAGTTCTTTCGGCCCAAGAAGTCATCCAACTCTTTCGCAGCCGTGACCCAGCCTTTGTAGCTGGAAGTCCTGCGCATGTTCTTACGCAAGATTTCACGTCGGCCACGCCATGTCCAGAATTGTTCGTAAAACCAAATGTACCACCTCGTTGACAGGTATGCGATGCTCAGCCCGATGAGCCATGCAAAGACGAAGAAAAGCAGAGGCCATTTGGAGAGGAGGTATAGATATCCTTCTCTCGTCTCATCTTTTGTTCGGGTGCCCAGCAGGCCTTCTACTGGCCCTTTGCCTTTCTTCTTCTTCTTGCTCCCTCGTCTGTTTCGGTGTTTGCTGGGGGTCACCGGCGCCCAGTCGTTCTGCGCTGTGACAAATGTCCCTAGGGTCGGGGTCGGTGGCACAAGCAAATCGCCTCCAGCAGCACCAGCTGATGCTGCGACGGCGGCGGCGTCATCTTCCAGGACGCTGCCAGTCGTCGAATCTCTCTTGGTCAGGTTGACAGAACTGACGCTTCTCGGCGACCTTAGGCTGGATGTGTCATCGATGGGACTTTGTAGAGGATCGGGTGCCTGCAACGCCGTCTCGAATGCGATCAAATCTTCGGAATCGAGGTAATCACAGTCGTAGTTTGGTAGCGCTGACGGGTCAAAGGACTCGCGGGAGAAGCCATACGCATCGTCGTATGGAGCAAGCTCGGGATAGGGTTTCGTCGTTGTTTCGGCCGACATGGTGATGCAGATTCACGCCGTGCAGGAACTCATTCATCTTCAAGAAGCAGAAGAGATCATAGACAGCGCAGCCCATATATGGCGGGACTTGCGCTCCATGTGATTCAGGCGAGGAGTCGTAAGATTACAAGTGAATGTAAAGCGCAGATTTGACAAGCCTCGGAACCCGTTTGCGCCTCATGAGCCCGCCGGCTGCATGACGTCTGCAGTGCCGGTGGCTAATTACGGCACGCCTCCAGTATTTTTTTGTTGGGGGACTCCCTAAATTTTAGCGGGGGCAATTAAGCCTGATGCATGGCAGCCCCCACTAGAAGAACCTGGAACTACCAGAACCAGCAGGTAGAGTCTGGGGCTAAATATCGATCCGGATCCTAGTACAGGCACACATCATGCAGGTATGCCGCTGGAGAAACAGAAGCTCAATGCTGATATCGTTGATATGAGTATTTGTATGGGGGCCTGCCTGTACATTGCCTGTACACATCTCTCCAGCGTCAACTACTTGTATCTGTTATCGATGTTTGCTATGAGTCTATAAATAGCTGCTGCGGCTCTAGCGCGTCAGGGGCTCATGGAATCCAGCTCGTTTCCAGTGTTCTCCTTGACGCTGGGACCAAACCCTGTATGGCTCCTGCAGGTCAAATTCAGGTGACTCAAGCACTGCCGAGAAATGAAGATGGCCAGGGTCCATGGAGTTTTGCACTTCTAGAAACTCTAGACTCGTTTATGGTATGCTAAGCACCTATGTTGGAGAGAGGCTGAGTGTGATTATACAATGCTGCTTGGACGTTTATTACAGTGTTCAAGTACATAAGGTATCTTTCTCGGCTTGAGCTTGAGGTACCTATTATGTTTGTCCAGTCTTGATCCAAACTTCCAGCTTTAAAAGGTAAATGCAGATGGCACGGCAACAATGAGCGCGGTCATGGTGCCTATCTGCGTAGAAGCTGATATACTGGTGGCAGATGGCATTTGTACAGTTATCATTGCCTTTTGGCGACGCATGTTTCATTTGAGATCATCTCTAGCACTCCAATTTAAGATACCCGTAGAGTAGCTGTCATCGTTGACTACTAGACCTAGTGCCTATACAGGTACCTACCTATACTCTGTATTATGCCTATTTGTAGGTACCAGCCCGACAGAGAGTTTGGCGCTTTGCAAAACAAGATCATGCATACCAGTCTTTAAACCAGTCTTTTTTGGACCGTACTTACTACTCGCATCGGTGATGGGGCCTTGAACCTTCTTTTCATGCTGGAATATTTTAAATCTTATCTTTGAACAACCTGATGATGATCGATTTTAAATTCTTGGGCTTATGTTGTTTTGGTCTCTAGCCAAATACCTGAAAAATTCGGGACACCCTTTGTCTGTTGTCCGTTGCTCGTATCGTATATCAAGGCCAACCGCCATATTAAACTCTCGTCAACATCCGATTGGGTCGGCAACTTGCATGCTTGGTAGCTGCATGCATTTACAAAGCACGATGCCGTGATTCGTCGCACAGGAATTAAGCGGTCCGCAGTGGGGGGGCTGCATTTACTGTAACCGCCTGAGAGGCGCCACAGTGGCGGCACAAGTCATGACACAGAAAAGGGCGATTACATGTACGAGGACTAGGCTCTGTATTTAGTGAGACATCAATTCCATTGACTGTCGCCCAAGACACTCTTATGCGTGGTTGATGATGACTGGGAGATGCTCCAGCGCTGATACTAGGTAGCGGTGGTGCCATTGAGGCAGTTCATTGCAGTTGGTTGTTGGAAGAGATTTTGTATGCGCTGCGCACGGTTGGCTTGTGCTTTTTCATGCTGCGAGGTACAAACATGAGCCCAAAGAGCATCCGTTTAGTACAAGTATTTTTGCTATGCGTTTCCCGTTCATGGACCGCTGCAGATATTTGTAGATCCCTTTCTTTGACCTCTTGTACACAAACCTGCGCACGCACCTCGTTCATACAGCCCTCTTGATTCGATAGATCATGTGTCAGATTATTATGTAGGAGGGGGAATCCTTGGCTGCGAGAACCTTGATAGCGCTGCTACAATCCGCTAGTGTGCTACCGGAGCTTCGCGGAGAGAACCTGGATGGCCCGCTGAACGGTTTGTCATCAGCTCACTGAGCCTCTAGGCTTTTGTACTTGCGCGGAAATCGCTCGTTGAACAATGGCCAGAGTTCATTATAGAGTAGTTGAGACGAATTGACGAGTATTTTTGCACAACCAACAGCTGTTCATGATGGATGCATTCCCTGTAACCTCCTGAACTGTTAATGTAGGATTCTGTTGGCGTTCTCTAGGCACCTGTTCACATCTTTGTTCTAGTTGCTGCCTCACTCGCTCACTCACTATAAAATCCCCTCCTACGTCAGCGGACTGCTCACTAAACCAGACCCTTGCATGTAGACTTCCAAATCTTTTGCAGCTAAGCAAGACTCTCTGACACTACACCACAACTCCTACATAATCTCTCCGAGCACTTAAAACCATCGCCTCCAGTTCGGATTCTGGAAATCGAACACGGCATCTCCATTCCCAACATCCTCGACGCTCGACAAATCCATTCACTACAGAGAGACACAGCACGCAGAGCGCTTGATGCCTGTGCCGCCGTAGCCGCATCCACCTTGTTCGAGGAGAGAAGAGAAGAGAAGAGTCGCCATGAAGCTGCTGGCGAGGAGTATCGACAATGACACCAGGGGGTGGATCTTGTCCGCAGTGAGCGGTTTAGGTATGTTATATTCCGTTGACGTTATCGGCTGGCGACTAACCATCTTGTTCTCGATGAAGCTTGCGTCTTTGGCGCGTCCATCATATGCGTCGATATCTTCGTGCGCCTCCTTCCGGGCAAGGCCAACTTTCGCATCCAAGATAGCAACATCTTCCTCGCGTGCTCGCTGAGCTTGAGCTTTGGCGTCATGGTAAGCATTCATGTCTCAACTCCTTGTGCAATGCAGATTGCTGACCCCCCTTTTAGCTATTCTCTTCGCTCTACAGCATGCTCCCCGAATCGAAAGAATATTTCCAGCAAGAAGGCTGGTCCGACCAAGCTGCTGGCCTTGTCATGATGGGCTTCTTTGCCGGAGGCTTCATTGGTATCCAGGCCGTCTCGAGACTCGTCCACCAGTTCATGCCCTCCCACGTCGTCGACTGCGATCATAGCCATGGCAGTGTTGCCTCTCACGACGGCCATACGCATGGCTCAATCGGCCGAGCGCATTCACGACCGAGTCGAGCCAGACGGCGCTTCTCCCAACCGCCCGACAACAAAATTTCCGACATTGCTGAGAATGGTGATGACCAGCCTCCCACAAGCGAGGTGACTCCTCTGCTCAGCTCGGAGCATGTTCATGCCAACCCGATGTTGACTCGCCACACTTCCGAAATGGTGCAGCGGTCCGGCAGCCCTCCGCCGTCTGCCCGCAGCCGTGCCATTACCGACGATACCGTGCTCTACACTAGACGTCAATCCACACCTGGGCTTCGGAAGCGGATGATGTCCTTTTTCTGGGATACAGATTGTCGCTGTGACGAGTCCAAACGATGTTATGGATATACTGATCCCTGTGGACAGGAGTGTTTCAAGCACCTGAGCAGCCGCGCCGCAAGCAACACACCCTCCCTACGCGCAACTACTGGGCATTTCCACGCCCATCACTCATTCCACGCCACTCACGATCACGGCGATGGAGATATTCATGACGTAGGCGTTAGCCCGAGCCGAATAGCGTCTCGCGACTCCACGACCCTGACGGACGAAGGCGTCAGCGAAAACGGCTATCCATGCTCGCAGATGGACGAGGGCGATGCCGAAGCCCAGCATCATCACCACGTTCCAGCCAACGCCTTTCTTTCTATTGGATTGCAAACGTCCATAGCCATTGCCCTCCACAAGTTCCCAGAGGGCTTCATCACCTACGCTACGAACCACGTCAACCCGGCTCTGGGCTTCAACGTTTTTATGGCCTTGTTCGTCCACAACATCTCTGAGGGCTTCGCCATGGCTTTGCCTCTGTATATGGCTCTTGGTTCCCGCTGGCGGGCCATGGCCTGGTCGGCTCTCCTTGGTGGCCTGTCCCAGCCCCTTGGCGCAGCTATTGCCGCCCTGTGGTTCAAGCTCGCTAACAGTACCAACATCTCGCCGAGCGGAGTTGTGTACGGGTGCCTTTTCGCACTTACTTCGGGCATCATGGTCAGTGTTGGACTGCAGCTCTTTGTCGAAAGCCTGAGTTTTAATCACAACCATAACCTGTGTATGCTCTTTGCTTTCTTCGGCATGTCTATGCTGGGTCTCAGCAACGCCTTGTTCGCGGAGCACTGATTCCCGACATTTGTTCATGGTTAATTCGCCGTAGGGAGGAGGCTCAACCAATTTGATAGCCACCATTTCTTCCCTATGATACGGAAATATCTTGCTTATCTCTTACTTTCTTTTTTAACACACACTCTCTCTATAGCGCATTGGATTTTGGCTGCACTAGACTATACATCAAGGAGCAATCAGGCGGCTTGTGGATATATACTTGTGTTTCTTATCATATCTCACACAATGGAGGACTGGGCGTCAGGAATAAGTTCTATTGGTAACGGACGCGGGATCTGGGAGCAGTATGGATAGAAGCGGTATGGGAAGCATAATCATTTGATGGTTTGTTAGCGATTAGGATCACCGACTCTGGAGTCGAAGCATTGGCATAATTGATTGATTTATTTATTCATTCTTGTTCATTGTCATTGTTTCATTAGCATCGTGACGTCTTTACTGACGCTATCTGTCTATGTCAGGGCTCTCTAGCATCAACTTTGTCTAAGCCATATAGGAATCTACCCGAATTATCTGCACCGTTTATCAACATTTACACGCCCAAAACATCTCCCCCCTAGTTCGCATCAGATCTACAAGCCTCCCAGTGTAGGGTCAATAGTACCATCTAGACCTGCCTCCCCACGAGCCAGCATCAATAGAGTCTCATCACCCTCTACCCATCCATCCTGTCCCACGTCAAACGTCATTTGAGAAGGGAAAACGCCGTCTGGAGGAAAGTCTTCCGACCAAGCAGGCTGCACCTCAATAGGATGCCCATTGGCAAGAGCATTCCCGTTGGCTACACTAAAGACGGGCGGGTTTGGAAACGGAGCTGCATCGTCGGCGGCGGGCTTTGAGTCGTGCACAAATGCAACGTGAGCATTCAGATCAAAGTAGCGAATGAAGCCCTCACCGCATTGGGGACAACGGATTGTCTGTTTCTTGGCGTTTGTAACTCCGGATATCTCGTCGATGAGGTCTGTTGGAGTGGATTTATCCGTCTTGGTAAGCTTGGGCCGTTCTTGACCCAAATGGATAAAACGAATGTGGTCTTCTAATCGGACCTTGGTGCTGAATTTGTCGCCGCAGCCTTGATCGTTGGTCCAGGCTTCGAGGCCGGGGCCGGTCAGATCGACCTCGCCACAGACGAAGCGGAATCCTTCATGTGCGGTGCGAATGTGGACGTTCAGGTTCGACTTCTTTGTGAATTTCTTGTCGCAGCCAGCGTGAGGGCAGGCCACTGTCTTGCGGTCCTGGACCGTCTTTCCGGAATGATGAATTTCGATGTGTGTTTCCAGCTCCCATAGTGAGCTTGACTTGTATTCGCAGAACATGCAGTTTTGATGCTCTTGCCGCATATGCGACTGCAGCTGTGGATCGGTCGTAAATCCAACTCGGTGCATGGTGCCGTCTTCTCGCATTACAGGTGCGCATTCCATGCACCAATACTTGAGTGGACCGTGCTCCCTCTCCCGATGCCGGTTGAGTGATCCTTTGGAGTCGAATGCCGCTGTGCATGTCGGCTCCGGGCATTGATGTGGTGGTAAGCCTTGGTGCTCCTTCCGTACATGCTTGTGGAGTGTCTCTCTCTTTCTGAAGCTTTGACCGCAATCTTGACAACGGAATCTATCTGCTCCCTCATGAACTAGCTGATGACGTTTCAATCTCGTGCCTGTTACAAAGGTCTTTCCGCAGCCCTCTCTCTGGCAGACGTATTTGCGGTCATTTGTATGAACGGCCTTGATATGCTGTTTCAGATGCTTATCTTCAATGTAGTCTTTGTCGCAGTCATCGTAAGGGCATTTATGAGGTCGGGAGTTGGTGTGAGAGTTCATATGGTCTCTCAATCGAGCCGGACGGTTGAAACTTTTTGTGCATCCTGGCCAGGAGCAGGCCAATGTCTTATAATCTGATGGGAATTTCGTGCGAGGAGTTGTCGCAGCAGTGACGGTTGACTCGGCCTCTGCACTTGAATTTGGGCTTTCTGGGCTTTCTGGGCTTTCTGGGCTTTCACTTGGGGCATAATTCTCGCTTGGGGCATAATCCTCATCGTCATCGTCTAAGGCGTCTAAAGCATCTACTCGCAAATTCATTATTAGCCATATTCAGTATCAGATTCTTTGGAAATCTGATGACGTACATGAGACTTGAATGCCGCGGAGATTCATTCTCTTTGCTGGAGACGCACGAGGTGCCTCCTCTGTAGCAACCCGTTTGCCCATGATGAGGATGACCGGTCAATTGCTGCAAAACTGTGACATGTCGTCGAGCAATCGACGATGGCAGAAATTGGGAACTTTTTATGTGGGTCACGGGACGATAAGATAAGAAAACACTGCAGTAGCATTCAATTGAAGCGGACCTGCTCCAGTAAGAAGAGCGCTAAGTGGAGACTTGCTGATGCACCATCAAGCTCCAGCCGGGGAAGCTACGGAAAAACTTTGAGACTCTGTGTTGGAATAATATTTTTCGCGAGGCTGAAGATTGAACGGCCAGCAACGAATCCTCCTACCTCGCGCCTAGACTTTACACCTATCTAACTTCCTCAAAATGTCTGATTTCGGCGATGACGACGTTTCCGTTGGCGGGTAAGTGCAGCCTCGTGACTTAACAGGAAGGCAAAGTTGGAAACAAAAGGGCTGTTGAACAGAACGCTGACCCCCTGGTGCACAGCGATGAGCCCGTGTTGGAAGAGGATGAGGTGGGCGAATTCTACGAACCCGAAGTTCACGATGACGAAGATGGCGAGCACGCGAACGGTGACGACCAGGACAACGTTGTCATTTCTGGAGACCCCTCTGCGGCTGCGAATGCGTCGAAAGACAAGTCCGTCAAGGACAAGAAGATTCCCGACGACCAGCGCACGACAACACCATACATGACAAAATACGAGAGAGCACGTATCCTAGGCACGCGTGCCTTGCAGATTAGGTTGGCATTGCAAGAATGTGAGGGTAGCATACAGATGTGCTAACTGGTTGGTATAGCATGAACGCGCCGGTGTTGGTAGATCTCGAGGGTGAGACGGATCCTTTACAGATTGCGATCAAGGAGCTACGCGAGAAGAAGATCCCTCTCATCGTGCGAAGATATATGCCCGATGGATAGTAAGTTGGACTCTGGTCCGGCCAAGGAGATGAACGTGTGATGGGCTGACATTTTTTCAGCTACGAGGACTGGACCTGCGAAGAACTTCTTCAGTAGACGAAGCCTAGCCTGGCAAAGACGAAGGCGGGCAAAGATGATGACACTCGATTCACGCCAACTCTTTTCATTTTCGCAGAGGAGAGTTTAAGGAGTACGATGCTGTATTTCATCGGCCTTTCTTCATCTTGTCGAGAAGAAAACTTGTTCATCAGCGTGGCGTTTCGAGATTCGATTAATTTCAGCTCTCGGCTAGGATATAAAGACAGCATGTTTGACTCAACACTGTGCTACTCCGCCTTTGGTGTGGCACCAGGACTGATCTCAGCCAAAGATCGGATGCGTCTCTGGCCACCAATTTGTCTCTCTGGCGCATGCAACCACATTAGGGGCCTCTATCCAAGGCAGCCGAAAAACTACACCGAGAGATGTACGAATTATATGGGAGCAACTTGGGGGGTCTAGAGCGCTTAGACTTGGGTTGCAAGTCCTAGCCTGTACAAACTGATTTGGCAATGCATAGTAAAAGGCTATTTTATACGGATGACTGCAAAGTATGTCAATACAGTAATAGATTATCAAGAGGTTAAAAAAAATATCAATGGAATTGCTTTCTTGCTACAGGATGATTTGCATGCCACGGTGATGATGAGAGAATCTGCCCACAATTGAAGCTGTCAACCCAGATCCCAATTGCTCTGCGGTAAGCGAAGGGGTGAAGCGGCATATCGAAGTAATACTTGATTTAGACAGATATGCTCCCAAAGCTACATACGTTCAAAATAGAATGGGGCATGATTGTTCCTATTATCACGGCTGCTACGTTGCATGTGACAACTGTTACAGCAAAAAAAGACGGGACTTGAACAAATACACAGCCGGGCCATCAGTAGCCGCACTGGAAGCTAACCCCAGGCCAAGTTTAGCGCTCCGTCTCTCCATATTGCTCACTAAAAATAGCCCGGGAGCCAAACTGTGACATCATAAGGGCAGGTCGATTAGGACCCCGAAAAGTGTTGTCGTTGGAGTTTTATTTATTTATGTGATAGAAACAATATTTTCTTCTTATCATCATCAATTCATTTTTATACAACATGTACTGAAAGCTCTCTAAGTTTTATGCATGAGCTGCAGCTTGTTGAAAATGTCACCTAGTGTTACTCAACAGCCGGCAGCGGAGAATAAAGGCCGTTGGCAAAGTGCCGTTCCTGCATGCATATACGAGTTAATGCGCTGTTCACCTGTTGTTTGCCGACTGGCTGTGTAAGAAGGCTATTTTTGATTACTTATTGTCAGTATGGCCCAGGAGAGAGAAGAGAGAAGATGGTGTTACATGGATTTAGACGAGTTTGCTGCCATGTGCCATGTGCCATAGGTAGATTCCGTAGTTTACCATATCAAGGGCCGATGCATAAGGCAAATTCCGACCGCCCAACCAACGCCGTCCCTCGTATTCCCTCGACAAAATCCTCACGGTGATCGGCTCTTCTGTCGTCGGCCAAGCCACTCGTATGACGTCGAGTCACGACAAACAGAAGAGGATCGACACATGGCTCTCGTATGTCTCACGACCTTTCCTATTCGAGCCGCCATTTCAGGGGACCGTAAGAAGGGCATGTGCACAGCGTATTACCCAACACAAAGAAACTAGATGGATCAATCCTTTATTCTCACCTAAAAGCTGGAGCATTTACTCTCGGGTGGCTGCTTAGGGGCCCGTGCTGCTGGGCGGAGGCAATACGGGGACAGACGTCAGTCAGAATCTTGTTGCAAGGTTACGGGGGCAACAAAGAGAGTGAGAAGGGAAGAAAGGGAAGGAAATGGCGGCTGCATTACGTCGGTCAGCAAATGCGAGGAGGCGAGGGAAACACGACGGATCGAGTCCTGCTTGTATATAAAATGGGCGGGTCGGTTCCACGAGAATCGAGACAAACATGCACATCACACCGCAACCTACTGACCTATAAGACAAGCTGTGGCTTTTCTAACTCTTACTTTCGATTCCATTCCAGTGCTGTCACCTTTTCTTGGGAATAACTCAGCTACAAAGACAACTTTGAACCTACAACATAATCATAATCATCATATCCTATTCAAAATGAAGTTCACAACCATCGTCACCGCTGCTGTCTCTTCAGCCATTGCCGTCTCCGGCACTCCCATCCACAAGCGCGAGATCGGCGGCGTATGTCTTCTCCCTCCTCTCCTCTCCCTTGCATCCTCTCCATTCCTATCACTTATTTGAATGAACATTATCTCTAACTATGGGTCAATACCTCACAGGTCCTCTTGTGCACCGGCGTCAACGCAACCGGCACCTGCAGCTACAGCGTCTACGCCCTCGAGACGTGCCACCAGCTTCCCGCGCCTTTCCACCAAAACACCAGCACGTTTGCCCCCGACGGCGAAGACTTTGAGTGCTTCCCTCGCATTGGCGACTGCGGCTCTATTTGCACCAGCCCGACGGGATGTACCTTTGGCAGCGTCGACTTTAACTACAAGAACAAGTTTAATCTGGGGGCTATTAAGTGGAACACCTTGATTTCCAGCTTTGACTGTTCGCTGAAGACGACGACTTCAACTGAGTAAAAACGAAAAACAAAAAAACAAAAAACACAATTTTTAATTCAGTGATGGAGGATCGCATTTTGTTTGTTTAATTGCACGACTTATATTAACAAATGAGGATTCATCTCATCCATCGAAAACTCGAAGACTGACAGCTGCCCCTCCATCAGCTTTATAAAACTTACAAGGATGCCAGGATATGACATCAAGCCAGGAGTGTTTTATTTAAACGGGAGAACGGCTGTTTTAATTGTTTTGCTTCTGTTTTGTGTTTGGGAATGGGCGTTTATACTATTACCCGATGCCTTTAATGAATCGCTGCTTTCGGACATAGTTCGGGCGTCATGATGATGGAAATAGAGAGCTTTCGGAGGGGTGTTTTGGCACGTCTGGTGGTGGGGTAAATACGGATCAATGTGTCGATGATGTTAAATAGCTTCTACCTCTTTTACCTATTAATGAGTAGCTTGTGCTTCTACTTATTCTTCTTTTTCTTCTTCCCATATAAGCATTACCTCCTCATCTAGCCAATTCCCAACCTTGTGGCTGTAACTGTATCAACCCCTCCAAAACACCATGGCGAGCATCACCACCAACGCCTCCATCGCCTCTTTTGGCGGCCGCTTCCTCAAGCTCACCCACCAATCCTCCGTCACCGGCGGCTCCATGAACTTCACCCTCTTCCTACCCGCCGGCATCTCCGAGTCCGAACCCGCTCCGCTGCTCATCTACCTGTCCGGCCTGACATGCACCCCCGACAACGTCACCGAAAAGGGCTTCCTGCACGCCCACGCCGCGCCCCTCAAGCTCGCGCTTCTGTATCCCGACACGTCGCCCCGCGGCACGAACCACCCCGGCGAGCACGATTCCTGGGACTTTGGCAGCGCTGCGTCCTTTTACATTGATGCTACCCAGGAGCCGTGGGCGCAAAACTACAAGATGGAGACATACATCACCAAGGAGCTGCCCGAGCTCGTCTTTTCGCAGTTTAAGCAGCTGGATCCGCAGCGTGTGTCTATTACGGGCCACTCTATGGGCGGTCACGGAGCTTTGACGCTGTTTTTGAAGAACCCTGGCAAGTACAAGAGTGTCAGCGCGTTCTCGCCCGTGTCGAACCCGAGTGCGTGTCCGTGGGGGGAGAAGGCGTTTACGGGATATTTGGGGGCCGACAAGGAGGAGTGGAAGAAGCATGATGCGACGGAGCTGGTGAAGCACTGGAAGGGATATCTGAATGCTCTGCTTGACGTGGTATGTTGAAAATAAAACAGTCCCAGCGAAGAGAGGAAGAAGGAGAAGAAGTTGCTAAGAAATTGTTACTAGGGCACCGCCGACAACTTTTACAAGCAGAGACAGCTTCTGCCCGAGAACTTTGCAGAGGCCACCAAGGCTGCGGGCATCGAGGGCCTGCAGCTACGATACCAAGACGTATGTTTTTCTCCAGCTTCATCATGGCAAATCTCATCTTGGGTGTATGCTGACTTACATGATTCTTCTCTCGCAGGGTTATGACCACTCATACTTCTTCATCTCAACCTTTGGCGAGGACCATATTAAGCACCATGCCAAGCATCTGGGTTTGTTGTAATTGATTGGTCCTTTGTACATATATGAATGGCACACATGAAAAGGAGAATGTCTGAAGAAATTACCTACACAGCATGATGCCAGAGAAATGGGGTAACGATATGATGAGACGACGAGCTGCAAAAAGCAGCCAAATTCCGCTGCTAAAATACTCAAATGCATCTGTATATATAAACACACTCTGCAGAGAGTATCCGAAAAGATTAAATCAGATGACAAGAAAAGAAGAAGAAGAAGAAGAACAAGGTATATCTAGCCCTCAACAAGAGGAAGTGCACAACTCCCCCCAAACATCTGTAATTATCTCATATATGTCTCTTCTATATCCTCTGACACTCGAGCAAAATATTAAGTAGGAAGAAAGAAAGAAAAAGCCCAGCAAGAAATACTCCCAAGCAAGGAGGCTCTTCCAAGATCCGACTGGAGGAAGAAAAAAAGAAGAAAAACAAGATCCCATCATATCATAACCATGTCGATTTGCTTTTCGCTCCGCCTCGACAACGCCCGCCCAAACACATGACGATAATAATAACATCGTAGACATCCATACATATAAGTACTACTCATCGTAGTATGTACGCCGCACAGCTCTCCCGTCATTGCTCGCCGGCATAATATATACTCACTAGGCAGGCCACAAATGTGCGCGCCGTCATGTGTATCCCATATAAATTCGCCACAATCTCCCGCTCTCTCCTTCTTTTTTTTTTTGGTCTTTTCTTCTTTTTTGTGATTATGTTTCATTGGGCCTCTCAGCTCATCAGCTTCTCCATAACAGGACTGAGAACCAGCCCGTCCTTCTCTCCTTTCGTCCTCATCTCTGCTTCAGTTTCACGCCGGATTCGCTTGTACGCCAGCTTCTCAAACTGACTGAGGCTCTTCCACCAGTGCTGCCCGGCCTCGTGCTCGGAAATTCGCTCTAGCAGATCGGCCGTTCTTAGACGCACCTCGCGGTCCTTGTGGAAGAGGCCAAGCGCAATATAAAAGAGCCCAGCGTGCGACTCGGGTGCCACATCCAGCAGCAGGCAAATCTCTTCATATGAGTGGATATGCTTGGATAGCGTCAAATAAATATCCTTGCTCTGTGCTGGCGTCAGGCGCTGCATGCGTAGACGGTCGTGCATGTGGGCCAGGTCCAATCCCTTGAGCGGGCGGAAGGTGTATATTCTTGCGAGATCCTGTATGGAGTCGTTCCTGTTAGCCAACCCTCATCCCACGATAAGATAGACCGAATAACCCTTACCTGAATGTAGCTGTAGTAACTACGCGTGTTGCGCCACCCTTCAATCCTCGTCACATTGCCGGCCAGCTCCTTGAACTTTGCAGTGTCGTCTGCCCAAACATATCCATGACCACTGGCCCCTGGCAGTGCCAAGTCTTGGTCTTGACCTCCAATGTACAGAGCAGATGCGTTGTATACGCTCTCCTCAAACTGGGCAGCAATTCTCGTAAACTTGTTAACCCAGCCGCGCCACTTTGCTCGTATGACCCGCTCGCCATGCCTGGCAGCAATGCTCCTAAGAATATCTGACATAAAGGCGGCATCCCCCGTCAAGTCCTGCGCGTTGTTGGAGACACCGCTGGCAGTGTTGGAGAGGGTGGGGTGCTGCTGCTGAAAGTAAATCAGCCCTTCAGTAACCGGTGCCATCTCAATCTTGCTGCTGATCTTGACGCGGCCGCTGGGCAAGTCGCACAAGACGTCCCACCATTCTGGATGGAGCTCAAATGTAGGGTTGGTAACGCCGGCTATAAACCCTGGCACGTTGAGCAGATCATCGACCTTGGTCAAGTCGGTGTAGGGAAACGCATGCCTGGTAAACCCCCGGAGGATGCCACCAGACACGAGAGCACATGCCGCAAGCACTGCCTCAGCTACGTCACCGGAGGGCATGTTGTGGCCCAAGAAGATGATTCTCTTCTGCGTGAGGAGCCCGTTCATCAGCACAATGATTGGGTGCGTGTTGACCCCGTTGGTTGTCAGATGCGGGTGCAGTGGGAACGGCTGCGGCGACTTGGCATGGGCCTCGGAAAAGTTTTGTATCAACTTTATGAGAGAAAAGTCTCCCACAGTCTCGGGCATGACCGCGGTGGGCACCTTGATAGGGATGGGGATGCCCTTGTACATGACTTTGCTCTCAAACTCGTGAGTATCTCGGGCCACAGAGTATGTCGACTGCCCGCCGCCCTCGACGTGCGCCTTGGTGCCAGCCCTCGAGATGCCGCCAGTGAATTGCGGGCTCTGACTCCTCTCTCCGGACCCCTCAGTAGCGGTCTCTGCCCTGTCTTCTGCCATGCGCATCTGGATAATGCGCTCGAATTTTTCCACAAACAGATCCTTGTTGTCGCTCGCTAGTAGCAGGTTCCTCTCCAGCAAGCTCAATCTGGGCATAAGAGACAAGTCCATCGCATTGACCGATTCGTACAACATGGAAAGAGTCTCGGGCACTGGCGACTTGAAGTATTCTTCCAATGCAAGCAGTAAGAGTGGCTGAATAAGAATCACGAAGCGTTAGTCTCTGCAATGCGATGCAAAAGGATGTTTCAGCAAGCTCAGCTGTCAGACTGCGTACCTTGTATATATGCAAGAAAGGGTGTCTTGTGCAAATTGCCATGGCCTTGACGATGGCTCCTCGCTTCACAGATTTGTCGTGCTTGGTATTTACCAAGTTGAGGACGTAGATGAGCGGCGGGCCCTCTAACTCATCGTCGGGCTCATCATCTGAAGATTCGTCGTCATCCCAGTCTTCATCCAGGTCGTCGTCGTCTCCCTCATCGTCGTCTTCGCCCTCGGCTCCATCCTCAGGGACCAGCCCCGCCGCTTTATCTCGCCGTCTCTGCCTCCGAGCTTTCCTCCTGGCCTTTTCCTTGCGTTCTTCGTCTTCATCTTCCGGAGAAGAGTCCTTGTGCAGGAAGAACATGGTCCAATCCTGGTTACGCGCGTGGGCCTGATCTGGAAGCATCAACTCGGCCAACATGTTCTCGTCTCCGGTGATGGCGACAGGGTACTGGTGCTCCATCACCGGCCCACGGTCGATATCAAACGACGCCACTAAAATATACTCGACATGGTTGGCGTCGGATCCGCGAGGATACTGTGCTCGGAGTTTCCTCTGCGGCTGTGAATCCTCATTGGTTCGACGCACTGCCGACAGAGACGAATGTTGCGAAGATGGTCCAATGGAAGAGGCCTTGGATTTGGAGCTCGGGTCCGAAGTCCGATCGGTTTCGGCCATGGGCGGGTGCGGCGACCTTGATGGGCGTGAATGGAAGGACATTTGCGACGGCGAGCGTGACGGGGGAAACGAAGAAAGAGAAGTTCGGCGATGGTGTGGCAGCGAAACTTGGGAGCTGCTGGCGCCATTCGAGCGCGAGGCATAGGGGAGAGCGGCAGCCATTGTTCAAGAGCCTCCCCGCAGGCCAATGCAATTAAATGTAGGATATAGAGTACTAGAAGTCGATCGATATACTGGCCCGCCTGGGTATATATATGTATGCTTGAAGTGTCGTTGCACCAAGTGCGTCCCTGGCTTCCTCTGGATCTTGTAGATCAAGAATGGCCTCGATCGGAGCGAATTCGACGCAGACACAGCTTTGCAGCCTGGTTGTTGCACAGGAACAGCTCAGGGACTGCTCTCTGGCTCGAGCGGTCGGTTCTGCTAGGACGCTCAAAGCCCTGCGCCTGTTGGTGATGGTCGACACTTATCCGCCTGGCAGAGATATCACGGCTACGCTGCGATAACACGCGAGCAGAGAAGCCGGCAGCAGGCAGCAGATGAAGAGGCCAATGGACTGGTGCTTGGATTTGAACCAGGCATCGTCTGCTGCAACTTGCGACGAGTTCTCTGGGAAGAAAGTCGAGACAGGGGCGTTGAGCCATTGTGGAACTCTCCGTATTGACTGTGCTACTAGTGTCAGGGTCCCGTTACAGCGCGAGCTGCTTCACAGCGCTAATTTGGGGGGGCTACAATTGGCTCCTCATTTGGTGGCGGGCTACGGAGCACCTTATCCATTCAATGGAACACTTATCAGCGCTTAAAGAGGAACAGTTGGTTGGTGGCTGAAATTGGCGTTTCACAGGCCGCGCCACACCCGACACGCTTGCACCAGCCACACACCATTGGGTTGTCGGGTCAGACAACTTTGATTGTTTACTTTGGGGGGTCATGATCTGAATCTAGATGCAATTGTGCATCAACCCCCCGCAGACAAGACAGAGCCAGACCACTCACTGACTGCATATTTCTGGCCAAGCATCCCAGATTATCTGCATTCTGCACCACCCTCAAGCGATCAGCAAATCGTGCGTCATACTCGTACCGTACATCAGTCTCCGCTTGCTGCTCGCTGGCCAACCGTTATTGCGGACACCGTTCCAGCACAGATCCCCTACCATCTGCATCATGGTGCGTATTATTACGGTGCAGCCCCGTACATGGCCGTTTCGCTTATCTGCTAATCACTCTCTGCTTGCTGTCCCAGTCTTTGTCAACAACGTTCAAGCCCTCTCCCCTGGGTTACGGATCGCCTCCCAGCGTTCGAAACTCTCCATTCCGCCGGGCCGACCCGCCTGCATCGCCTTCACCACTCCGACAAATAACACCAACGAGCTCGCCTACTAAAGCTGCCCCGACCACGCCCAGCAGAACGTCGAGGCTCGCGAGACCAACGACACCGACCGCCACCGACGACGTCCCCGAGACCCCAGAGCGAGAGAAGACACCAGGCATGACTACTCCCACAAAGGTTTCACCACCTTCGTGGAAGCATGGGTCAAAGCTAGCAGTGGGCGGCTCCCTTGGCGGCAGCAGCGCTCTCTCACAGCTTCAGCCTACTCAGGTTAGGACTCTAAGAGATGGATTTCAGATTTTGGACCGAGATTGCGACGGCATTGTCAATAGAGAGGATGTGGCCGACATGCTCGGGCAGCTTGGTGAGTTTCCTGCTATTGTTGCTCGCGGTGAAGCATGATCAAACCTCCCCCATTACGATGCTAACTTCTAGCAAGGCCTCCCTTCAGGCTCCTCCGACATAGGACGCTTCTTCCCGCCATCAAAACCACAAACCATGACGCTAGCCGCTTTCCTCAACTCTCTGGCGGAATCCCTGGCGGTGCTGTCACCAAGCACCGAGCTCTTATCTGCGTTCTCGGCCTTTGACGAGGACGACAGCGGTCAGATCGACTGGGCGGAGCTGAGGGACGCTCTGCTCAACACACCGCCGGAAGCCGGGCAGTCGGCCCTCAGCGCCGCAGAAGTCGACAAGGTCGTCGAGGGGTTCACTGGTCGTCGAGCCTTCAACCGGAACATGAACGCGCAGATATCGGCAAGGAGGGGCGAGGTGTTTAAATACCAGGAGTTTGTCCACTCAATCATAGGTTCCAACGGCGGGTCCGAAGGAGGGTCTCACGAGAGATCCGAGGAGTAGTGACGAGGTGATTGGCTTGGCTGTCATTCCGCATTCCGCTCACTGGTGGCTTTCCCGGGGTTTTCGTTTCCAGTTGACACGAGTGACACGATGCAGTTACCAGGAGTGTTACTGGACAGGCACGGGTACAGGTACCAGGGCCGGGCCGGGCCTGGCTCCGTGTGATATGTATGGGCCTGTTAAGGAGGACGAATGAGCTGTTTGAATCCTGCTGCGCATTCTAATTTTCTTTGATTTCTTTTTGGTTTCTTTCCTTTGGGTATCCTGCACATGTGTACTGTACGAAATATATGGGATTAGGTACGATTAATGGCTGCATAATTAATACATACATACATACCACGGCACAAATAAGTATTGGGAGGAGATTATGCTCCGCGCCAGGAGCGTAGACGTGGGAAACAATCTGCAAATCGCTCCATACCGTGCTCAATCTTTATTTTGATTCGCATTTCCAAAGGCAAAAGTTCTCCATCTCAATGCTACGGAGTCGTGTATAGTACTTTTCAATACATACATATATGTACTCGTATTTACCACGAAAGCGCTGCAAGATAAGCCGGCTGTTGATATTCGCTGGGAGGAGGGCAGAGGAGTCTTGGGAGTGACGAAATGAATGGACCAGCGGCTGATTGCAAGTTCCAGGATGGCATGGCGGGCCAATGGCGCATGTGAAGCCACCAGGATCCTGGGTTGCAGCGGCTAGGAGGTGCGGAGAAGGAAGCAGAAAAAGGTGAGACTAGTCTGGCGGCAGACGGGATGTGACTGATTGTGATATGAGACCAGCCAGACATGACTTGATTCCCTTACTCGTACGCGACGTGCCGCACAAAACATGTTGCATGTGCCGCCAGCTCAAATATAAACTATTGCGGGTAAGTAATTTTAGCACGCACAGCAAAATCACCAGACGGTACCGGATATCGCAGCCGGCTCGGTACCTGGTGCTAGTGGTTGCAGTCGGGTGCCAAATGTAACTGTCCACTGTATGATATGTTACCTGTACTCAACTTTTACCTGTAGTGCCAACGTGCTGCTGTACCGCATGTACTCGCAGACATTTGATCCATCCATCCATGGGTCAACTCGCTTCCAAATGCTTCGCTTCCAACGGCCCATGGCAGCTGAGCACTGGAGTGAATCAATCAACCTATCCAATTACTAATGACTTGACCCCGGCTGCATCCTGCATTCTACATACTGACAGCAGGAGCTGACTGCGTGCGTAAGTTCAGCCGGGCTGGACGCAAGGTGGCGCAAGTGTCAGTCACTGTCACTGATACATGAATGTCTGGAGCAGTAATTTTGATCCATCCGGCTTTCAATTGACTCCAGCCCGTCTTGTTGTCAATTCTCTTCTGGAACCTTCCAGCCTTCCCAGAGGTGGGGCAGGATCCCGCCTACTACGATATTCAGTTATGGGAGTGTGAGCTGTTCGTGTACTCCGTACAAAGTACGGATACCTGGACTCCGTGTTTTTGAGCGATTGGGCACTGTATAGCCGCGTTGCCCGAAGGTGCTCAAAGGCTGAATTGCCAGGCTGGAAACCGGGGGTTGCAGCGCTGGGTTCCGCGGGCACATGTAAATAAACACGACATGGACATTCACCATTCAAACATGAGTGACGGATGATGATGCCTGCAACACGCACTTGCGCAGCCAATGGTTGTGGCCTCTGCCAGCCCACGGCAATGCCCATTGGCGTCTCCTTTACGCGCCCTGGACTGTACTGTACAGTACCGACTAACTGTCTGATACCAAACGTCTTTGCTGCGTGGCTGGAACAAAGTGCCTTGTTGTGGGGATTGGAGCTGCGGCCCGTGAGGTAGTTACCCGCAGCTACCTACAAATTGAATTGGCAGGCTGCGAGCGTGTGCCTGTCCGCCACTGTCGATACTGTACTGTACTGTACAGCTGGCCGCCCGGAGTGTGCCTGTCAACTGGGCTGTATAGCGCCGCCGGTCTCTTTTGTCTCTTCCACTTGAAATTTCTGACGTGCCCCCCAGCTCAAACCGCTTCATGAGCCTGGCAAGTCTGGATTCAAACTAGCCTTCACAGTGCCGCTGATAAATCTGAGGGCTGGCCTTTTTTTGGGCTTCTCCTGATCCGACTTCGTCGTGTCGCATCGCATCGAACATCCTTTGACTCTCTCTCCCTCAGCCATCAAACTCCCAGGCCACAGTGCACTGAAGCCGCCCAGCCTGTGGCGCCTTAGTACCTCCCGCGCCCCTACGCCCCTACTCCGTGGACCGGCCGGCACTGTCCAGTACTTTCTTTTTATTGCCTAGGCCTCTACCACTTCTCTGCAAGTCCCAAATATCCGGCATAACCTTGTGTCGGGACATTTTTTTGCTCGCCCAAGATTCGACAGCCTTCCCCAATGAAGTTTTTCGGCAATAAGAAACCGGCCTCGAAGAAGAACGCTTCTGCTTCCAGTGCCAGTGTCGAGGACGACGTTCCGCAGAGCCAGAGCCCCAGCGTCCACGCCGACCCCCCGCCGGCTTATTCCTCCACCAACTCGTCGCCATCGCCAACAAAGCGGTCCTCACGGCCCGTCTCCCACCACAAGGACGCAAAGCCGCCGTCCTCGAGGTCTTCTCGCCTGTCGCGACACTCGACCGACGCAGGCTACTCGTCGCGCCGCAGCAGCAAATACGACCCGGACACCCATCCATTGAACTTGCCCCCTGAGGAGCGAGAGCGGAAGCGCCTGTCCGCCATGTCAGCCAAGATGGACGTCGATCCGCAGCCCGTCAACGGCGCGGCATCACCGCAGCCTCCCAAGCCCTCTTCGAACCCTTCTGCCCAAAAGAACTTTGCAGTGCCCATCCCCAACGGCAACATGAGCAACGATGAGGCTCCAGCGCCGCCGCCGCACAAGTCCAACCCGTCCAGCCCTGTCCCCACGCCTCTCGAGGACGCAGAGACATACAAGACCAACGGAAACCGCTTCTTCAAGGAGAAGAACTACCCCAAGGCCATCGAGCAGTATAGCAAAGGTATGCAAAAATTCCAATGGGCATGGATCATGCCATTTTCTTGATTTTATTTTGTCGTTTCCTTTTTTTTTTCTTTTTTTTTTTCTTTTAATTATCGCCAAAAAAAAATACTGGGCTAACTATTTCTCTTTTTCTTCTCTGTCGTGCAGCTGTGGATCTGTTCCCCAACTCGGCAACTTATCTGGGCAACCGAGCGGCTGCCTACATGTCAAATGGCCAGTATGAGGCTGCCTTGGATGATTGCAGCCGTGCCACAGACCTCGACCCCAACAATGCAAAGGTCCTGTTGCGCCTAGCAAGGATCTACACCGGTCTGGGTAGGCCAGAGGAGGCCCTGGCCACTTTCTCCCGCATCATCCCACAGCCATCTGCTAAGGACATGGCTCCCGCTCGGGAGATGCTGCACCACATCAAGTCGGCCAAGGACACTCTCCAGCGTGGCTCGGCCATGTCCATGGTGCTACACGCCCTGGACCAGGCCGAGCGCGGTCTTGGCCACGGCGTTAGCAAGCCGCGTAAGTGGCAGCTAATGCGAGGCGAGGCCTACCTGAAGATGGGCCGCGAGAACTCTCTGGGCGAGGCTCAAGGCGTCGCCATGTCGCTGCTGCGAAACAACAACCAGGACCCTGAGGCTCTGGTTCTCCGTGGCCGTGTCCTTTACGGTCAGGGCGAGAATGAAAAGGCTATTCAATACTTCCGAATGGCTTGCAATTGCGACCCCGACTTCCGGGACGCTGTCAAGTGGCTTAGGATTGTTCAGAAGCTTGACCGCATGAAGGAGGAGGGCAACGCTGAATTCAAGGCCGGCCGATGGCAGGCAGCCATCCAAAAATACAGCGACGCCTTGGACATTGACCCTTCAAACAAGAGCATGAATGCCAAGCTTCTGCAGAACCGTGCTCAGTGCAAGATTAAGCTGCAGCTATACGAGGAGGCCATTGCCGACTCAGACCGGGCTGTAAGCCTCGACCCCAGCTACACCAAGGCACGTAAGACAAAGGCCAATGCCCTCGGAAAGACTGGCAATTGGGAAGAGTCTGTGCGCGAATGGAAGGCCATCCAAGAACTTGACCCAGCCGACAACTCAGTCCGCCACGAGATCCGCAAAGCTGAGTTGGAGATGAAGAAGAGCCTGAGGAAAGATTACTACAAGATCATGGGCATTGAAAAGGATGCCGATGCCAATGAGATCAAGCGAGCGTATCGCAAGATGGCTGTCAAGCTGCACCCTGACAAGAACCCTGGTGATGCTGAAGCTGAAGCCAAGTTTAAAGACATGCAGGAAGCCTATGAGACGCTGAGCGATCCTCAGTACGTTCCCCCCTTTTATTAAACATTTACGAATAATTTCTTTATGAGACTGAGTGTGCTAACACACGATGCAGGAAGAGAGCTCGCTATGACAACGGCGACGACCTTGTTGACCCGGCTGATATGTTCAGTGCCGGTGGCATGGGCGGCGGCATGGGTGGCATCGACCCCGAGATTCTCTTCAGCATGATGGGCAACCAGGGCGGATTCGGAGGAGGCGGATTCCGCGCCGGTGGCTTCCCTGGTGGTGCCGGCGGCTTCCCTGGCGGTGCTGGAGGCTTTCCCGGAGGTGCAAGCTTCAACTTTGGCGGTGCTGGCGCCGGTGGTCGTCAGCGAGGCGGCTTCCCTGGTGCTGGCGCTGGATTCCCCTTTTCGTGACCAGCCGATCGGGAAGAATCAGAAACGGAGGACGACGACGACGACGATGACAGCGAGGAAGATGGCGAGCAAGATACTGAACCTCCCTTCTCTTTCGTTGACGGTTGGCCAGACAGCGCGTCAGGCAGCAAGTTGCAGGACGACTTCCAACGTCGCCGGGAGAATCGCAACGAGCTGGTCGAAGCATTACGACGTTATGGGATGTGGCTTTTGGCGGCGATTGTCTTGCTGCCTCCGCAACTAGTTGCATTGGGCTTGGTCATGACGGCATTTGTATACTTGTGCATGAGACGAGACGGCCGGCAGCGTCGTCACGGCAGACGCAACACCGCAGGATAGACATTTGGGTTTTTTTTATCATCTTTTCTTTGAAAGTCTTTTGTTTTTTTCCCTAAACCAGAAAAAAGACGCGCATCCTCATTGCTATGGCGTTTTTGGGACATTTTAGAAAGAAAGAGAACCGGGAAAGACAACAACAGTCGATCTTTTGATTCATTTGCACGAAACTAAGTACTGTCTCACGGAGGAGGGGGCAATGGGAAAATATTTCTTTGTCGGAGCCGGGTCGAACAGAGGGGGAGAGAGGGAGGAGGATGCCCGGCTCGCCTTTTCTTTTTAAGACCGAATGGACGGCACGCTTGATGTTGGAAATGACGAGTGTCTTGTTTAAAAAGAGGCCGGATGGGATCGGGGGTGGGATCAACGTAGTTGCAAAGGCTTTATATAGATGAATGCGGGTGACCCGTCTTTTCCACAATCCACTGTCAGATACCCTTGTGTCTTTTTTTATCTCAGCCTAACTTCATTGTTTCTTGCTCTTTTATGTGATGGGTTTACGAACTGATCGCTGCCGCTGTTGCGGGAGTAGTGCAAAAGCAAAAGTAATGAATGATTGAATAAAAGTATCAAGTGACTACTTAGTAGATGGCTATAGCACAATTGCTGGTTGCTTTAGTTGACATCTTGGGTATCATGTTACGCCCTTCTCAACGCCGAATTTCAAAAGCCCCCGTCCGCATCTAGAAATCCCTTCCCTCGTAACTACTCCCATAATCGGGCTGTCTACCGAATCCCATCCCCTCCCCTCTTTCTCTACTGACTACCCGTCTGCCCCGACGGCGCAGGTCTCGCGGGAAGGCTACTATTCGAATTATTCGCGCCCAGCCCAGCCGCCGCCGCCGCGCCACCGGTCGCAGCAATAGCCGGGTTCCCGCCCGTGGCCTCGAGCACGCGGGCCACGTCGTCGCGCAGCTCAGGCATGGCCGAGGCCATCTGCTCGGCGAGGACGTCGCGGAAGGAAGCAAAGGCGTTGACTTTACCGCGCATGAGCTGGTTGCCGCGGCGGACGAGCTCGACGAACTCGCGGGTGTAAATGTCCGGGTTGCGGCCGTTTTCGACGTACTCGAGGAGTTCGGGGGGTACGGAGGGGAGGTGGTTTGGCGGGGAGGCGGCGGTGTAGACGCTTTGGAGGGAGTCGGAGAGGTTTTTACTATTTGTTGATTAGTTGAGCTGATTGCGCATGGCAGTAGTGGGGGGATGGGAGGTTTTTGGTACATTTCGTTGGAGAGGACTTCTTTGCTTGAGCGGCCCATGGAGTCGTATGTTGAGACTTGGACCATGATACGGTAGAAGTCTTGGATGACGTCCTTGAGCTGTTCTGCTTGGGAGTTAGCCAATGTTTTGCTGTCGCTGTAGTATGGTGGTAGCGGAGAGACGTACGCTCAATGGCATCGTGGTCTATCCTGTCGACGGGCGCCATGGCTGTGCGAGAAGCTGGAAGCGCGAGATGCGGGTGGTTGGTGTGAAGTTGGGAATTTAGAGGCTGATGCTCTGTAGAGAAGACTACGGACCGCACTAAGGTGGGAGTTTAAAGTGGTGGGGCAATGGCAGTTGGGTTGAGCTTGTCTGCGGCACCTGTGCATCGTTACTACGCGAGGTTATACAACAAGTACAGTGATGATTTGTTATTGTATTATATCTCATTTGATGAATAATTATGATTGTTCTATTTACTCTTTACCCCTTACGTTGTTCATATAAATTACGAATATAGTATCAGTGTCGTCACGCAACACGTGAAAGCAAGACAAAAAGTACTTCGTACCGCGGTATAATCTGTCTTGTTAGGAAAGAGCAGCACAATTGCCTTACACCGCCTACTCTTCTCTATTTCTTGATGTCTTGCTAAAGGTGAGACTTAACTCCGTCATCGCTTTGGGTATCTTCTGACCATCAACTTTGTGGAACTTGAAGTCCACGGCATCAATATATCGGTCTATTCAATCTCAGTCTACCTCGACGGCCGAGTGGTACGCACAACTTTGATCTAGAAAAAAGACCATAGTATGTAATTCATTGATGTTCCAAAGCTTTGAATGTTGTCAAGAAACCCTATATTCTGAATAGGCACTCACAGGGCGGCTTCAGAAGTGTGTGTAAATGCTCCAGAACAAGACTAACGATGCATTAGTAGATCTCTCTCGGTAGCCAGATGACCCATGTCAAAAAGAGATTGCACACGTCTGAGCCATGGGCTACCAGCACGACAGCAAATGTACGGAGTAGCCATCGGGCCTTTCTCAAATAAAGCTATGGCCAGCTGCTCAAGCGAGGAGCAACGGGCAGGCATCCCGCACTTCGAATGAGTAAAGGCGGCAATGATCAACTGACCCTCGTCAAATACGCCTCAATAATGCCGTGTCTCAGGATTAATATCCATCAGAATATGAGGCTGGGAATGAGACAACACCCATGCTGGTCAAACGTTACACAAGCAGCACACCCCCGGACACACGTTCAATCTCAGAAATTCGGTGTACTCCGATAGGTTTTTAAGTTTACCTGGTAATGGGTATGACAACACCAATGGTTCCAAATTGCCTTCAATTTCCCATACACGCTCCCTTTGCTCCGAGGTATCCCCCGCAAGACTCGGCGTCCATAAAGCTGTCATGGCTCTCGTCCACCTCGGTGGCTTGGCTCTGTGCCTTGTCTAAGTTATAGCGCGGTGCTAAATTAGCGCAGGGGAACCGGCTTCTGAGACTCCTGGTCCTGTCAGTGATGAAAGTGACATTCAGTGAAGGCGGCGTCTGTTTTTGTACGGAGAACAGCGTCGGAGAGCAGCTCGACTGACATGTGATTGGAAAGTAGCTAGGAGCAGAGCTGCCTGTCTAGGATGACCCTTCTCAATACGCAGCCTCTGGCGTTTATCCACGAATCCACGACACTAAAAAGACTCTAGAATCCGGGGATCCTTGCTCATCCTTCCTCCCCCTGCAAGGTTCATAGGAGGCCTGCTGTTTTACCATACGGCCGAGTCCATTACTCGTATGCCATTCGTGGCCCAAAGAGCTGCCACATCACTGGACTTGAGGCTCAAAGTCCAGAACCAACACTTTAATCCAAGATGGACAGGATGGTTGGCCATCACGTCCCGTCACAAAACAAAAACGACCGCCAAAGGCATGAGCCGAACTAGCAGGGACCAATGCATGCACACCGGGATTGCTAGGCACGATCCGCGCACACCGCGTCGCTGGGCCATTTACTCTCACTTAGATGGCTAGCCTGACGGGTTTAATATCAAGATGCATCAGTGGCGTAGAGACTGAGCCAATGGCCTTTCCTGTCAAGGGCAGAGCGTGTGTGAGAAAGGAGATGAGGTGGAAGCTGAGCTGAAAGATGCATGCAACCCACCCACCATCAGAGCCTGGGGTCCGGACGGTACTTCGTACGAGTAGTACACGTTAATGACCTGTCTCGGAAAAAAGCAATGAGCTTGTCGACATGGTTATGACATGCCATGACCTTCCTTTGCCAGCCTGGCCTGCCCAAACTTCTTCCTCTTTCTCCTCCTCGTTGCACCTGACCACGCTCTGGCACCATCTTCAGCCTATTCTGCTTATAACTCCGCGAACACCAAGTATACCTGCATGTCCGTGGAGGGTGAGCTATCGGCCGAGATCAGCTTATTGCGATATTATACGAACTACTGCTCGTACTGCTCCCATTACCAGGTACACGCTACAACCCCTTATTTCCGACCGTTGGGACTGACACGGGCTAAGTAGCACGCAGCTAACAGCTCTATAAGCCGTTTCCATGTCTGCAGACGCAGTAGCTGTTGCTCCCATCGCCCCGGCCCCTCCAACACAGTTTGAATTTGTTGTTGGAGATAGACCAGATCAACTCAAAGCAGGGTCCAACCCAAGGCTACGGTCGCATCTATCCAAACGGGGCTGGCAGGTCTACTTGCTGCAGAACAACGGAGCCTCATCCTCTGCCTCTGGTTCCGCTCCAGTTGATGAAGCAGCTCAGCAACGCGAGGACAGGGCTAAGCGAAAGAAGCGCAAGCGACAACTGCACACTGTCACTTGGAACCTTCCGACTGCCGAAGCCTCAAACAATGCGCTGGCCCAATCCTTGATGCGGACCAATGCCGCAAGAGCCGCTCCGCAGCTGACAATCGAGTACCAACTTGGAGGCGGACGGGTTGATCCTTTCAGGACGTATCCTGCACCATGGAAGCCCTATATTCCCCAGCTGGTCGATCACTGTGAGTTCAGCCCTTTTGAATCCGCCTATGGATAGGCACATTCAGCCAAGCCAAGCATAAAATTGAAAGTCGACGCTAACACATTGACATAGACATCGTCCACATGGCCGTTGATATCCCTGAGCTTGATGAGCCTGGTGAAAGGGGTCTTCTTCGTACCCGCTGGTTCCGTCTCGCGACAACGGAAATATCCACTTTCCAAGTCGTTCTGCTCTTATCCGCGGGTAACTTTATCACGGTCAAGGACGGCAAAGCCTCTGAATCGGGATTCGAAATGGAGCAGCTTAGGCTCGACGCCATTCAGTCCATCAACATTGCCATGGGTTCGCCACATGCTTGCAGTGACTCCATCATCGGCGCAGTGGCAAAGATGGCGAGCTTCGAATCCATGCACGGTAATGAGTCGCATTTTAGACTTCACATGGATGCTGCCAAGAGATTGGTCAACATGAGAGGTGGCTTGCACAATCTAGGCCTGGGAGGACTTTTGCGACGAATGCTCATTTGGATCGACTTGAATGGTGGGCATTTGTTGAATACGCCTCGATGGTTCCCAGGACAAACATTCCAGGGGGGCGTAGAGGAGATTGTGGAACCTAACCCAGAGCGTTTCATTGCTGTTTAAAAGGCGTAAAGGGCAACCTTTGGGCTTTTTGATCTTTCTTTTGGTTATTTGCTTTTTTTATATGTTCCATTCAGGTTCTTTCTAATGGGTCTAAGCGTTTTGGGAAGCGATTCTGGGAAATTCCAGACTAATGGTTTATTACAAGTGTGTTTTATAGAATGGAACCGTACCTCGGGTAGCAAATAATATTGTCTTTTCTTCATACTGATACTCTGAATCTTTGACTAAAACAATGGACAAGACCTCCCTGCATCAAGACGAGTCAATTGTAAAACAATCTTGGTATATACACAATGCAAGAGCGGAGTCAAACAAAGACAAAGGAAATGTTGGTGTAAACGGCACGCAAACACGCCAAGACAAAATGGTATCCATCAAGAATCAAACGCTCCATCATTCTCTTTTTAAAACGCAACTCTCACTTCCTTTCGATTTATCACCATATCCTGCACTCTCCTCACATCCCCTATTCACCACTCAATTAACGTCCCCCGATTGTATGCCATACTTTCCACAACTGCTCGATCAGAGCAATTCGCAATTCAATCAACGCCTCGAAAACGTCTGCGACGCATCAACAAGTAGCGTTGCGATAAGCAACACGGCATTAAAGCCCGCCATCATGTAGAACGGCGTGCCATTCGACACCTTGTCAAACAAAAGCCCACCCAGCTTCGTCAGAATCAGGATCGCCGCGCCGCCGCACAGCGAGTACACGCCCGCAATGGATCCCTTGAGCCGCAGCCGCGACACAAACTCCTCCTCGGTGGCGATGCGGATCAGGGGCTCCGACTCGGTGGACTCGTCCTCGTCGGGGGCGATGGAGTGCTGGCGGCGGGCGTTGCGGGGGATCTCGACGGCGAGGATGCCCTTGCCGAGGGAGCCCAGGCTGCACACGATGGAGCCGATTTGGCTGATGCCGATGAGGGTCACGATGAGGAAGATGTAGGGGGTGCCGCCTCTGCCGTCGACGTCGCTGATTTCGGGGCTCGAGAGTCGAGGGAAGATGATGTAGCCGACGATGCCGAAGATGGTGGCCACGACGACAGGGTAGTTGACCCTGCCAGGTTGGCGAGATAGATAGCCGAACACGGGGGCGCAGATCAAGCCCATGAGCTGCGCGACGCCGGTCAGGATGGAGGATAGGACGTATGCTTGGCGGCACTCCTTCTTCAGCTCTGGCGAAGGATCGTTTGGTGAGCCCTGGCAGAATCCGTTGCCGATGAAGAAAGTGTTGATGTAAAGCGGGACGAAGAGTGAGATGGCAACGGTAGATGCTCGGGCAACGAAGCCGCCAAGGTAACCCAGTGCAATTCGTGAGTCGGTAAATCCAAGAAGCACCGAGTCTTTCATCAGGTGAAGATATGGAATCACCTAGGAGTCAGTGTTAGTAAGGGAGTGCGATTGGATATACAGCTGCTTGATTCCTAAGATTCGTACCTTGTCGTGTGTCCTTCCGGGATAGTCGTATGCGATGGGATCGCTATCCCGTCCCTTTAACCCGAGAAGCAGCCTCCATCCTTTTCCTTGCTCTCCTTGGATATTACGGAGGCCAAAGAAAACGAAGACGGCAACAAGCAGCGCAACAACGCCGACAACATAGAAGCTGTACGACACCGCCTCTCCGGGAGTCACGCCGTCAACCTCGCCGAACTTGGCGGGCAAGGGCAAGAAGCACGACAGTGCCAGCAACGCGCCGCAGCCGGTGAAGAGGCCGACATAGCCCGCCAGCACGGACGACTTTCCCGACCGTCCTTGCGGATCTACGCCGGCCGAAATGGGTCTCCCCTCGCTAGACAATGATCGCGAATACACCTCAGGCGTGATGGTAGCTTCGGATTCGACGGAAAACGCAGCGCTGAGGCGCGCCACAGACTGATGATGCCGCGCGGCAGCTTTGGCCCTCTCGAGGGCATTGTTGCGCAGCTCCTCGTCTTCGTCTGTTAGTGAAGGGAGTATGGCAGTTACCATTGTAGCCCTGTGATTCGGCATTGCGCGTTAGCTATCAAGCTCTGAGAGACAAAATCGGTATTCCTCCGCCTGATCCATGGAATCGAAAGATGTAGCACATACGTAGCCGATGCTCCCAGCGCAAAGAGGATCCTCGCGAGCAACAGCTGAGGATAGACATTTCGGGCCTGGACAAACACCACCAGCGACAGTCCTACAATGGTATACCCAATGACGGCAACCCATCGCACGCCCAGGCGATCCGATACGAGGCCCCAAGCAGGACAGGCCACGAGGGCGACAATCTCGTCTGCGAAGCCCAGCGTGCCGACGACGTCGCCCACGCCATTCTTCTGCCCAATGAGATCGGTTATGACAAAGGAAACGGAGCTGTTGAGGAAGACGAGAAACGATATGGAGAAGAGCGAGATGCCCAGCAGGTATGTCACAGCCTGGGTGGGAGTCGTCGATGCCGCAAAGGGCAAGAAGCGCTGGATGGAGGACGGCATTGTTCTAGTGATGGGGTTTGCCTCTTTGCGCGCGCGCGCAGGGCTTTCTATGGAGTTGTAAGAGTAGAGGAACGTGAGTTTCTTGTGTCTCGTCTGTGGGTGTTATTATTATCGCGAACGGGCGAAGTGCAATCGGATGCGATTTGGAATTAGAGGCCTCTGTAAGCGGAGAGCGGCCCGAGAAGTCACATGGCGATACGAAATGCGCAATACAGGAAATAAGATGCAACGGAAGAAGCTAAAGATAAAGACGGTGAATGCAAAAGATAAAAAAAAAAAAAAAAAGGCCTGCTTTTTTTCCTTATTGTTTTGGTGGTGTGTTGTTTTTGGTGACGATTTTTTGGAGTCTGACGATGACGGACGGACATGAGCTTCTTACTAGTGCCCGGAGCTCGGTCTTTATTTTGGTTCGGCCAATCGGAGGGCGTGTTTGATCGGCAGAGGTATTTGGTAGGTATTTGATATCCCTTGACTATTTGATCACATGGAGACGCGCTTCGGCACATGAAGTATGAAGAACATAAAAATCGGGCAAACAAGTAGGTAAGATCTATCTAGGCTTATCTCGGTATGTGTGTTAGTAGTAATATGAAATGATTAAGAATACTTGATGTATCACATCTGTTGCCGTAGCAGTGGCCAATCTCACACATCTGCCGTCATATACACCCATGCCGAGACGGCTTGTTGGTGATAAGGTACCTGCTAACGAAAATTAATATTGTCGCGAAAATTCATACCAGCTTACAAAATAGCGCTAATCATACCAAGATTTGATGTTGGCATCAGCTTATGATGATTCTGTGTCTCAGGTTCAGGTGAGGGAGAAATCGAACTGTTCAGTATGGCTCTAGGGTAATTGCCAGTGAATCGTCCAGTCATCTTACATAACTCGGCCTGGTTCAAGAAGCATATTGAAATTCATACTTGGACCCGAGCAGCGCTTTGTTTGGCAGAGACGTGGGCTTACGNATTGTTTTCAAATTGGTAAAAAAAAAACTCGCGTATGTGAATTCCCGTACGTACGTTCGATATCCGTGTGGTGAATATCTGCTTAGACTACATGTCTTGGTGCTACAATTGTCAACCCAGCAGAGAAGTGGAACGATACAAAGGTAGAAACATCGAAATGACTATGAAACAATTGAATCATTTATCAACAGAGCATATACGTTCAATCTATCACATGAATAAATGTATTCCATTGTAGACATTCTGCTTTCTACGGCACAAGAGGAGCGATACACTGCAGTATATCCCATCGCAGGGAATACTCGGATCAACTAAAATCCGCCAATTCCAGGAACCAGCTATCTTATCGCTTTGAGATTCGCGGGAAGGTTAATCGCAATTGGCGTGTCTGCGCGTTCGGGAACAAGACAAGATGACGAGTGCACTATAGCATTTCTCCTTGTCAACAACACTGCATAACGCCATCAGCCATCTGTTTTTGACGCCAAAGGAGCTACACCATCAAGATGGTCGGCAAGGTCTCCGAGAGGGTGCTCCTCCGAGAGGGTACGTGAACATGGCCAGTTTCGCATCACTGGCATCTCCGGTTCTTGGTCGACAGATGAGCCGATCGATGCTGACGCTGAAAAAACTGCACAGGGCTGGAGAGAACCGACAATGGCATGAAATTGACGTCGTGGCCTGATGTTACCCCCATCAACCAGAAGAATTACTACACGTGAGACTCACCTACGACTCGAGTGGCTGGTGCTGGGCGACTAATTCTCGGAGCAGAGATTATATGAAAAGGGATGACCAGGTCCTTGCGCTGCGACTCCAAAGCGATGCGACTCGCGACAGACTAGTACAGAGCGCCCGAGATCGCGACCGCGCTCTTTCAAAGCCTGCCAATGGCGAGCTACCCCTACCACTGCCAGACCTTGGCGAAGAGGATGGAGCGGCAACGCCCTCAGGTGGAATGGACCCATCGAGGGTCATTGTTATTCACCCCGGAAGCCAAAACCTACGCATTGGATTTGCGAGCGACGCCCTCCCCAAGACTATTCCGACTACGTTGGCAACCAAATTCCCCCAGACCGAGTCCGAGATGTACGAGGCCTTGCCACGACGTCAGTTCGAGGCCAAGACCACGGATCAACAATATGGAGAAGAGTGGTCCAAGAAATATCAGAAAATGTGCAACGATCTAAAGGTTGAGATGCGTGCCAACAAACGAAAAGTGCTTCCCAATTCCAAGGAGCTGGTCCAAACCTTTAACCGCCGTACCGAACCCGAGATCATCCAGAGGCACAACGACGTGCTGGAAGTTGAATGGACAGATATAGAAAAGTTGGAGGACCCAGAGTCACTAGCATCTTGCTTCATCGGGAGCGAAGCACTGCGAGTCCCCGACGATTCAAACCCAAAGTTCAAGCTGTGGTGGCCCATACAACAAGGATACTGGAACGAGGATGGATATACGAGCCAAGAGCACCTCTATGATGATTTCGAAACCCTTCTGGACAAGGCTCTGCGCCAAGAGTTGGGCTTAAAGACAAATAGCGAGTGGCAACAGTACAGCTGTGTCTTCGTCATCCCCGATCTCTACGACAAAAAGTATGTGGAGCAGGTCTTGCGGTCTTGCATGACCTGGTTCGAGTTTAGTAGGGTGTGCTTTATCCAGGAAAGCATGGCGGCCACCTTTGGAGCTGGATACACTCAGGCCTGCGTCGTCGATGTCGGTGCCCAGAAGACTGCGGTGACGTGTGTCGAAGACGGGCTGTGTATAGAAGACTCGAGAATCAACCTCAAGTACGGAGGATATGACATTACGGAAACGTTCATCAAGATGATGCTCTATGACAACTTTCCGTACCAGGAAATCAACTTGCGGAGAAGATATGATTTCCTGCTGGCCGAAGAACTCAAGGCGAAGCACTGTACCATGTCACAGGCAAACATTTCGGTGCAACTGTTCAACTTCCACGTCCGAGCACCCAACCAGCCTACGCGAAAATATGCGTTCAAGACGTACGACGAAGTGATTCTAGCGGCTATGGGAGTTTTTGAGCCATCAATTTTTGACAACAGCACAAAGCTCAGGGGCCGAAGAAAACTAGTCGAGCGTTCCTACAACGCCTATGATGTGGATATTCCCGACGACCCGTCCTCTGCCGCACAGCTTGCAATTCTGGCACTGGTAAAACCATCGCTCATGTCCAATGCAAATGGTTTCTCCCAGTCGCAGCCCGAAGTGTCCACACCGAGTAAAGAGAAGCCGTCGTTCAACTTCCTTTCCACCAAAGCCGAGACGGCGACGGGAACCCCCATGGCATCGCATGCTGGGTCGCCAGCACCTGAGGGTGCCAACCCTCCGGTTCCACCTCCCTATGTTTTTGGAGCCAATAAGGATGGTGTCAATGGTGACAGCCCTGCTCTAGGTAGCATCCGGGCGGCCGGCACACCAGTTCCAGGACAGTCACAGTCCACTCAACCGCCTCCAGGAATGTTTGTGGACGCAGCTGCGCGGGGTTCCAAAGACCTGGCAACCGAGAGAGACGAGGTGCTGCCTTTGGCGCCGCTGGACATTGCCATCCTCACAAGTATTCACAACGCCGCTAAGGGCGACGAGAAGAAAGTTCGCGACTTGCTGGGCAGCATCATGGTCATCGGCGGCGGCGCCAAGGTCCCACAGTTCACCGTGGTTCTGGAAGAGAGGCTGAAGGCGCTGAAGCCCGACCTCAGCGATAGGATCCTTGTCAGCAGAAGCGCGAGGGATATGGACGAACAGGTTGTGACTTGGAAGGGAGCAAGCGTCTTTGCCAAGCTGTCGACTAACGATTCTTGGATCACGCCGTTTGAGTTTGAAAGACTGGGCGCCCGCACGCTCCACCACAAGGTGCTCTGGGCTTGGTAGATGGAGTTGGCTATGTTAATATATACCTCTGTGCGCGGCATGCCTGGACACGAATGGAGAAGGCACAAGGATTAGGAGGGAGCATTGGAGTTTTTTTTTTCCTGGTATTGCTAAGGATATAGGAGGAATGGGTTGTTTTGTAATTAGGTTGTATCGTGATCATTAACAGATTTACTCTGTAGTAGAGCAAAGAAAGCACAGAAACTATTTAATAGAGCCTGAGACGCAGTATATGTGGTGTAGTTGTGGGTTATATACATAGGTACTTTGTATACTGTCCCCATTTGCGTTATTCAAATGATAGTGAAGCTTTTGGCAATAGGAATTGAGCATTTCGCCCCCCTGATTAAACAGTTGACCTTTGAGTACAAGTTTACGACAATCATCTTCAAATTGATACGATAGCCACTGGTGTTGATGCCGTATATAGACATGTGCATTAGCGAGGACCAGAGCTACATGTAGGAGCATCTCGTAAACCACTTGAGGGGCTTGTATATTCTCTCAGTCAACACGGCACCTTTCATTGCTCCGAACCTCCGTGTGAACTTTGTTGGCATCATGCTGGAGAGGAGGTGATGAATTACCTACGCAAGAAGGTATCAATGGAATCAAGTCCACGCGACATGTAGAGCAAGGAAGCACAATACAATTGTTCATAAATACTCAGTTACCTCGTAAAAACATCTTCTGATCAACACCGTATAACATTGAGCCTAAAGTTAATACGGCATAATTAGGTCGGTATGAAGAGGGATTGAAGTTGGAGAACCTCGGGAATAACTGCACTGCAGCTGATAATCCATGCGACAATAAGGCGAGGAATTGGAGGTAATGAGGGGCTTGTGACATTGAATCTCTTGTTGTGCCGCAAAGGTTCGGTGAGGCGGCTATGAGGGAGAGTGCGAGCCAATCAATGGCGACGGGCTGTAGGATGCAACTGAGACCGGGCTAAGATGAGGAGTACGACCAACTGCGGCCATGACAAACGAATGACCGATGTTTTTCGTTGCTTTTTGTGAATCCCTCGCCAAGTTTTGGACTTACATGAGGTCTCAACTACTGGTACTTAGATGCTTTCTAACTTACAAGATGCGTATCAAGTTAAGTTATTGCCCACCTCGGTGGCAGATGCGCACTACGACATACACTGCAGTACAACCAATTCCCAGCCCGCTTGATGCTCAAATCAGCTTCTGCCAGCAAAATGCGCTCCCTTGCATCGGACCCCGTCCGCCTGCATATTTTAGGTCGGTTCGACTAGCCCCAATTGCCGGAGCGGATTACCTGATTGTTTGTCTTGGGGATGCTGTATGTCCACAAACCCCGCAAATTGCCTGGTGTTTTTTACTGTCTGGGTGTGACTCTGCGCGGTAGAAACCGGCTCTTCTCCCGGGGTGCTTGGACAGGCTGTGGAGGGGTAGCATTTGTTATAGTGGGTGATGACGAGGTGTTTGATTTGAGCACAATACAGGTTGTCAGTACTAATTTGTCTATTTGATGGCGTTGAAAAGGACTTAAAATCAAAATCGTCCAGATGTAAGCCAGCTTAGTTAGCACAATAGGCTGGTGCTAAGCATTACAGAGTACAGAGTACTCACACTAGCAGGACAAAAGTCCAACTCTAAATCAAGCCGCCAATCTATTACTGGTATTATGTCTCACACGAATGGCCCTTGTCCTATTTGTCGTCACCGATTGTGTAAACATAGCCCGGAGATACATGTGGATCTTGATTGGCAGCAACATCCCAGTTGGCCAATGCAATTGTTCGCATTTTTGTTCCCATTTCACACACTCATTATCCCAATTTCCATCCCCGCCATTATCTTCGCTTCGAAGCGGGCGGACGACAATCTTGTGGCTGCTGACGCCCCAGAAGCTTCCCCTTGCTTAACCAACTCAACTAGCTTCACCAAAAAGTGACGTGTGATTTTTTCCTTTTCTTTCTCATCCAGTGATAAAAGGTGCTATATATATCAAGAAAGATTCCCTTGAGGGGTCACCTCATTGTCAGTCTCTTTTACTCGCCTCTCACACTTGCATGTGACACTCAACCAGCCGCTCATCACAGCTCGCATCATGGCGTCTCTTTTCGCCAGCAGCGGCGATGGCCTCGCCAGTCGGCTGGGATTGAGCCCGTGGGTGCTGTACTCCGCCGCCGGCTTCACTTTCTACGCCATCGTCTGCTCTTCGCTTCGGTTCCAGAGGCTCAAGACGATGCGCAAGCGCCTCAACTTTCCGGATCGAGAGTCCTTGTCCCGCATGACCAACGAGGACGCGCAGAAGATTGTTAGCTACATCAGCACTTACGAGTTTCCGCTTCTTTACGACTTTTCACTTAGATATGCGATTTTTAAGGTGGGTTCTCATGTCTTTCGGTTTTAAATGCTGTTAATTACACTTGGCTAACATTGATGCAAATCTACTAGACCTACGCTGTAGACAACATTGGCAATCTTTTATACAAAGTCAGCGATCTTGCCAGGCCTACCAAGGCTTCCAAACGGTAATACTATACCTCGACATAGAAATGGACTATAATAACACTTGATGATAGGTATGACGATACTCAGGTTTTATTTGCCAGGTAAGCTTGTTCTATTTCTCTCATATTCTGCTATCCAAAGATTAAACCCTGATGCTGACTGCACATCTCTTAGCTATGCAGAATTCCCTCCTGGATCCGAATACTTGGCCAAGAGCGTCGCCCGCACAAACTTTTTGCACGCTCCGTATAGACAATCCGGCAAGATTAGCAATGCGGACATGCTGTATGTCCTCTTCGAATCCATGTATCAGCCGGTCCGCTTTATGCGTCTCTACGAGTGGAGAGAGATGTCCGACATGGAGGTGGCAGCCGTTGCCACGTTCTGGAAGTACATTGGCGAGATGATGGAGATTGACTACGAAGCCGAGCTGGGCAAGAAGGAATGGAAAGACGGCATTGAGTTTATGGAGGACGTGGAACGGTGGGCAATCGAGTATGAGAACAAGCATCTCGGCCCCTCGCCAGAGATTGGCAAACTCGGCACGGTCTTGGTCGAATTACTTTTGTCGGCGTATCCAAAGTTCTCAAGGGAGCCTGGATACAAGATTCTCATGGTCCTCATGGGCGAGCGCATGCGAGATGCTTTCAGGTGAGTTTGTTCTCTCTTTTCTCATGTCCTGGGGCAGCCTTGTTGACATGCACTCAGCTTTCCCGAACCTGGAGTACCGGAATCTGCTCTCACATATCCTCTTCTGCTTGCGCGAAAGCTCTTTATCCGCTACTTATGCCTACCTCGCATCTATCCCGCCAAATTCATCAGCCAGCCGGATCCAGTGACGGGCCGCATCAAGCACTATCATTATCTCAAGGATCCTTGGTACTCTCCGCCCACCTTCTGGTCTCGCTGGGGCCCTGAAGGCTTGATGCGACGGGCATTTGGCCTCAAGGTCGCTGGAGACGGCGGCGCGGCAATGTTGCCGGATGGATTCTTGTTTGAGGATGTTGGACCGGAAGACAAGATGGGCAAGGGAGTCGACGAAACTGCGCGCCTGACAAGATTGGCACAGACAAAGGTGTCTGCTTCAGCGTGTCCTTTTGCACTGCCCAGGAAGGGTTGAGACTTGAGAGCGTGTAAGCTAAATAGCGAGGCTGTATTCTATACTCGGTAGAATCGAGGGAGAAGAAACACCGGGGCTGAATCTTGGACAGCTTTTCCATTCCACAATGAACCACTGCCGCCGCCACATCTTGTGATGCGCATTTGAATCTTTGTCATCTTGTCACCTTTCAATTGTCCAACTATCTGTTTTTACAGCTTCTTCTGCATCTCAAGCTCAAAAGGGAAATGCGATAGAATTGGCAACATTGAAATCACAAGCCATCGCTACTTCCCCACAGGAGCTTGAACGGTGGCGCATGGGATAAAAGTCACCTGATGAGTGTCACTCGAATGACGTAGTCAGCCTCCCTTTGCATCTCCAGCCGCTCCAAGGCAACTGTCGCCTCTTGAAAACAACACCTATCATTTACCCTTTTGAACTTGAACTGAGCATCTTATTGCCACTATAAAACATACAAGTTCTTTGCGCATCACTCGTTACTCAAAAGCGACTTACAACAGTTACAATCACACAGCACCACGAACAGCACTTATATAACATCTCTCATTTAGGTTGGTCGATTTCTTGCTCCATTGGCTCAACATGCCTCCCGTACCAGTGTACACTGCCAGTCCCATCAATGCCGCCTCCAAGGCATCGGGGATCACTCCAAAAACAGAAGCTGTAGAGGGAAGCGAGCCTCCTTTGCAGCCGTCGCCATCGAAAACATCGTCAGGGAGCCCAACGTCATATCCTCCCGCACAGCCAGGTGCCAGGCCTTCATTACCCGTTCAGACTGGAGCCCCGGAGCCATCCGATAGGCATAGACCAACACCAACTTCAACTCTGGCCGATACAAGTCCTCCGCCTCCCCAGCCCGGTGCCGTGCCTTCGCCTCCAGGGAAAAGCAACTTGCCACCTCCACCCAAGGCCGGAGAATCCATCCAGCAACAACGGCCCCGATCGCAAACCTTGCCTATGCCGCCTCAGATGCTCTACCCATCGCCGACAACGAGCTATCAAACCCTCCAGAGAGGCACATCGACCTCCGTTTCCACAGCGTATTCGCCTAATGTGCCGCAGCCAACGTTCTTACAAAGCAGTGAACGCACCGAGCCAGACTTTTCACACCCTCCAGGCTACCAGCAGAACATCAATGCCGCGGAATTCTCGCGCGACCAGCGGGAGGCTCACAATGCCTCGTTTGCTCGAGATTCTTACCAAAACTACGAGGAAGAAGAAAGTATCTGGAACACGGCGAAGAAGTGGGCGGCGGCGGCGGGAGACAGCCTTGCGGCAGCGGAACAGGAAGTCTGGAAGAGAATCAACAAGGACTAGGGTTTCAACCACAGACGACCAAACGATCCGCAGGATGTCATAGATGATGGCACCATGATTGTCTGAAGCAACGTGGCCAGAGAGATGCAGCGAGCTTAAGCGATGGAAATTGCGGTTGCGCGCAAAGGTGAAATATTGACGTTTGTTGCTATACCGACCGATTGCCGGGTAGGTAATAAAATTAAATCAGACGTATTAGCGAAATTTACTACTAGATACAAATGCGACCTGTGTCTTTTTTGTCCAATTCTTGTACGCGAGAAGCCTTTATCTATGGAGCCAAAGATTTCCCCATGTCTAGCTTGTGCATCATCATCCGTGCCAACGATGCCGGTGGCAAAAAAAAAAAAAAAAATGTTGGAGGGTTAAAGAGAAAAAAGAGAAGCAAACATGTCGCGCGTCATGCAAG